AGCCAAACAATTCATCAATAGCACAACTCAGGAGAAAACTGTGGTGGCATTTCACTCACTCCTAGCTAAAATCTTGGCAAGGCATCTACTCAATTTGCTAAGATATGTTTTGACAAATAAAGAATGTTAGTATTGCAAGTGTGTATTTGAGAATACATAGTGCTGTGACTGTTTGTACTTGTAAGTGTGTGTTTTAATTGCAAAAAAAAGTTTTTTTTCTTATTTAAAGTTATTGTCTTGTTTCTATTCCAAATATATTCAAATTTTTAAATCAAGAAGCATTTTCTAGACAAGCAAAAAATATTGTCTTGTATAAATATTGGTTTGGACATAAGAATATTTTGTTAAACCCATTTGAAGATTACTTTGCATGTTTTAAGGAAAAACTCATTTAATTTTGACATTATTTCTGGCAATGTTCTCCCTGCCTTTGCGTGGGTTTCCTCCGGGTGCTCCGGTTTCCCCCACAGTCCAAAGACATGCGGTACAGGTAAATTGGGTAGGCTAAATTCTCCGTAGTGTATGAGTGTGTGTGTGTGTGTGTGAATGTGTGTGGATGTTTCCCAGAGATGGGTTGCGGCTGGAAGGGCATCTGCTGCATAAAAACTTGCTGGATAAGTTGGCGGTTCATTCCGCTGTGGCGACCCCGGTTTAATTAAGGCCAGCCCTTTTAATAAAGGCCAGCGGATTAATAAAGGGACTAAGCCGACCAGAAAATGAATGAATAATTTCTGAGAACAAGACATTTTTTGCTGGTCTATAAAGTGCTTATTGATGCAAGACTTTAAATATTTAGACTAAAAACAAGATAAAAAAATCTAAATAAGATTATTTTTTGCAGTGTCATTATTACAGTCTGTGTCAGAAAAAGTGTATCATAACATAGGTATTACAGTACACAGGTATTACAAGGAGAAGGTGAATTATGAAGACATTTCTGATGTCCCCATTTTTTAAGGCTAATAAATCAGATAGAATTAGGTATTTCTGAAAAAAAAAAAAAAAGAACCGTACACAGCTCCCTGTGAGAGTTGAGTTTTGAAATAGGGTAGAGCAATAGAAAATATAGTATGTACAGTATAGAATCAATGAAAACCTAGGGAATGTCCCCACAATTCACAAAAACAAACGTTTTTTATATTATTAACATACCTTATAACACACATACATGCATGATACAATATATAACAGTCAAATGTTACAATATTCAACAGATTTTGATTAGTGGTGTAACGGATCACATATCTCAAGGTTTGGATCAAATTATGTTTTTTTTGTCACCGATCGGACCAGACAAAAAGGAGAGAAGACATGTCATTTACTTTCCATGTATTACAAAAATCTATAAAATTATTTAAAATAAAATGAATAATCAGCTAAATTAAAAATAAATTGTTAAATTATTCAGTGCTGTGAAAACTTCACTGTTACAACTACTGTTGCTGATGACGCTAAATGAAGAAATTAACATTATAATTTGTACAACCCATATTTATTTTAACTATAATTTTCAATAAATGATTAAGTTATTCACTCATAAAACATCATGTTTCATTGCTAGATCTCTCATTTTTGAAGAATTATTCAGTGGCATATTTTTGATGACTGGTTGTCACCACCTATAGGTTAAGTAACGTAATGGCAGCCTACAAATTTCATTTTTCAGCGTCAAGTTAAATGCATATGACGGTGATTTGAATCTTTACCATGAACATCAGTGGTTATATCTAAACTATAAACTGTTATCCCAGTACTTCTGTGTTATTAGATTGTTTGTAAACAACTCTCTTGATTTTTTCATTTTTCAAACACAGATTTGCATGCAGCGATTGGAAGGATTAATACGCATATGCAAATCACGATCATTTATAATTGATGTTGCGTGGGTGTTGAGAGCTCGATCTTTTAATGATTAATGGCGCAGCTTACATTGAATGCATTAATGCAGGCTAAAAAAGTAGTGACAGAAAACATCTTTAACAAGCAACAAATTAATATCTTACACCTTCTAAGAAACTCACCAGATCCACAACTTCTTCCATCATCATTATATTTTACCGAAAAAAAAAATTATTTTATACGTGTGATTTGAATGTCGCAAGAGGCAATCTCTCTGCGATTGTTACAAAGCTGTTGATCAGGTAATAATATATGCATAAATAAACTCACGAGTTATTATTTTAACTCCTAAGTCTACTAATTTTAAACTTAAAGTATTGTAAGTCTTTAGTTTTTAACCACCTTAAAAGTGTGAAACGTTTTATTCCAAAATCAATTATTATAATTCTATTATTAAAAAAAGTGAAGCATACACAAAACTTATGCAAACACACATTTGTTTAAAAGCTGAATGAGACTGACATGCAAGTATTCCTAATAGTTCCTAATAGCTTTATAGTTATAATTTTAAAAATGTATAATTTTTATTTATTTATTTATTTTCATAACAAATATTTGTTTTAAACTAAAATGCACTAAAATTTTCAAACATTACTAGCTACTGGTAGCTAATTATGCATTTTATGCATAATTGATTGACCCAATGCATTTTATTGATGCAACTTATTTTTCTGAAAATACAGCATCCAGATATATCAATATGTGTGCATGTTATATGGTAATTACTCTCATTAACATATTAATTACAATATTTACAAAATAATTAATAAATTCTAATTGCATACTAGTTACATTTATATACAGTGTTTGCTCTTGTGAGCGTGTTTAAAACTCTTGAATTACCTATTTAGGATTAATCTACAAGTATGTAAATGTATTAATTCACAGGTCACATGTGTTCTGAACTGTGTGTTGTGATACTTTTACATTCATCCCTGTTGTCACTATTAAATTTGTGGAAAAGAGCCAAAAGCATATCCAGCTTTTTGTTACAGTGTGTCAGAAAGTCATTTAAATTAAGCACGACTCAAACACAAGGAAACTAAACTTAAAACTTGTGTATTTTTAGTTAAATATACATATCAAAATCTGTTGAATCACAGTGCCATGAATCACGCTACTGATAACATGAGATGAAAAACCCTGGTTTGTACCTGCTCTCATTAATGACCATGTCCTTCATAAAGCTGAGGATGTGCTTGAGGATTGGGAAGCGCTCTTTAACTGGTGGTGCCATGCGAGGTTCCTCCATAGATCGTAAGGAAAGGAGCCTCAGACGTCCCCGGCTGAACGGTGCTTTGCGTGGGAAGACAGACGGAGACAGAGGCTCTCCTGTTTGCGACTGAAGACTTTCTGAGGAGCCTGTGGCACCCTGAGAACTGATGCTGCCAGATGCTCCTGCATCACCTGAAGCAGAGAAACTTTGGTCCTGTGTCCGCTCGCGAGAAGCAGACACAGGGGACGTCACTGCTTCTGCTCCATGAGGGGTCTGGGAAATGGAGAGAGACGGACTGGGCTGGAAATCTCCTTCTGAGGTGGAAATGGAGCGGAGAAGAGGAGCAGCACAAGCAATGTCTTCAGGTCTGGAAGTCTCTTGATCCTGAGGTGCAGAGGTTCCACCGCTTGGGCTGAACTGGAAGAGGAACAAACTTCTACTGATGCAAACTTCAGCTGTAAAGAGAGTGAGAAATAGAAAAAAACCGGTTACACTTGATTCTGATGTTTCGCTTTAGACATTTTGTTCAATAAGTAGCTGAAACAACAAGTCAACTAATAGTCATTACAGTATAGTATGGTGTACACTACCGGACAAAAAGTCTTGTTGCCTATCCAAGTTTTAGCAGATAAAACCTTGACTTCTAGTTGATGATTTGGTATCAGAAGTAGCTTATATGAAAGTCGAAGGCCTTTAGATTATGCTTATTTGACCAAAATAAAATATGATCATGCCTTGGTTTTTCAAATCATGATTTTTCCATCACCAAACTTGACTGATTTCTGAAAGAATCTTGGGTCCATGTGGGTTCCAATAGGTCTTCTGCAGTATTTGTGATAATTGGGATCAACAGATAATTCATCGTAAAAAAATCTACCTTCTGCCACTTTTCTAAACAATCATCTAAAAGTAAAGTTATTATTTGATGCTTTTGCAACTTGGATCGACGACAGGTCTTTTGTCAAGTGGTGTATGTATAGTATAGTATGGTATAGTATAGTATATAGCAGTGTTAGATTTGTTAAAAAAGTTGAATGTGTTTTTATTTATTAATGATTCTTGTATTCTGAATTTCATGTCAAAAACAATGGCTTTATTCATGGGTAAAACAATTTACTTTCATCATGCAAATGATATTAATTCAACCATTTTTGTTTTTAAAATAAGATTTATTTTTAAATGAAAAAGTTCATCTGATAAATCATTTCATTTAAAAAAACAAATATTGGTGTAGCCAGGGTTTAAAGTTAAGCTTGCCTACTTTCAAGCACTTCAAGAAGTATTTGAAAACGCATTCATACATTCAATCAAAAGGTATTTTCTTTAATATTTACCAAGTGATTCCATTGTAACCTCATTCTGTCCTTCGTCTTTTTCCTCTACTCCATTCATTTTACCCATAAGGTAGCGCTGTTTCATCTCCAACTAGCAAAACAGTTCAAAATACATGTATAAATACAAAGAAAACATAATGTTACTTTAAAACCTGAAGTAGAAAGCCATACTAACCATCCATGTTCTGATGCCATCCGCGAGAGTGTAGACCTGCACAAGATCCTCACTGAGACCACTCTGGCCATTCTTAGCAACTAATAAATAGGAAATATAAAAAATGTAATGTAGTCTCACTTATGGACATGTATGACAAATTGACCTATTCATGCAACCATCCTACAGAAACAGATACTGCTGGTACCAAAGCAGTCAAGATTAGTGTGGCTTGGCATTATGACATAATCAGACAGCATTTCTCCCTTAAAACAAGTCCACACATTGTGACTAAACATGATTAATTGTACTAAAGAAGATAAAATTTCATAAATAAATAAGGGACCACAAAACAATTAAACTAGCTGTTGATCAGGTAATAATATATGCATAAATAAACTCACAAGTTATTATTTTAACTCCTAAGTCTACTAATTTTAAACTTAAAGTATTGTAAGTCTTTAGTTTTTAACCACCTTAAAAGTGTGAAACGTTTTATTCCAAAATCAATTATTATAATTCTATTATTAAAAAAAGTGAAGCATACGCAAAACTTATGCAAACACACATTTGTTTAAAAGCTGAATGAGACTGACATGCAAGTATTCCTAATAGTTCCTAATAGCTTTATAGTTATAATTTTAAAAATGTATAATTTTTATTTATTTATTTATTTTCATAACAAATATTTGTTTTAAACTAAAATGCACTAAAATTTTTAAACATTACTAGCTACTGGTAGCTAATTATGCATTTAATGCATAATTGATTGACCCAATGCATTTTATTGATGCAACTTATTTTTCTGAAAATACAGCATCCAGATATATCAATATGTGTGCATGTTTTATGGTAATTACTCTCATTAACATATTAAATATAATATTTACAAAATAATTAATAAATTCTAATTGCATGCTAGTTACATTTATATACAGTGTTTGCTCTTGTGAGCGTGTTTAAAACTCTTGAATTACCGAAGCTTTTCAGGCAGGGGTGAAGAGCGGGTGTGTGATAAACCATAGCTGCCCAGATGGCATTAACAGCCTGGTCCACTTTTAAGCCTGAAGCAATCTCGTTTCTGATCAACTGCTTCTTGCAGTTCACCAAAAGGGTTCTCATGAGCTCTGTTCTGCCATCAGAAGAATCCTGGGAAGGATCCCATCGGGCAAATTCCTTCAGGAACTCCACCAGCTCGTCTCCCAGAGGAGCCGGATCTTCCTGCAAAAAGAAATTGCACAGAATGCAAAAATGCAATTAGACTGTTTTAGACTGAAACACACTGACAGAGTCAAAATCCTAGGGTAAATCACCTGGCTGGCTTCTGGGCTGGCCAAAGCTAACTTCTGTTCCCCAGGAAGGCCACTTAGTCCATGTCTGAACACAGGTTTCCACAGAGGACACGACAGGATGTGGTTCATCAAGGTTGCAGGTAATTCCTTCACACCGCGGATCTCTTTAAAACAAAAACATAAAATTACACTTTTCAACAAACTGCAATGCATAATATGTCAGAATATTATTATGTTTCTTTTTATTATACAAAATACAGACATGGATAAAATTTAAAATTCAATAATATTCAAATGTGAAGAAGAATTGGCTTGAATCCAATTGCAGAGAATGTGTATTTTTTTTATATATAGAAATATACAATCTGTGTGTGAAGCTGTGATCTTTTCATATAAACTGCTTATGATAACAGTGTTTTCAATGTTTAGAAGTGGCTCAGGTGTAGTAAAAGATCAACCTGAACTTTATTTCTGAAAAATCTGCAAGCTTTAGTTACTTATAATGTGCACAAGAGAAATATCCTGCAATAACAATAAATTGCAATTAAATGTTTTTCCTAAATTTGTCCTGGCTGTCTTTTTAAATGGACAGCTAATTAATTGGGGCATCTGCCAGTGGCAGGTGTGACAAACTGTTTTAGGTAGTGAATTTGGTTTATTGCTTTTATTTGTACTTAAAACCATGTACAATTTGTTATTATAAAGAAAAACAAAGCTTTTTAAAAGAAACCTTTTTCAGATTAATAGATTATCAGTCTGCCCACTAACCGTATGGTGATTTTAAAGCCATGGTGCGGGACGCCAGACGGCCCATCAGCCTGGACACGAGCAGCTGCAGGTCTGAGGTCCAGGACACAGTGACGTCCGGCAGGCCATACGCCGTCACAGTGAACTTATAACCCCATTCATTATTACTGCTGTCTGAGTGGAACAGAAACTGCAGCTGGGGACCTGCTTTAAACGTCACTTTCTGAAGGAAAAAAAAAACATTATTTATTACAAATCAAATTTATTTATGTTTTTTCTTCTTCAAAGATACCAGATTGAATAATAAAATGTATGTGCAGGTAGGAGGTATTATTAATAACAGCCTTTTTTTAAAAGGATAGTTCACCCAAAATGGAAAATTCTGTCATCTTTATTAACATTTATACTTGTTCCAAAACACTTTTCACTTTCTTCATCTGTTGAACACAAAAGAAGATACTTTGAAGAAAGCTGGAAACCTTTAATCATCGACTTCCATAATATTCATTTTTCCTATTATGGAAGTCAATAGTTTAACAGTGTTTAAGCTTTCTTCAAAATATCTCCTTTTGTGTTAAAAAGAATAAAGAAACTTATATGAATCACTTGAGGGTGCGTAAATGTTCATTTTTTTGGGAGAACTATGCCTTTAACACATTTATTTTTAAACTATTTACACAACTAACACATTTAAATGAGACCTATAAGAATACTCCAGTAAAAAAAAAAAAACATTTTTAATACCTTTGGCCATTTCTCTGTGCCAACCTTCATATCATAGCGCACTTTCCCTCCTCTAGCATCAGTGAACTCCAGATAGTCATACCTACTCAAAAAACAAAACACAACAACGTTCATTGTGTGTAAATATAGCATAAACTTCAGAGTTTAAACAAAGTCAAGCCAGAAGGTGTCTGTAAGAAGAAAATATGCATTATCGCCAGTCCTGTTATCACCAGAAGGTGTCAGTAGAGCTGTTCACACCTTTTCTCTGTCTCACAGCGAGCATCAAACTCCACCTCAAAGGAAGTGGCTCCGGGACAGACAAAGACGGTGGTCTCATGTCTGCTGTTCTCATAGTTATGAGGAGACTCCATCTGCCATGTCCTCAACACAACAGGCTGCTGAGGCTGCTGACAGCCTTCTAAATCAACCTGCAAACACACAAATAACAAATCACTATTACTATACAGCATTTAGTTTGTATTTTTATCTCATGTCTATGCGACTGCTTTCACTGCAAATTGTGTCAAATCAACTTTACAGAAAAAAAACAAAAAGTATAGTTAGTATTAATGTTTAGTCAGTGTGAAACCAATGTCATTGATGTAGGAAGTGATTTACTGTAAAGAAAATCATGTTGAACATGCTGTGAACTGACCTTAGAGAAGATGTCATCTGTGTCACTAGACATATTCTTCAGCAGGTCTGAAATGGGGTAAAATCTCTTGAGCAGCACACAGTGAGGAATATCCAGAGCACACAGCTCCAGGAGGAAGATTGTCTACAACAAAACACCATACACATTCAATATACAGTTGAAGTCAGAATTATTAGCCCGCCTGTTCATTTTTTTTCTCTAATTTTTGTTGAACGGAGAGAAAAAAATTTTTCAACACATTTCTAAACATAATAGTTTTAATAACTCATTTCTAATAACTGATTTATTTTATCTTTTCCTTGATGACAGTAAATAATTTTTGACTAGATATTTTTTGAGACACTTTTATACAGCCTAAAGTGACATTTGAAGGTTTAACTAGGTTAATTAGGTTAACTAGGCAGGTTAGGGTAATTAGGCAAGTAATTGTATAACAGTGGTTTGTTCAGTAGACTATCGAAAACAAATCTAGCTTAAAGGGGCTAATAATTTTGACATTAAAATAGTTTTTAAAAAACTGCTTTCATTCAAGCCGAAATAAAACAAATAAGACTTAATCCAGAAGAAAAAATATTATCAGACATGCTGTGAAAATGTCCTTGCATCATTTGGGAAATATTTGAAAAAGAAAAAAAAAGAAAAAATCAAAGGAGGGCTGATAATTTTGACTTCAACTGTGGACATATTTGCAGAAGCATGAAGGCATGAATGAATAATTCTAAATACAGTGGGATAAAGTGGTCAGCTACCAGCTGTCTTGTTGCCATTGCGAGGATTGATCCACTGAGTTTCTTCATAATATCAGCTCCAGAAAAGCTCTTAGTAAGAGGAATCAGTATGTCTCTGGTGCCTGACAGGAACTGCTCCACATCTAACAGCCAAGAGAAACAGTACAAAAATGTTCACACACTGACAAAAAAAAACAGCAAAACTAAATCACATTTGGGGTTGAAAATACTACGCTGCATTTATTTCATCAAATTATAGTAGAAACTGTTAAAATTGTGTTTTTTTCATATTTATCATAAAATGTAATTATTATGATTAAGCTGAATTATCAGCAGTTATTACTCCAGACTCACATAATCCTTTAAAAATCATTCTTATATGCTGATCTGCTCCTTAGGAAATGTCATTTAACTTAAAAAAAAATCAGCTTAATGCACTTACTACATATGATTTGATAATAACGCTGAAATTGTGATAACTTTTGTCAGCACTCTTCGATAGGTAGAAAGTAAAAAAAAAAACTGCATTTTCTTGAAAAATAAATCATATTTAATATTATAAATGTCTAATATTGCTTTAGAATAGTTTAAAACACTCGTATAAATGTCTTTACTGTCACTTTTGATCAAATTGCTGTGCCCTTGTAGAATCAAGCTATTAATATTAATTGTTTAAGTAGTGTGTTTATTTGCAAAGAATGTAAATATAATGATATACTGTAACATACTTAAAGTCAGTTCTCAAAGTGTTAAAAGCAACATCAATATTATAATAGATGGGGAAAAAATGTGCACACCCCTAATCAAAACAAATATGTTAGCATAACAGAAGCATTTTCACAATAGATTTCTGACTGGACCATGCTGCATGTTGAAGGGTTCTTATAAAGAAGATGTGAAACCAAAGAAAAGCACACTAACATTTGAGCAGGATTTCCCTGGCCAGATCAGAGGAGGTAGCAGTTCCTCCTTTGAGCTGCAGGAAGCACCAGGATAGCAAACTACCCTGTAGAGCCCAAAACAGAGACAGCAGGACCCTCCAAATGGACCCTCCACTGGACTCTGACATCAGCACCTCACACTAATAGAACAGAGCAGCATTTTACATTATTGAACATCACATTACTCCTATGAGCTGTCATAGAATACAGCACAACATGAGGTCTTCAGCTAACAGATGCTAAAGCACAATGTATACATCTAAAATGGCATATGCTTCATATGTAACATCTAAAGCAGTGTTTCTCAACCATGCTCCTGGAGGACCACAAACATGTTTTGCATGTCTCCTTTGTCTGTTACACCCATTACATGTCTTTCTGTCTCTGCTAATAAGCTGATGATCTGAACCTGGTGAGTTTGGTTAAGGAGACATGGTAAATGTGCAGGGCGGTTGTCCTCCAGGAACATGGTTGAGAAGCACGGACCTAAAGCATATGTCAGCTATTAGCATGTTGTTGACTGTCAGCATGACGAACACATAGAGTACCTCTCTACTGGCCACAATAAGCAGGGTGTCCATGACGCTCAGGACAGGGGAGATGTCAAAGTCAGATGGGGCTCCTTTAGGGGGCAGCATAAGAAGACCTTTTGGGTCCTGATCACTGCAAACAGAGATGAAGGAGAGAGAGTGTGTAAGTGCAGAATGATAAGGGGGAAAAGGATAAAAAATAAAAAAAAAGGTTCCAGTTTAAGCCAATATGCAAAGGTCAACCTTGCCGTGAAAATATGTTTTTTACTAAAACAGCCAAACCCTTCCTAAACTGTTTGTGTAGGCTTGTATTTTACAGTACAGTAAAAATATTTACAATTGTTACAATGGAGAGACTACACATATATAATATTTTTTCCCTCTTAAATGCAAAATAAAATAAAATAAATCATTATTGTTCTATGGGGAGCCAACTCTTATCCTTTTGATTAGTTTTATTTCTTTTGGGTTGATAAGTTTAAATCACAGAATAAATGTGTTATACTGTAAACTTGAATACTATTTTCTTCACATTCATAATGCATATTCTTTTCCCTCATTTAAAATGTAAAACACGCTTGCAGATTAATATTTTTCTGATCCCTTTACTCTGTGGTTTGTTTTTTTAGGAAAAAGAAACATATCTTTCAATATACATTTGCCATATACACTCTCTGTGAATTTATGTTTTGTGATAGAAATTTTTAATATTGATGATTGATAATTATATATTGATATTATAAATTGATTAAGGCTTTGCTAAAGTAAATATCAAATGCATTATAATCATTGGACTATAAACGCTGTCTCTAAAAATGCCTGTGAGCCCATGCTTGGGATCTTTTTGCTCACAGAGGCTGTCTGAGTGTAAATTGATTATTCTCCAGAGAATTAAAGCAATTAAAAGAAAACCATTTGCCATTACAGTTTTAAGTTTTTAAAGCAAACATCCATCAAGCAGAAATTGCTCCCTTTATATTCGAATTTATGTGAATTATTTAGATTTTTCTGAGTATTTCTAAGGTCTAATGTAAAGAAAGCATCTTTCTGATCTTTTTAAAACATCACTTTCAAGTTTCTTTTGTCGCACTGTAACAATTAGTGTCTGTACATTTCAATCACAATACATATCTTTAAAGACTTTTCTCAAAATGAGGTTTTTCTCCTGTTCTAAAATTTTAAATCTCCACTTCAGCAACACTTACATATTTCAGACTTCACAGTTTGACTCATATCTGTATTCTGAAGATTTTTACAGAAGTAATCATTTATATATGTGGAACTTTTTTTCTGGCTACAAGTGAGTGTCAAAAAGAGATGCTCAAAATCACCACTGTAAAATGAAACGAATTCTAAGCATGACTTCATCCAATGCTCATATTTTTGCGCTAGAAATATATGCAGACTAGTGCATATTTTTTTAAACTGTATATAATTTGTATACATCAACCAAACATGTTTAAACACTTATAATATATATTTTTTATTATTTACTGTAATCATTTAAATGTGGAAGTATGGTGATACATTTCTTTTGCTCTATTAAAGGAAGAATACCTGAAGTAGCTGCAGAGAGACTCAAACGTCAGCTTCACAGACTCCGGCTGATTCTCCTCAGTTATGTTTTTCTGAAAAAAAGAAGTCATTAAAAAAACTTGCTCATACAAAAGCACTTCTCTACTAATATTCTTTCAGGCAAGCCAAGAATCCGACTGTCAGTGTCTTACCATCATGTGAAAGAGTTTGTCCCTCCGGCTCTGTTTATCTGGGTAGAAGATGGCAGCTCCGTTGAGGATGGCTTTCACAGCTTCTTTCCTCAGAGCTTTTTCTGCTGCAGTCTCTCCTTCAGGCCCGTCCACCACTGCACAGCACAAAACCTATGAGTTACTCTCTCTTACACCAGTCAAAACACAGAAAAGCCTATTCAGACTTAGAATTATTAGAGGCTCAAATGAAGCATGAAAACCCATTACATATGTTTTTATTATTATTATTATTATCATTACTATTATCATCATTAGGAAAATAAAAAACACTTTTAAAAATAAATAACACTTTTGTTGTAGAGATGCTATTAGTTAAATGTTGGCAAAGTAGAACAAGAAAGCAGCTTGAAGCGGAAAGCGCGAGTATGTCTGCGCTCTGGAGTTATTATAAAGTTGATGATGACAACATTGGCATAGTAAACTGTGAAATATATAAACATAGGATTGCCTGCCGGGTATTTTAAGTTGAGGTGCTATTTGTTTTTATATTAGATTTTATTATATATTAACTGTTGCACTAAAGTCCAAAAGTGAAGAATTGATGTTATTTATTACTTGATTGTTCAAGCTACCTCACAGAAGTGCTCTGTTTGTTAACAGAATTGTTGAATGTTAAAATAAGGTAAATTAAATTAAAAATAAGGATCATCCTGGATCGGTTTCTTCGCTCTTCTTTATTCTTTTTTAAGTATTATGGAAGTATCGGATCGGGTATCAGTGATACTTAAAATCAAATGACTCAGACTCGAGGGCAAAAAAAACCCGATAGGGACATCCCTAATATATATTTATATAAATAATTCTGTTCACATAGTATGCATTAAATTCATTAAAATTGATGGAGAAGATATTTAAAGATAGTTCTAAGAGTTTTTTTTAATTTAAATAAATGGTATTTGGACTTAACAAACAATCATTAATTATTGCTATTTCCAAAAGCTGGGTAAACATTTTTTAATGAAAGATCATTCATTGTAATCCAAAAACACATTCATAAGCATCAAATAATTTCTGAAAGATCATGTCACACTAAAGATTGAAAATATGATGCCTGAAAAGTTTTGCATCAATAGGATTTTTAAAAATATATATTTTAACAATAATAAAACCATTATTCAAATTTTAAATGTTATATTTCTCAATATTACCATTTTTACTGCATTTTTAAAATAATGGATTTTTAAATCAATCCAGCCGTTGTGGGTATAAGAAACTTTTGTTCAAATTTGTGAACTGCACTGCTAGCTGGATTAAAGTATTGCTCCACACATACGAATCAAACTTTAAACAGCAGCAAGACAGATAAACAATTGTGGAGTGTTACATGTGAAGTGTCACTGACTATGTTTACATGGATATTAGTAATCCAATTATTTATCTTAATCCGAATAAGGCAATAATATGATCATGGTGTTTATAAGAGTTGCTTTTGGAATGTTCTTTTCACATTCCCATTTTACACGTTAAAGTACACAGATTGATTAATGTCATTACATCACTTTCACCTCTGCTATCCAATGTTTCCTCCAGAGTTTCATGCAACTGTGTGTGTTTTAATTGGAATTTTTCAAAATAAGAATTTAATTATTATTTTGATCATTTTCACAATTCAGCAGTTACACATTTATTTAGCAACATTTCAAACTCTGAGGAGCTGAATGAGAGCATGAAATAAGAATTGATAGGGGAGAGGTTTTAGTGAAATTTGATGACGCTGAACAGAAAGAAAACTTCTGCATTTCCCAGATAACATTTGTAAAATTGTGTTGGTGATGAAGGTGTGATGGTGTTCATTGTGTGTGCCTTTGGAGATGCAGGTGTCTGTAGTTTAATCGAATTAAGGTAATCAAAAATCTTTGTTTACATGGTGGACTCAGAGTATTGTCTTAATCATAATAAAATTAGAGTATTGGCATTCATGTAAATGTACTGAGTGAGAGCATTATCTCAGGCAGAGTCTCACCTAGAGTGCAAATTATACATTGACGATCGGAGGGGTCAACTTATTCTGTAATCTTAGTTTTTGTAACATATGCTTAAGTGAATCAAATGCATGTATTTATTTAAACAACATGTAATTTATTAATAAAATGTATTTAAGTTTTCAGTGTTTTGTGGGATATTTTGTGTATTCTGTCCTACAGTATCGGATTAGCTACTTTTGAAGTTAATGTTAGTAAACTATGCATTTAATCTGACTTTACTTTTAGGCTATATGTAGAAACAAACAGCTATTTTACTAGAAAACAGTCTTGTGAACATTTACGTTGCCTATTGGTGCTCTAGATCTGCTGGTTTCAGACTGTTGAATGAGTTTTTGCTCGCAGACTGATTGGTGCGATATGAACCATTATAGGGGTGGTCAAATGCATATTTATATTATTAACCTGATTGCTTGTATTAATTTCAATTATTGACATTATTATTTAAAATACAAAGCAGAACAAATTATTTATCAGTATTAAAGAAGTGATCCCCCATACATGCTGTTTTGATGTCCTTCAGAGGGGATCAAGCATTAATTAAGGGGGTCAATCCCCCCACACCCTCCCTGTAACTTGCACATTGGTCTCACCTTGACATAAATGTCTACAGAGCTCTCCAACAGCTTCTGCGGGGTCCACATCTGAGCTGCCTGAAGGCGATGCTGAGGCTGATGCTGAGAGATCTGACGGCTGGGACTCGGTCGGACTGGGCAACATTGGGAAGCAGTTCTGGAGCAGCTGAAGAAGGAGAACTCTTGTCTTTATGGCCTCTTCTCCTTCACTGAGAGTGTACAAACATACACACAAACACGCAACAAAGATGCATTAGAACAGACAAAAACTGTGCAGTCAGCATGTATTTTAACAAAGGACACTGGGCTGGACTATATGACTCAATAATCTAATCCTCGATAGCCTCGAGTTCAATTATTATGGGATTATTTTGTAGTAAATTGTATTTTGCCCCTCAAAAAGTTCATTAAAAGGTTGTAGTGTAAACACTCATCGATTAAAAGCGAGGCATGCTTTTGAAAGAGTACATTTCTTATCTTTTAATATTAACATAATTGAAGGAAACACACCATTTATGGTTACTTGAAGAATATTTCAAAGTGAAAATCACTTGACACACTAAAATTTGTCACGTTACTTCTTATATCATGCCACATTTACAGTACATATACATTCATCAGGCAGCTTTACTCACATGGATCTGAGTTTGCGGTAAAAGTCCCAGAACAGCAGAAGGTTGAGGTCACTGAAGTCCAGCAGGGTCTTCTGCTTTGACAGAGACACATCCTGTAACACAGGATTTACAGATTCATTTTCTTTACAGATGCATACAAAGTTGACTAAAAATGCTTTACGATGAGTTGTTTTTAATAATTCACAGGTCACAGTCATAGACACGTGGTGCTGTACCATATCTCTGGTGAGCTGCTGGATGAAATAAAGAGTTTTCTTCATGAGCGCGAGACCAGTAACCAGACCCGAGTCGCTTCCCTCGGCCTGAGCGCTCAGATCCTCCACGTCCTCCATCCGCTCTGAGTCTGGACACAAATAACCACTGAAAATCAACTGCTGGACCCCGAGCCGCTCCGCTGTGTCCTGCCGCGCACACAGGAACTTCACCATCAGAAACTATAGAGACAGAGAAAGGGAAGGATGTTTAATCCCCATCATATTCAATGCTTTCTTATCCAACAGTAAACATTAAATAAACATTTTCTGAATTGAAATAAAGCTCTATCAAAGTGTGTCACAGACATGGAGGAAATCGTTTTGACTTGTCTTTTAAATCTCAAGAACTGTTGACAGCATAATGATAAAGATATAAAGATAACCGCACAAGAATCAGCACTAACAGGAAGATAGATTTGCTTTATTCTGAGCACAGGCTGTAGTTTAGCCATCTGCTTTTTTAAATGCCTGAGCTCTTTAAAAAGGATAGAATCCTCAATATATATTGTGAGCAACAATTTACATAGAGCATGGTCTGACTTCTTTTCTTTTTTAAATGTTTTTTTTTTTTTTTTTTTTTTTTTTAGCAAAAGAGGGTTCAAAACCCAGCTACAGCAGAACATTTGTGCATTTCAGGGAAACGATATCTATGTTTCATTCCTGAATTAATGTTTTTGAATATATTGTTTGATTGGATGACTTACTGATCCCTTCAAAAAATCCTTTCTTGTTTTTTTTCTAAATGAATCAGTGTTCAAATGAGTTGTTTGAATAAATGGTTCAGTGAATCACTCATTAAGACAGTGCTTTGCTGCCACCTACTGATTATTTGTGTTTTATTTTCATATTTATCCATGACATACCTGATCTAGCGAAGGTACTAGGGTTGGAAATCAAACTATGATTTTTGCAAAACATTTGTAAAAAATTCACAAAAAACAAGCAGATGTTGTTAATTTAAATATGTAAAGAAAGAAAGAAAGAAAGAAAGAAAGAAAGAAAGCAATAAAAGAAATTAAAGAACTAAATGTATAATAAAATGAATAAATGAAAGAAAGAGGAAGGAAGAAAGAAAGAAAAAGTAAAATAAATAAAAAGTATTAAACAAAATAAAACAAACAAAAAAATAAATGAACAAACAAATAAAAAAAGAAAAAAGAAAATAAATAAATAAAAAAGTAATATAAGAAATAAATTAGATACATGAATAAAATAAAGAAGGAAAAAGGTAATAAAATAATTTAATTAAAAAAATTAATTAATAAATTAATGAAAGAAAATAAATAAAGTAATAAAAGAAATAAATTTAATGAATAAATACAATAATAAATAAATGAATTAATGAATAAAAGAAAATACATAAAATCAATAAATAAAAAATAAATAAATGAAAGAAAAAAATGAAAAAAAGAAAATAAACCAAAAAGTAATAAAATTAATTAATTAAATCAATCGATAAAGAAATAAAGAAATAAATGAAAGAAAATAAATAAAAGTAATAAAAGAAAGAAAGAAAGAAAGAAAGAAAGAAAGAAAGAAAGAAGGAAAGAAAGAAAGAAATATCCATACTTTTGATACTCTGCATTGCTGTAGCTTGATGTCCACGTCATTCCAGTCCTCCTCGACCTCAAACCAGCCAATGGGCTCTTCCTCACTGCTCTCTGTTATCCTCGTGCTGTAGTGTGTGTGTGTGTGTGTGTGTGTGTGTGTGTGTGTTTGTGGTGAAGGGTACACAGGCAGATAACGGCAAGAGGTCAACAAAAAAAGTTTCACAGAATTTACCATCTTGGCCACACAAGGATCAAAATAAACTCTAACATGCACACAGACACTATTTCTCACTCATACACTCCTACACAAACACTATGTACAGTTCACAAAGGCTGCTTCTTATAAACAACTGGTATATACTGTAAATGAATACACACACATGGGTTTAAGACTAAAAAACATACCTGTCTTGGACAAATTCCTTATAGTCCTTATAATCCCAGCTGTCATACTTCTTGAATCTCTTGAAATGTTTATCGGCATCAAACACCTCGCAGTCATTGTAGGCAAACACCAAGCCACATTTAGCACCAATGGCTCCTTTACGCACCTGAGACAGAAAAATAAATCAGGTGGTAGTAAAACTGGTGTTGTGTTGCAAACTGGACATTTACATGACAATCATTCTAATTTCAGGTTTATGAAGTAAAGGTATGCAATACTGACCAAAAAAAAATAAAATCACATCTCTTTACCTTTGTTTTGATAGCATTAAAAAAAAAAAAAAAATAATAATAATAATAATGATAATAATAATAATTATTATATACTAATAATTACTATTATTATTATTAATATACTATTTATTTATTTAAGTAAAATCTTAAAGTGTCACAAAAAATTTATAAAAGCATAAAACAAAAGTTAAAATAAGCCACCAACTAAGAAACTATTAAAATATTAAACGGTTTCTTAAAAAGCTGTGATAGCATTCATTAAATACTAATTATTCATTCATACATTTTCTTTTCGGCATAGTCCCTTTATTAATGTGGGGTCACCACAGCCGATTGAACCGCCAAATTATCCAGCATATGTTTTACGCAGCTGATGCCCTTCCAGCTGCAACCCATCTCTGGAATTCATGCAAATTCATACACTACAGACAATTTAGCCAACCCAATTAACCTGTAATACTAATTATCTCAGTGTTGATTTATTCTGCAACTTTCTGACCTAATATTCACATTTTTGTTTGTTGAACTTGTATAAACTCAATCTCACATATGCAATGAAGGAATAAATATATTTGTGAATTATTCTGTTCCCGTTTTAAAATGTGGAGGTACTGTTTGTTTTATGCATCAACTGTATTTTGAAGCCATACTTTGTTTTATTTAACAGCGAGGACCACAATAGAAATAAGCCCAGGGCTTTATTGTGTTTTTATCCTCAACAGTTATTATTTTAAAATGTATGGGATACTTGTATTTTTGAACAGCTTGCCTAAAATCTGTCAAATAAAATTCAAATTCAATCATGCTCACATACTGATTTTTGAAAACAATGCACTTATAGAATAATGTTTTTTTTTTTATATTACTGAAGTATATCATATTTAATAAATATAATATACAAATTAAAGTGTATTAATTGATAAAGGAATAATTTAACTGCATTCTAACAGGCTTCATCATGCGGTGTGTATTTTTTTGCTTTGGCAAAATGAAAGACAAACACTATAATATCACTTGCACATAATTAAAAACCAATCTATTAACATATAATTATTACAAAATATAATATTGCCACCCCAAAAATGTAGTATTAAACACATAAGCTCACTTTTATCTTGATCTGTGTGACCTGGAAGCAGCTCTGGTTTTCAGTGGACAAAATCACACTGGCTTTCCTCTTTCCATTCTCTGTCAGAAAGCCTGCAGGTTTCAAATCAAACAGCGACTTTTAAAATGTTTCAGGCACTTCTTTGTGGTGAATCATAGCACACAATAATTAGCAAATAAAACAAAATGCTCAAATAAAATAGGGTATAATTTGACTCACTGAAGCAGTTTTTTTCTAGTACTAGGTGAAGAACACGGCCACATTACCCATCCCTTCCCATATTTTAAAGCCAGAATAAACTAATAATGTTGTGTATAATCTGTGTACCATCTCCAGTGTTGGGCTCCGTCAGCATATTTTCTGGGCCAGACTTCTCCTCTTTACTCTTAACATCACACGCCATCAGATGGAGCTGCAGAGGTTTACCTACACACACACACACACACACATGCACACAAACACTTATTACAATCAGCTTATTTTTTTTACTGGAAATGTAGAGACTGGCTGGCTTTCAACAACTCTCAACCTATTGAGTTTTAAGTGGTTTTACCAACTAGTTTTTTTGATGCTTCTGCTAAAGTAATTAATTAAATACTAATTAATATTTGTATTCATTTTGTTAACTAAAAGCATAATGAATTAAATATGGAAATATTTTATAAACAATTACAAATATTTAAATATCTAAATATTAGATTAGAATATTGACTAAAATGAGATTTAATATTACATTAAGTCAGGACTATTCAATTAGTTTGTCATGGGGGCCAGTTCATGAAAAGCATATCAAACGAAGGGCCGGAGAGATATGACTTGCAATATTAGTGATGACACGACAGCATATAAGAGCCAATATGCTGTATTTGTGCTCATAAAGACACCCGCATTGACTTTTTCAACATTAAAACATTAATATGCTGTATTTTGAAACTACATAACATCACTGCATTGTACAAAGTAGCTTTTTTTACAAGCATATCCAAATGTTGTATTCCGAGGCACAAAATCAGTGTATTGCTTAAGTAGGCTTCTTCTACATTCAGACACATTCATATATTATGTTTTAAACTGCATAACGATTAGGGATGCAACGATTTTAGATTTTGGTTGTACGCTTAAAGTCTGAAGAATAATCATGTTATAACGATTATAATGCATTTATTTAATTCAAAACACTACTAGTTTAAAAAAGTAACAAGAAAGCTGCTCATATTTTAATGTGTTGTTTATTGCTGCTCAGTAACCAAATACAGCACAAAACATGAATAAAAAACAAAAAATAGTCCATTTCTGTCTTTGGACTTAAAAATGAATGAAAACGTTTTGATTTAAACATGACTGATAATTTTACAATGAAAATAAATGAAAGAACAATGAATAAATAAATAAAAATAAGAATAAAAAAATTTATTTGTCTAATGTTAATTAAGCTATATATTAGCTAAGAATTTAAATGAACTGTTGTTATTATCTGCGTTCATACATACATAATCATTTTAATAATTTGTAATTATTTGTCTAACATATCTTTTGTTTACATTGCACTAAAAGCCAGGCACAACTCTCACCACTACAGCGTAAGATTATTTTTACTGTGTGCACTTGCAGGGCGTGAGTGCGTCGGTCCACATGCGAGCACTGTTCCCAATATGTGCACGTCTCCATTGGAAAAGACGCAATGTGTCAACAGGCATTACTTTTTTTTTTGTGCGACAGAAATGCGGCATTTAAAACCCTTTAATAACCATTTTTCGACTGAACTAAAATTATTTTTGATGTCTGGTTCATACTATTTGAAGGGCCTGAACTATTTGCCTCAGGGGCCAGGTTCGACCCGCAGGCTGCCAATTTAATAGCCCTACATTAAGTAAACAACATTTATAAATATTAGATGAAAATTAGAAACGCTGACTTATTAGCTAACTGAAATAAGTTATTACGGAAAGACGTTGCATAATTGATAAATGAATGTGAATTGCATTTCATTAACAATGAATATTATTTATGCATGTTGGCTTTAAGTAATAAAAAAATACACTTGTTCAATGTTTAACCCCACCACAGATCTGATCAGGAATAACATTTATAGATACAACTTAAAATTTTAATAAAGAATAATTAAATGTTGATAATAATATTAATCGAGATTAACAAAAAAAAATTAAACGTAGCATAAAAAAGCAAATAACATTTCTAAAATAAAATAAAATGCACATTCAAAAAAATATCTATGTGAATAAATCACACGTGAAAGAAAAAAAAATTGTCTACATAACTAGTGATTATTACCGTTGCGGTGGAGTAATCTTAACCGGACTGACGACATTGAGGCCAGCAGTGAGGAAGCTCGGTATTCTGAGTCCAGATGCCCACAGATTCCAGAGAGAGAGATGAGGACTTTAGCCACACTGCCCCGAGCCAAAGCGAATGCTAAAAGAGTCAGCTCGGCCTCAGGAGAAACACAGCAGCTAAAGACAGACACGGACACAAAACAGTTATCATGAGAGTCTTCCAATTATGTTCAGAAGAAAAGGCTGTAATTATTCACTGATGGGGAAACAGCTATCTGTTATCATCAGGCTGTCTTTTATTGCTTAATTAAAAATGGGCAGGGTTCACCGCTGCCCTTGTCAGCATAGTTTTGACCTCTTAATAACAGATTTGAGCTGAGTTTGACTCTTACTTTGCTATGCGCAGTAAAAAGCCGTCCACCTCTTCCAGAATGTTTGCAGAGAAGAATTTGGGGAACTCAGTTGAGGAAGGAGTTAGAGACAGGGGTGGCATGTGCTGTAAGGCTTTCCTAGAGAGAGAGAAAATAAAACAGTACAATCAACTGCTTTGTATAGTAAAGGTAAAAACAATACATCCTAATTTCTTTGCATTTACTAGATGTATTAGGTATGAAATTGAGTGTCATTTGTTTATCTTTTTAAATGCCTCTCAACATCATAATTTAAATGTTTTAAATTATAATTTAAAAATTCAGAGAGAATTGGTCAGAATAACATTATATATTGACAATTATTTTGTTGTGATTAAAAAATGTATTTCACCAAATACTGAGATACTGAAATGCTTTATATTCATCTAAAGGTAAAACTATTCACGTAGGTTTCCTCTGGGTGCGCCGGTTTCCCCCACAAGTCCAAATTGTCCGTAGTGCATGTGTGTGAACGAGAGTGTATGGGTGTTTCCTAGTGATGGCTTGCAGCTGGAAGGGCATCTGCTACATAAAACGTATGCTGGACAAGTTGGCGGTTCATTCCGCTGTGGCAAACCATGATTAAAAAAGGGACTAATCCGAAAAGAAAATGAATGAATGAGTGAATGAATGAATGAATGAATGAAGTTAAAACACTAGTATTATTGCTGTTGTAATACTTTTTTGTTATTTTGTAAGTTGTTTTCCAAAAGTTTGAAATCTGAAATGGTTTGTATAGATAGATAAATACATCTAGGCGGTTGCTAGGAAAATGCTAAAATAAAATTTGTGGTTACCAGGGGTTTTCCATAGTACTCAGAGTTGTTGCTAGGCAATTATTTGATATTTGAAAGGGGTTTCGCCAGTAGTTTACAGAATAAATCAAAAATTACATTTTACTCATGAGTAAATTTTGAAAACTAAGTGGTCTTTTCATTTTTTACTCAGCTGAATAAAAAGTAATTTGCACCCACATTTTATTTGGAGATTTGTACAAATATTGAAATATTAAATAGATGAAGAAATCAATTACCAAACACATACCAAAAAAAAAGATCCAATGTCAAAGTCCTTAATTAACCCTGGTTTCAATCTATCCCTTATGTTTTTGATATTTTAATACCAAAAAAAGAAAAAAAGCAATCCAGAAAAAAAAGTGTAATAAAAAAAATCCATTTAATGCATAATTTCTGAATAGAAGTATTAATTTCTTTTAAAAAGAACATTGGAGTTAGTGTTCATATTAAAATTAAAATGCATTATTTAAAGTCCCCAAGAATCAAAACTAACCATATGATTTTGTTAGGTCACATTGCTAGTTTTGTGGTGAGCAATTCACCAGTGCCTGTCATTAAGAACAAAAAATAGTTTGCCCTTCTAATCTTTAAATGAAATTTGCAAATGCACTCCCCGCTGCTTCAACTGTCAGTTTTGACAACAAACAGAAATGGATAGCAGGAGTAGTCTGTTAGGTTGTAATAACTCTTCTAAAACCCATTTCCTGAGCTTTCTGAATGAAATAGCTACTTTACTACATTCATTCAGCATGCAGTACAAAAAACTAGCCACGCCCACTGTTTGCTCATTTAAAATTCAGCTTCTCTAGAAACTGTGCCACAGTACAAAAAAAATAAATAAATCAGGATCATAGCTTCTGGTTTATTGGGACTTAAAAAAATAAATAATACATAATTCCAGGCTTTGGTTTATATGATTGGTAGCTTTGTGCATCATGTGACTAATTAGTAACACAGCAAGCATGGCACATTCATTTATCGTTTTTCTCTTACTGTGTGCTTTGTAGGACTGTCTGTGCAAGCACAGGGTTTGTTTCCATTGAAGCGGTGACCAGCGATGTGAGGAGAGACAGATACCATATAGCCGAGGCGTCGGATACCGAAACCTCTTTACTCTTGGTGATCTGGTAGCCCATTGTTTTCAGACCATGAATACGCGTGTCACAGCCATCACTAAGGCAGCGCTTAATGTTTATCTGAATATCTGAAAGACAAAAGAAAAAAGGTTTACAGATGTTTTTGCTAAATTTCTAAACTTCATATTGATAAAGAAGAACTCTAAAAAAAAAATACACAGAAATCACAACCAGTCTATACATTCAACTCATCACAATATTCAAAGACCAAGTACACATACAGTTGAAGTCAGAATTATTAGCCCCCCTGAATTACTAGACCGCTTGTTTATTTTCTACCCAATTTCTCTTTAATGGAGAGAAGATTTTTTTAACACATTTCTAAACATAATAATTTTAGTAACTTATTTCTAATTATTGATTTATTTTCTCTTTGCCATGATGACAGTAAATAATATTTCACTAGATATTTTTCAAGACACTTCAATACAGCTTAAAGTGACATTTAAAGGCTTAACTTGGTTAATTAGGTTAACTAGGCAGGTTAAGGTAATTAGGCAAGTTATTGTATATCGATGGTTTGCTTGTTAGATTATCGAGGAAAAATTTAGCTTAATGGGGCTAATAATTTTGTCCCTAAAATGGTGTTTAAAAAATTAAAAACTGCTTTTATTCTAGCTGAAATAAAACAAATAAGAATTTTTCCCAAAGAAAAAATATTATCAGACATACTGTGAAAATTTCCTTGCTCTGTTAAACATCGTTTGGAAAATATTTTAAAAAGAAGAAAAAAATTCGAAGGGGGCTAATAATTCTGTCTTCAACTGTACATTAGTTCAAAAGTTTAGGGTGGACAAGATTTATGTTAATGTATTTTTTTATTATTAAAATTTTTTTATGAAATGTAATTTTTATATTTTATATTATTATTGTTGCTAAATGCAATTATAATGTTACAAAAAAGTTTTTTAAAAAAGTGCTTTACGGGTATTTAATGTGTCAGTGCTCTTTGAATAAGTAATTTATAAAGATAAACAATGAAATCATAAGTCCAATGGCTTCAACGAGTAGGCTAACCTAAAAAATGTAAAAGCATTTATTAAAAAGGCTATTATATAACAAAAGAGCACTGAAATTCAATTTAACATTTAATATTTGTATAACACCAGACTAAGTATTAAAATACAGTTTTAAGTGTGAAAATCTTTGCAATTTGCACACAAATATTTTACAACAACCCTGAAATAGATTTTGTTTGATATTTAGATGACACTATATTATACACTAAAATATGTTAATAGATGATGTACACTAAAATATGCATATTTTTAGTAGAACAAGAAATTACCATTAATTTTTTTTTCATTTTTTTATAAATACATCTTTTAAAAAAGAAAATACTAAATGCTTAGTGGTCATGTTTTGTGACCAAGCTATGTATGGAGTATTTTTAGGCATCATAATGTTCCTTTAAGTATGTTAGATAGGGGTAAAAAGTTATATGTTCATACACTTTAAGGAATGATTTTGATACATGATAACAATTCAATACTTTGACATATTTATTTCCCATTCATAAAATCTGTCTGATTAGAAAAACTATTATTATATACAGTACTCATCCCTCACAAATCTATCTTTTTAAATTCATATTTTAATAGGAAGCTATATAATAATATATTTGGGCATATACAGTTGAAGTCAGAATTATTAGCCCCCTTTTGATTTTATTTTATTTTTTTAAATATTTCCTAAATTATTTTTAACAGAGCAAGGAAATTTTCACAGTATGTCTGATATATTTTTTTTTTCTGGAGAAAGTTTTATTTGTTTTATTTCAGCTAGAATAAAAGCAGTTATTAATTTTTAAAAAAACCTTTTTGGGACAAAATTATTAGCCCCTTTAAGCTATTTTTTTGATAATCTACAGAACAAACCATTGTTATACAATAACTTGCCTAATTACCCTAACCTGCCTAGTTCACCTTATTAACCTAGTTAAGCTTTTAAATGTCACTTTAAGCTGTATAGAAGTGTTTTGAAAAATATCAAGTAAAATATTATTTACTGTCATCATGTCAAAGATGAAATAAATCCGTTATTAGAAATAAGTTTTTAAAACTATTATGCTTAGAAATGTGCTGAAACAATCTTCCCTCCATTAAACAGAAACTGGTGAAAAAAATAAACAGGGGCGCCAATAATTCTGACTTCAACTATACATTAGATTCATCAGTACAATAGCCAAATCTGGAGCTTATCTAACAAAATAACTTACGATAAATGTCCAAAAACTAGTACACCTATGTAAATATGTTATAAAAAATATTAAATACAAAATTTTAAAAAGAAGACAAATCAAGAGAAGCAAAAAATTGAAAAATTTAGTTGAAACTTGGTAGTTTGTAAATTTTGTTTAGCAAAATTTTGCTTGAATTTAATTGTATTTTGTTGTATTTAATTTCTAAATATGTTTGGTGACTAAAAAATAATTTTTATGAATATATCTGTTTTAATAAATCTGTTTAGTTTAACTGCACCAAAATCCATTGCCTATATTCACTGAGAAATAGATAAAAACATCTATCATTCATCATTTTCAAAATGGGGTGTACTCAATTATGCTGAGCACTGTTTACCAAACCAAAAAAACAGCAGAGAGATTTTCAAGGCATAATGGTGACTCCACTTTAAACAACACCCTGTGTTATTGAAGTGTACACTCACAGGGATGGCTGATGTTGGCATTTTCTAGCAGCGGTACATAACCCGTGATGTTACTGGGGATCCTCACGTCTCTGATCTCCTGCAGGGAGCGCCTGTTCTTCCCAACCGCTATAGACACCAGCTGCGGCATGTAACTGTGGTCATTAGATGCAACTGCAATTGCCAACCGTCTCAAAACTATGTCTGGCTTCATTTTTAACCTGTGAAAGCAATGAGTCAAAGGAAGAAGCTATATTTAACTATCTCTTCATCAAGATAAGGTGAAGCTCTACATAGAAGCAACAATGAATCTTGCCTTATCCAGTGTGAGCGAGCACTGCCGTCCGACTGCCAGAAAGACACCGTCTCGCCATTGGTCAGCTTGTTGACGTCTGTATTATTGGATGAAGCCTCGATGAAGCTGAAGCACTGAGTGACCACTTTGACCTTATCCACGTCTGGGTCATGATTGAGTTCTGCCCTGTACTGGATGTCTAGATCTGAAAAGAGAGCCATCAGAATATGAGGATTAACAGAAAAGGAGATCTTTATGTCCTTCAGCAGAACTAAAGGAAAATCAATTAATCATTTGTTTAAAAAAAAAAAAAAAGTAACAACGGTCCTAAAACTTGCAAATAAGTTGCATTATTGCATTTCAGATCCAGGCACCCCACAGTCAATGGCCTTTCAGTAACAAGCCTGACGAAAAAAAATCATGGCATAAAACAGAAGTAGAGATGTTTTTTTTCCTCTGTTGTGTCATTTGTCCTAATGAAAAATAAAATAAAGACATTTTTAACTTTGTTTAGTTCATTAGGACCTGTTTTACTCTATAGTTTGCTACTGGTGGACTTCATAAGTGACAATTTCATTCCAACCAGATGGCAGCAAACACATCATCAGAGAAAAGATGAGGGGATGGGGGAAATATTTTAAAATAATGATGTGCATGGATAAATCATTTATTATTAGAAATGCACAATTTACATGTGCACATGCACAACCAAAGTAAATCCAGACTACTAATTTGCATAAATCGAGGCCTTGTGCTGCTGGTTTCAAAGCGAAACATGAACACTTCATTCACTATGAACCAAGTTTAAAACCCACAGTACATACACCTATTTACTGACTACTTCCAAAAATAAAACATCTTAAATTTACTTTCAAAAGAAAACAAAGACACAAAAGAGAGTTTAAAAAAAATCTAAATAATGTTTTTTAAATGTATTATAAAATAATTAGACTTTAATTAACTTGCAAGCTATTTTATATATAATAGGATATTATACATTTATTGCATTGGATCTGTGATATACTTGATTCTGATTGGTCAATCATGACATTGGGTATGTTATTCCCAGATAACAGATTAAAATATTAACAAAGGCTCATACGGGTACTAAGAAATACACAAAATAATCTTTAGAGGCATCTTGTGACTGAATAATAATGATAAGTAGCCATGTAATAAGAGGGATAATGCACATACAGGGGCGTCACGGTGGTGCAGTGGCTAGCGCAATATCGCCTCACAGCAAGAGGGTTGGTGGTTCGAGTCTCGGCTGGGTAAGTTGACATTTCTGTGTGGAGTTTGCATGTTCTCCTCATGTTCACGTGGGTTCCCACCAGGTGCTCCGGTTTCCCCCACAAGCCCAAAGACATGCGCTGTAGCTGAATTGGGTAAGCTAAATTTTTCGTAGTGTATGCGTGTGAATAAAAGTGTATGGATGTTTCCCATTGATGGGTTGCAGCTGGAAGGGCATCCATAGCATAAAACGTGCTGGATAAGTTGGCGGTTCATTGTGTCACTGTGGCGACCCCTTATTAATAGAGACTAAGCTGAAAAGAAAATGAATGAATGAATGAATGTACATCCAACTAGTTGTTTTCACAGAATAAAGTCTGTCCAAAAAAAGAGAGATTCCAAGAGAAGCACTATATAAATGCAAGTAGTTATCATTATTATTATTAGAAAAATCAAAGCCTGCCTGGCTTTATTCCGTGATAGCAATTAGCTGGATGAAGATATCTACACATGAGGACTCTGAACAGAAAAGCTATCTACTCGCTAATCTTTCTGACAGAAGCATAATCTTAATTATTACTCATGCTTTTGAACTGGCAGATTTTAAAGGCTTGACAGTGTGTTCAGAAGATTAGTGGTGGTGATGTTGAAGTCGTGTGACGGCAGTGTTGTTTGCTTATAGGTTAACTTTAGCCTATTTTCATCTGTTTTGTTTTCACCAACCCCGCCCTTCACCTTTCTCTTTCTGCAGCAGGTAATCCAGGAAGTCCTGCACTACAGACGTCCTCATGGTGCAGATGCTGTTGTAGCCATCCAGCACAGGGAAGGGGATGACGTTGCTGGGGATGCGATTCCGGTGCAAAAATTTCAGGATTTTGGAGGCATGTGCTTTAAGGCGGTCCTTGGACTTGGAGAAGATATCCACAAATCCTGTATGTGCATAAAGGGTGAAAAACGAGTGAGCGAAAGAGTCATTTGAATGATCACCTTGCATCCTCAAATCTGGACATCTGAGCAGCTGTCGCCATTTCATTCAAATACAAAGCATGCTCATTTCTGCTTCCCCACCTGGTGTCAAAGAGCATGCCTGGAGCTGCCTGATCACATGACTCAGTTCTCCCTGCAGATTGGCTCCATTGGAGTTCCTTAGTGCCATGAGCATGTTCTCCACATCCACAATCCCATCACCCTCAGCATCAAACTGACCAAAGGCCTAAAGAGCACAGTGCAAAAGTTAATTTTCTGTTTCTGTTTGTACACACAAATAGCACACACTAAAAGACAAGCAGACAACAAAAGGAGAAGGAAAACAAAAAAAAGCATTCACACTGCCAGTCTCAAACCAGCTGTCTGTTTCATGTACAAAAACACTGGCTCGGTCAGTGTGTGAATCATTTGTGAAGCTAATGAAAGAAAGAGGGCCATGGTTAAATCAGGAAAGGAACTGCCAGAAAGCATCACAACAACAAAAAGCAACTCGGCACAATCGTGATGCATGATTGTCTTAGATTAACATGTAGTACATTAAAAAAAGCATAATGACAATCAGTTATATATCAATATGTCTTCACTGAACCATGATAAAAGTACTGCCAGGTTTCGAAATGGCTTGTTAGGAACAATTCTTTATCCCTTACATGTGTAGCTTTGTGTTTCTTCAACAACCATGTCAGAAGACATATCCCATGGGTATATTCCAGCAGGATTCAGATTAATCTCTAATTGTAAATATGCTGAGTCAATAACAAACACTCTGACACTGACTGATTCTGTGGTTAAAATATTTAAACAGCATAATCAAAACCTGTAGCTGCCAATAAAAACACACACCATATCTAATAATGTAAGGCACGAAAATGTCGTCTATGTGGAGACAGCCAATAAACTGCCTTTATCAAATGTGTGATAGTATACAAAGATAAAGATTACACAATTTAACCACTCACAAAATCTAGCTTGATGTCAATCACTCAACTTAGAGCAGCCTGGCACATTGAAGTGTTACTTATTTACTAATTAGTCATTTTAGGCGTTTTCCTGAAGTGCACTATGGTGACATGTCATGAATTACTTGTCATGGGTTTTGAACCTACAAACTTTCAGTCACCAAGCCTTTGGAGCTCTGACGTTAGGTCAGCATGTCCCAGAGAGTGCTCACCTCCTCACACTCGTCTCTGGCCGCGTCTCTGCTCTCCAGCATCTCGCAGAACTGCTCCAGGGTGACGGACTCCTCTCCGCGGCTCAGCCTCTCCTCCAGCCAGCGCACCAGAGCGCTCTCGTTGCGCGCCAGAACCGACTCCGAAATGGCGACCCACGAGTCGCTCATACGGGCCGCTGCCTCTCGCAGCTTCACCTGCTCCAGCAGAGCTTCGGGAGTGGGAAGCCCGTGACTCGGTGCCGGTGGGTTCGCCGACCCTCTTCCACTTCTCCCTGGGCCAGCGGAGCCCGCCGCCGCTGCTCCTCCCGCTCCGCCGCCGCCACCACCACCTCCGCTACCGGCCCTGGTGCCAGTGGCCGCAGAGGCCGGGCTGCCCTCCGCGAACACGGGACTCTCCGTTTCAACGTCCTCCTCATCGCCGCTCCCCGCGCCACAGCCGCTCTCCGCGTTCCCCATGCTGTTCCGCGGCCTCGGGCTCTCTTCCGATCGCCTTCAGCCCAGGTTTCAAGCTTAGTTTTAGTGTCAGGTTTGATTAATCCAGGGTGCTTTTCCAGTCAGTGCGTTCCTTCGCTGTCACTACCGCATTGACGGACTCCGCCAGCTGACGTCATGTTTGTCAGCAAAAAACTTTGGTCCCTTCCGTGAGCTCAGCGACGGCCCTGTTCTGGAAACACGCCCCCTAGCGTACAACCACCAGGATCCGCAATCTGAAATACGCCTTTGTTTTTTGTTTTTCATTATTATTTTTATGTAATTTGTTTTATTTTATGTAATTTGTGTGGCTGTGCAGGGAATAAAAAATACAACGTTAAACAAATATATGCTCATAGTGAAAGCTGTATTTATCTTTACATATTTTATTTGTCAACTATGGAGAACAAAACCTGGCAAAACAATTAATAAATATATAAATACACAAATATATGAATAAATAAATAAGTAAATAAATCATCAAATTCCTGCATAAATAAATATATAATCAATTAAATTCAATTAATTACAGGAATGTTGGGGTAATAAGAAAATGCTAAACTGAAATGTTAGTCCTTTATTCATTGGTTCATTGTTACAAAATTTGCATCCGTTTTTTTTTTAAATGGCTTCTGATGATTAATGAACAAACGTTGAATGAGTGAATAAACGTTTGAAAGATGCTCAGTTTAGCATTTTCTTATTCGCCCAATATTTGTGTAACATATCTAATTTTTTACCTGCCAGGACTAATTATTTATATATTTATTTACGCAGGGATTTGTGGATTTAATATATACATTTATTTATTCATTTGCATATTTATTTATTTATTGTTTTATGTGTGCAGGAACTTATAGATTTATTTATTCATTTATTTATATATTTACATATTTATTTATTTACTGTTTTTGCAGGTTTCATCCCATAAATAAAGCAATAAATAAATAAATATGCAAAAAAATAAAAAAGGAATGATTAAATTCACAAATTCCTGCATAAATAAAAAAAATAAATGAATAAATACACAAATAAATTAACGAAAAAACACAAATCCCAGCTTAAATAAAACAATAAACTATTAAATACAAAAATAAAAATTAAATGAATAAATAAATAAACAAATTGCATAAATAAAACAATAAATAGATAAAGACGCATGTGGTGTGAAATAGGCAAAAATCTACTTTCAGTTTAGCATTTTCTTGTTTCCCAATATCCATGTAATTTATTTAATTATTAATCTGCCCGCACTATTTCTATATTTATTTATGCAGGAATGTGTGGCTTTTATATATATATATATATATATATATATATATTTTTTTTTTTTTTTTTTTTTTTTTTTTTAAATGTAACAATGCAGTACTTATTTTTATAGGAAAGTGTTATATTTAAAAGGGCTTTCAGCAAATCAGATTGTTTTCAGATTTTCTGTTTTTATGAAACTGAATAAAAATAATTATCTGAAACAGCAGCAGAATTGAGTTGATATTTTTATTTTTAATTATTATTATTTTTTATTTTTTTTTATTATTGTTTTTTTCAAAATCAATACAAGTTGATTCAGTAATAGAATACTATAGAATAAAATCCATGGATTGTTTTCTATAGTATTCTATTACTGAATAAACTTGTATTGATTTTGAAAAAAAAAATGAAATTGAAACAAATCAAATTTTATTAAATATATGGACCATATATTTAATTAAATTTCGTGTACTACTAATTGTCTCAGTGTAAAATTCTAAATTCACCCTGTTGTTTTTTCTTCTAATGATAATTTATGTTGAGATGATAGATATATTCATTTAGAGAATCTTCGTTAAAAAAAAAATGCGCATGCGCAGTCGCGCTCCCGGAAACATGTTGACAGACGATTTTATTGTTAATCCACAGATGTGTTGCTCGGTGCAGCATGACAGCGTTTCATATATGATCTGCTGAGTCATTGACTTATCGCCTATATGTATACATTATATGCACAATGCTGAAATATTTAGTAGCTCTCATCTCTATGGTTCTGGCCGTCTGGACGGTGCCCGAGTGGCTCACGTTCCCGATCTACGGTAATGTAGTGACAGTACTGGAGTCGTGGCTGCGGCAGCGGGTCAGTGAAGTGTCCGCATCTTCTCCGGGACTCTTGCTGACCAAAGAGCAGCTCTCGTTATACAACGGAGGAAAGAACAGCAAAGGATTGTATCTGGCGATTTTAGGACAGGTGTTTGACGTTGAAAAGGGGAGAAAGCATTATGGCCCGGGAGGCGGTTATCATTTCTTTACAGGTAAGTTTAGTAGGCATGCTGCTGTGTGGGGGGTTAGGGATGTTAAAGCTTGCATATTTCTGAAATCTGCGTGTTTTCCAGGAAAGGATGCTTCAAGGGCGTTTATTACTGGCGATTTCACAGAGGCTGGTTTATCTAACGACGTCTCGGATTTCTCAGAGTCGCAGATTGTGGCTCTTTATGACTGGCTGTCCTTTTATCAGAGGGACTACACTCCAGTAGGTGGGTACATCTGCTAACGTCAAAGGGTTAATTCGACAACAAACTCACACAAATATTTTAAAATTAATTTATTTGAGGATAAAATCAGGGAATGGAAATAATTCTTGTTTCTTCAACATGCTGTTGACGTTTCTTTCAAAATTATTCATAACCCGATTGCAGTTGTATTTATAACAAAGTGTTTTGAAATTAAGTTAAATTCATTAATTTAGTTAATTTCAGTATAGAATTATGATTATTTTATAGTTATGTTGTAACAACTAATGTATATTAAGTACTGTAATTATAACGCGAAAATAAAATTAATTTTGTACTGAATTTATGTTGTTGTATCCGTTGTGGTCCCCTGAGTATTAAGTAGCATTTCAGCTAAGCCTGATACAATAGAAAAAAAATAAAAGGTATCAAAAAATATATTAAATGAAAAAATAATGAATGTATCCATAAATTAATATACATACACTCACCGGCCACTTTATCAGGTACAACTGTCTAACTGCTCTGCAAGTTTCTAATCAGCCAATCACATGGCAGCAACTCAATGCATTTAGGTATGTAGACATGGTCAAGATGATCTGCTGCAGTTCAAAGCGAGAATCAGAATGGGAAAGAAAGGTGATTTAAGTGACTTTGAATGTGGTTGTTGGTGCCAGACGGGCTGGTCTGAGTATTTCAGAAACTGTTGATCCACTGGGATTTTCACACACAGTGAATGGTCAGAAAAGAGAAAATATCCGATAAGCGACAGTTCTGTGGGTTCAAATGCCTTGTTGATGCCAAAGGTCAGAGGAGAATGGCCAGCTTGAACAAGGCAACAGTTACTCAAATAACCACTCGTTACAACCGAGGTATGCAGAAGAGCATCTCTGAACACACAACATGTCCAACCTTGAGGCGGATGGGCTACAGCAGCAGAAGAACACACCGGGTGCCACTCCTGTCAGCTAAGAACAGGAAACTGAGGGTACAGTTCGTACAAGTTCACCAAAATTGGACAATAGAAGATTGGAAAACATTGCCTGATCTGATGAGTCTCGATCTCTGCTGCCACATCCGGGTGGTAGGGTCAGAATTTGGCTCCAACAACATGAAAGAATAAATCCATCCTGCCTTAAATCAACGGATCAGGCTGCTGGTGGTGTAATTATGTGGGGGATATTTTTTTGGCAACCTTTATTGGTACCAATTAAGCATTGTGTCAACACCACAACCTACCTGAGTATTGTCACTGACCATGTCCATCTCTTTATGACCACAGTGTGCCCATCTTCTGATGGCTACTTCCAGCTGGATAACACGCCATGTCAAAGTTTGAATCATCTCAGACTGGTTTCTTGAACATGACAATCAGTTCACTGTACTCAAATGGCCTCCACAGTTACCAGATCAAAATCCAATAGTGCCCCTTTGGGATGTGGTCAAATGCGAGATTCGCATCATGGATGTGCAGCCGACAAATCTGCAGGAACTACATGATGCTACCATAACAATATGCACCAACACCTCTAAAGAATATTTCTAGTACCTTGTTGAATCTACGCCACAAAGAATTAAGGCAGTTCTGAAGGCAAAAGGGGCAAAAAATATACTAATTTCAAAATATTAAGTGAGCTAAATTTTACCATAATTATTGTGCATGTATTTTTCTAAATGTCTTAAGATACTCTTTATTACATTCAATAATATTCTTTAAAAATGTGTTTTAAATAAAAATCTTGGTATATCTGAATTCTTTAATCGTTGTTAGTCATGCAAAACTCACTTAAGAATTTCATGTAATGCTTTTAGAATCTTTAATTGTGGCTTTAAATAATAATAAAAAAAACTTTCAGACAAATAAAAAAATCAAGTCCTTAACAGGTAAATACTTTGATTTATTTTTGGGTAGAATTATCCCTTAAAGTCGTCTGTCTGTATGGCCTCTGTGTTGCAGGCAAACTTATAGGCCGATTCTACACAGAAACTGGGCAGCCCACTGACGCTTTGCTCCATGTTGAGGCTTTCTTATCTGACGGGCTGAAGAAAAAGGCCCAGGCTCAGAGTGAGATGCAGCTTTACCCCTCCTGTAACTCAGAGTGGAGTGAAGCCAGCGGGGGACGAGTATGGTGCTCAACGATGAGGTACAACTGTGATATTTTAAATACAATCTTTCCCATGAACAACATTTAATAACACAAGTTTTACTCTGTAGTGGCGGCATTCACAGAGACTGGGTTGGAGTACCCAGAATGCTATTCACCCCTGGATCTGGTCATTCCAGATGTGTGTGTATCCGACTCTCCGATCCTGTTCACTCCGAGAACCGAAACCTGAGAGAGTACACGGACTGTCCTCCTCGAGCAGAGTCCTGCCAAATCGCTAAAGACTGAGATACAAGTCTTCGCCACACTACAGAAGTCAATGTGATTGTTTTGGATTTCAAGGACTCGCTCTCAATAGAATTGTGGGGGGAGACAAACAATGGGACTGAGGCTGCTCTTTTAGTATTTATATAATTAATTTTTCGGTTAAATTCTTATGATATTTGTGTATTATATTAGTAGACTGTCAGATTAATATCTGATGATATGCTAAAAAATAAAGCGTGACTTTTTATTGAATAAAAGTGTATCTGCAAAGTGTAGCTGGAAGGGCATCCGTTGCATAAAACTTACTGGATAAGTTGGCGGTTCATTCTGTGTGGCGACCCAGGATTAATAAAGGGACTTAGCCGACAAGAAAATGAATGACTGTTCAAAAATAGCAAAAATCAACAAAAATAGTTTACACAGTTAACAGTTAAGTTGAAATGTAGTAGTTTGTAATTTGTTTTGCAATATTTTGCATGAATTTAAATATCTTTACATTTCTAAAGATGTCCTGTGACTAAAATATTACTGTAATAAACCTGTCTGTTTAATAAATCTGTTTTGTTTAAATGCACCAATATAAATTACCCATATTCACTGAGAACTAGATAAAAATATTAGGTTTCAAAATTGGGCGAACTAAATTATGCTGAGCACTGTACTTCAAGCAAACTCGATGAAAAAAAACTGCTAAAGCATAAACATCCATGAGTAAAAACATTAAACAGAGAGAGCTGATTTAGAATCGAAATCGAAGCTGTAATTGTAACTCAAAGCAGAACTGATCATTTTTGCAGGGGGTTCAGTACTATTAAGTTGTTTTCATTAAAGCAATCTATACTACAATTGGTATAAATAAGTGATTTGTATTGACTGGAGTGCCGAATGGCAGAGCTCATGCAAACACACTTTCACACCACTGCCATCAGTATACTGCTGCCCAGTTATCTTGGACTTCTTTTCACCCTCTGTGAGGAATGGAAAAGATCTGTCTTGAGTATTTCAGCGTCTTTAGTTTTTCCCTCCATTACAGATTATATAACCAATCCTGTTATTCATTCCATGAAATAATTCATTCATTTTTTTTTCCGGCTTAGTCCCTTTATTAATCCCGGGTCACCACAGCGGAATGAACCACCAACTTATCCAGAACATGTTTTACGCAGCAGATGCCCTTCCAGCCGCAACCTATGTCTGGGAAACATTCATACACACTCATTCTCACTCATACACTATGGACAATTTAGCCAAGCCAATTCACCTGTACCGCATGTCTTTGGATTGTGGGGGAAACTGAGACACCCGGATAATAATAATCAAATAAAAGACAGCCACATAGACTTTTTTTGAATCGTCCTTTATGTAAAGTTGTCCTCCCTTTCTTGAAAAGGATACTAGAGGCGGCGACAGGCTAAATATCTGAGCATACAGATACCATACAATGTGCAGAGAAGATTAAACAGAGGCCGAATTGTAGGTTTGTCACATAGACAAAAAAAGCACAACCTGCAGTAAAGTACAAAACAGTTGTAGTGGTCAAAAATATTATACATTTATCTGTACAATTCAACAATACCAATAACAGACTGTGGACTCGCCCTTCCCCCCTGCCCTCCCCCCCACAAACAAAGAAAACAAACCAAATCTCTTTTGAAAATGATCCGAAATGTTAAAAAAAAGAACTTGATAAAGTGCACCTGTTAAGCATGGACATGAAAAGCATCAAATAAAAAAAATGAAGTGACGTGATACGCCACCAAGGAGACTTTTGAAAACAAGGACCAAGCGAGCAGCGCCCCCAGCACCAGCTTGCAGAGCAAACATTAACTGGAATGTATCCTTTGGTGATCAGAAATGAATAAACTGATGATGATGATGTCATGCATATGCATAGGAAGCATATCATAAACCTTCACCTGCATTTCTGCACCCGTCCGACTTAATAGAATCACAAGGAACGATTTAAATTCTCACATAGTAGAATGACGCAAACTCTAATGGATCAGTTCAAATAAAGTCCACTGAATATGCAGATTAATAAATGATTACGTGATCATGTTACTAATAACATAACATAAAGCCAGTAAGGTGTATTTCTCCATCTGTCTCTCTCTTAGTGTTTAGATTTGAACTCCACAGAGGAAATCACTTTCTAGAGAGGCTAAAAATGTGTACAAAATATCAACGTGACAACTGAATGAGCCTGCGTTGCATGATTAAGGCTTCTCAATGTTTAAACATGGCTACCTTTCAGATCCCTTATATCCAGCAGCATTCAACGAATACCTTCAAGTCTGTAGAAACAGTCAATTGGAGTGGTGATGGCGAGTGGGAATCCTGTGCTAGTTTTGTCATTCTGATGGAGAAACAAAATAAAAATCAAGTGATCATAAATCATAAGTGTCCACGTAGCACGTTAGCCCTGTATAAAAGCCCATATGGTTCATTGTTTGCTTAATGACTAGTAAATGACGGCTGTCCTTCTCATCTCACTCTGAATTACAATTTGCTTCTGCATTCCGCTAGTTTTAATCTGGATCCTCGACACACAATAGTTTGGTTCTAAAAAGTACTGCTAGAACAAACACATATTGTTATGGTTGTATTTTGTCGTCTGACAAGAATGGAATGGTTTTGTTCAAAAGCTCTTGCTTTCTTCGGCGTCCTCCTTGAATAGTGTTAGGCCCAAGCCGTGGGTTTATGCTCAGCTCGGCTGGCGCCTGTCCTTCAGGTTCCTCTGGTGTGTTACGACACGCCTCCCAGGGTCAGGACATCAAAGCAGATGTCACACACACGCACAGGTTTGTTCAGGTCAAATTTGATGATGGGGATCTCTTTTATAGAGCACTTGTGGCAGAGCAGACGCCCACAATGGCGGCTATGAGAGAAGGACGTAAGACGATGACAAAACATTATTATTATTATAAGGATTTGAAAAGAAAGGAGGGAGTTGTTCATATTAAAAAGAAGAAAACAAAGGGCTTTATGAAGGTAAACAGATTGAATATCATGTTGGTTACATACCAGTGATGTTTTCTGGTGGTGACTCCAAATTTGGTAATACATTCATAGCAGTTTGATCCATCACACCACGGGGGCTCTTTGGATAGCATATCTGTATTGTGAAAAATAATAAATGTAACACACAAGTGTTGATAGATACATCTACTACAAGTATAGCATTTTTTTGAGACAAACAAAACAATGGTCCCAACGCATTTCCTATTTTACATTTTTAATTTACATATCTACCGAGAAATCTAAAAAGTAGGGATGTAACAATATCGTAAATACCGTCATACCGCAATAGTAATTTTTTTCAATATTACCGTAGGCACATGACTCAATAAAACTATATTTCTGAGAAAAGTTTGCTTAAGCGAATGAAGCGAACGGGCGTGAAGCGATCAGCCTAGGCGTGGCCATCATCCTTTGCGGTCTGTTGTCACTACAGATCCAGTAATGGGGAAATGGAGTGTGTTGCTAGTAGCGGGGAAAAAAAAGAGCTGGAAATGATCGAACCTAAAGCTGGTTTTAAATCGGATGTGTGGAAGCATTTCGGTTTCTTTCTAAAAAGATAGGAAAAAGTAGAAAAGGTGACAGACAAAGAAAAAAACAGTATGCAGGTACTGCCAGACTGTGGTGAAATATAAGTCGGGGAATACGACTAAAAACAGTCATGGGGACAGCAGAACACAGCACACTTGTTAGATTGATGCAGACATTGACTTGTACCGCAAAGAGACCTCTATCTCACTCATGGCTTGTCCTCTCAAGTGGTGGAAAGACAATGCACAATGTTACCCACTGCTGTCAACCTTGGCTAAATCATATCTCTCTGTCCCAGAAACTTCAGTACCAAATGAGAGGGTTTTTTTTTTCTGTTGCAGGGGACATGCCCAGAGATGCCCAGCTTTTACCAGATTATAGTTATATGATAATTTTCCTTAAAAAACCCATCTCTATCTAAGTGAGTGCGTGATTAAATGTTGAATGTGATGAGTTTTCAACAATGCTAAATTGAAACTTTATTTTTTTTTATATGGTTTAATAGTTTTTTGTTATTAAAATTGAAAAATCGAAGTTCCTGTTTCAAAACTTACAGATAGATGGCTAATTTGTATGCCATTGATATGTTCAGTGCTAAGGTAAATAAACACTTTTGGCACTTTTTTTGAGTCTTTTCATTAGTTTTGTTTTTCCTGTAAATTATTCAATGAATATCGTACCGTCCCATTTATACCGAGGTATTATCGTACCGTAAAATTCTGATACCGTTACATCCCTACTAAAAAGAGCCACATATTGTTAAATAATGTTATGATATCTGTTTTAACATGAAGTTACGTTTGATTTGCCTCGTTACTGTCATGAAATAGTTTGATAACAAGCAGGAAATGTTCATGGGCCAATAACATGACCACATTGAAAAGGTTCAAGCTAAATTGGAGAGTGAACTGGTATGACAATAAAGAAAAATGAAGTTTGCCAAAATAAACCATCCAAAAACATTTACTCCAGATGGTAAACGGGTTCAAACAACCATTGCACTTTGGTCATTGCGTAATAGGTTGGTGTGACTGCCTTATTTGACAATTTTCTCTGGTTTATTTTCTCTGTGTAGTCAGTAAATGTGATTTATAAGAGATTGTACATTTTAATTCTAAGCTTAAAAAGTTGTTTGGTTAATGAATGAATGCATGCATTTATAATAATATTATCAATGATATAGTTGCGATTAGAGAGACTCCATTCACACTGTAATGGATTGAAGTCATTCCACAAAAGTTTAATATCATTTTGGCCTTTAATCCATGACACTAGCATTGTAGGTTCCCTGAAAAACATTTTGGATTTGTAACAGAGTGGAAAAGAATTCTAAACTTTGCTCTTACATGAATCCATGTGCATTGGCAAAATGCAACTTTTTGGAAACAATGGCATAAGGCTGCACAATTCATTAAAATGAAATCAAATTCTCTATTAAGCAAAAGCCGCCAATCTCATGCACATCTTGCCAGAAAAGCAAAGCTAGTATGATGGCTAGAAAACCTTCTCCGAAGATCAGATGGCACTCATGCAGAAACTCCAAATATGGAAACGTGAAATTAAACAGAGCTTAAACTGAACAGAAATTTAACTGTTTATATTGATTCAACATGACTAAAGTCATCTTTACACAGATAATGTAAGAGAGCCCTAAATTGGGTCTTTGTCTGTTCAGAATTCAGTTTAAAGCCGCTATAAAATTGTTTGTGCAAATAAAAAATTTTAAAATGTATGTCGCTTCAGGTTTGGTTTCTTTGCTATGTAAAGATACCTTAATAAAGACAACAGAGTCATCTCTCAAAATGCTTTATTTCAAACAAAGTCACTTCTTAACTTCAGCCGAGGGGAGTAAAAACAATGAATTATTTATGGTGTATTCACGCGTTTCAGATGTAGCAGTAACAGAGCCCCCGTTCACAGAAAAGTCATGCAAGCAAAGTCAAATTGCAAAGTCATTCTCTTGGATTTCAGGATCCTTTTTTTTCTCCATAAAATTAAATCGGCCACAATTTTAGTGTGTATTGTCAGTGAATAATGGATTTGTGAAATAAACACTGCTCCTTCTAAAAGCAGGTGCTGGAGATTTACTGTTGATTACAGAGCTGGCTTTACTGACAAAATGCACAAGAAAATGCCTTTGATTAAATACACAGTCCTACTTTGTGACACTACCACATCATGCATGCTCACTGCATACTTGTGTGATCTTAGTGTGCCTTGTGTCTCAGTGTACAGTGCCACATATATGTCTGGCATACATATTACACCATTTTTACCTAGTTTTCCTATTTCTGTATGAACGCAGACATTTATTTGGAACAAAATGTGTATCTACACAAAACTTTTAAAATCCACAAAAAGACAAAAACTTGATGCCATCTGGACATAACCAGACACAGCATTACTATTAGATTGTGACTGTTATAAACTAGCCAGTAGCCACTAACCCCATTTGAGTGGAAACTACATCAATACATTAAATAACGTGTCGTGTTTAAGCAAATGTACGGAACTTGCAACTACTGATTTTCAGCACTGTTTTTATGCAGTGGAAAGCTTGCACAACATAATTGCAATCAAAACAAAATCGATGTTTGCTAAAAATGCATAAATAACTGCAGAGCCTAAAAGTAGAATGAAAAATATCTTCACAGTGATTGAATTCCTTTAAAAACACAAAACCTGTGCCTCTTACCTAGCAGACGAAACAGAAGCTGTTTAGTAGCAACTTGGTAGTTAAAGATGTTGATGCCCTGGTTGTTAGTGACACCGAGACGAGCTCCAGCCCTCACAATCGCACGACATAAGTTAGCATTTCCTTTCATATAGGCCAACAGCAGTACTGCAAGAAGAAAAAAAACTTTGTTTTTGTTTTGTTGGTCTGACAACAATGGAAAAAACGTTAAAAAAATGCGCATTCAGTTTAATCAACGCAGTTATGCTTCACTGACCTGTGTTGCCCTCATTGTCAGGTTTATCTAGGGGATATTCCGGCATGCATTCCAAAAACAGCTCAAAGATGGCCGCCGCGTTCTCCTTCCCATACTGGCCGAGGACATGCATGGGAGACTGACCTCTAGAGAAATAAAATCAGGCCAAAACTATACAAGTTAGTGAATGTCAGTAAGTATTAGACAATATTTGATCATTTTAAGCGTTTATTATATAATTTAAATAACTCGATTGTGTAATAATTTATATTCATTTAATCAAATACATAGATTATAAAAACTATTTATTATGATTATAAAAAAGAATACATTTAAAATAGTATATAAATAAATGTATAACTGCTAGCATGTGGAGAGGTGTTGAGTCAAACCTTAAATTATAGGCCTCCGCATCTACGTTGGACTCAGTGAGTAGAGCACGCACATTATTTAGTCGCCCCTGCATCACGGCCAGATGAAGTGCTAGGAGGAAGAAATGGAATTTATTTCTACGCTTTTAATGAATTAACATTTTTGTGCTAAAATTATTCTGATTTACATTGACTACTGAGCCCTTTTACTCCAATTTTAAGTTTAGCACAATAGTCTACCGTTGTTTCCATTTTCATCTACGGCTGCAAAGTCAACCCCATTCTCAATCAGGACGGAGCAGATCGTGGAAAGATCCTGTTGCGCAGCTAGATGCAACGCTGTTTGACGATGCTTGGTCAGCTCGTTTACTTTAGCACCAGCCAGGAGCTGCAATTCACACACGCAACATGAAGAAATACATGTTTCAGTACTTAAAAAGAGCAGAATAGAAAAGTATTAGAAAACAGAAGAGAAAAGAACACATGAAAAAGAAGGAAATGAAATTGAATGAAAGGAAAAGGTTTAAGGAAAGGAAAGAATCCTGCATTATTGCATTTAGAGGACTTCAGACAATCACCCCAGAAAATACGTGTTTCATTACTTTTCTGATTTTGACTAATTTAATGATACGCCTATTTTGTGAAGCTGCTTTGGGCCGATAGTTATTGTGAAAAGTGCTATACAACTTATGTAAACCTGAATTGGATGCTACAAAAAATAAGAAATAAAAACAAAGGACTGAAAAAGGAAACCAAAGAAAAGAAAAAAAAATCCATTATTGAATTTACAGATTTCTTATCTGAGAAAATCTATGTTTCACTTGAAATTAAAAAAGAAAGAAAATATCAAAGAAAAGAAAAAGGGAATAGAAACTCCTCCATCTTTTGGCTTTACCAGATTTCTGACAATGATCTCGGATCCTGCCTGCACAGCCAGGTGTAGAGGCGAGAGTTTGGCGCTGTCCTGCACTCTGGAGTTGACATTGGCCTGTACACTGATGAGGAACAGCACACTCTCTATGTCTGAATTCTGCACAGCAACATGGAGAAAGTTGCGACCTTTGTTGTCCACCTTGACACAGAGGGAACATTCATTTATTGGCTTGTGGCACTGCATATATATAACAACGTGATTTGTTACAACTGATTTTATTTACTTTTCTTTAATGCAAATTTAATAGCACCCACAAACCTGTTCAGCAGCACCAGGCTCTCGCTTAAGGATAGCTTCAGCAGCCTTGTTGTTTTTGTGGGTCATGGCACAGGCGAAAGGCGTCATGCCTTGTCGGTCTCGAATATTCAGCCTGATTTCAGGGTGGGAGATGAGCAGCTGGATGATGACGCTTTGCTGGTTGCTGATGGCGACATGGATGGGAGCACGGCCCTCTGAATCCTGAAGGCACAGAAATTGACATTGCAGACATTTTCAGGGTATACGGGACACATCTAAAAAAAGAAGCTATTCTTTCATCTAAAGCGGAGATGCCCAAACTAGGGCCCGCAGGCCAAAGTCGGCCCACGGTAACCTGTGATTTGGCCCTCCATCCCATCTGAGAAGAGAGGGAGAATGATGGGGAATGCCTTTAACAGAGATTGTCATTTCTAATTTACCATAACTTTTGTTTTTTAAATGTTGAGCTACAAAAAAAGCTAACTGCAATTAAATACTTCAATTAAATGTTGTTAAGGAATCAGATTAAAAAAGAAAAATTAAATACAGTCACTTGATGGATAGCGGACATTGCAGAAGACATTAGCAAGCAAATCAAGGGAGTCTATTTTTTTAGTGTTATAAATGGGATCGTTCATGTTTTTTATTGGTAAGATGTTCATTATAAAATTTACAAAAATGTATAATTATTAATACAATTAAAGTATTTTAAATGTAATAAATTATAGTAATTAATTAAGTTATATAATGAATTATAATAATAAATTAGGAAATTATATTGATAATTTACAGTTTGTTATATTTACATAAAAGTTTGGGCACCCCTGATCTAAAGAATAAAATAGAGAACGCTAAATTGTGTACAAACCTGTGCATTAACATTGGCTCCAAACTCTAAAAGGCACTGCGCCACTTCCTCCAGACCCCAGGATGCAGCCAGGTGTAGTGGACACTGTCCATCTCTCGCCTCCTCATCACCTTCACCATTAGGACCAGGCCTTCTCGAGCTGTTCACATCGCAGCCACTGAAAAAACAAGGCGACATTTAAAGAACATTTATTTTCCATATCTTTATTTTAAGTTCTTATTTGTAACGTCTACTCATTTAGTGATCAGTTACTTTTATGGAAGTGATTACTTGGAATGAATTTTATTAATTTAACCAGCATTACAATTCATAGATTACTTTTTTTTAAGTAAAAGCCTTTAAAAGATTGTGTAAAAGGCCAGCAGTTATAGCCTGAACCAGGACAGTGTCATCATATTAAATACTGGATTAGAAACAAAGTGCAGCGTTCTTGCATATTTTGTTCATTATGAATGAGCACAAATTAACTTTACTTTTATGAACTCCTTTTATGAATTCTCACCAGAAGTACACATGTGATGATGTGGAATGACACTTAAAGTCCTGTTGAAATCAAAATTTGCAATGTTATTTTTTTGCTAGCTCACTTTGTTATTCTTAAAATGAATAATTGACTGGATGAAGACATGCGAGGAAGCTCAATTATTAACAAAGAACACTTGTCTGAAACTGTTACAATATAAGTGGTTGATAAGGATTTACATAAATCCAGTTTTCTTGCATAAATATAATGAAAATAGTCAAGATACTTGCTTGAGATACAGGGACCTTAAATGAACGCTGTATCACTGTGTATGGGAATGTAAAGGAGCACAGAACTTCTGGAAAGGTGTGAAAGAAATTATAGAACATCTTCTTGAGGTTAATATACCAATGTCTCCTTTAATTTTTAATATATACATTTTAAATTTAATTTATATCCCAAGGAGATCATGTTAAAAAGGCGGAGCATATATTTATAAATAAATGCATTCTGCAAGTAAAACGGCTTATTTCTTTAAATTGGAAAATAATATGTGCACCAAATATAGGCCACTGGCTGAAAATGATGAAACATATCAATGGGGGAAAAAACTTGTGTATTAAGAAATTAATACATCATTTTTGGTAGAGTTTAGGGACCTTTAATGTTGTTTTTAAAAGGTGGTGGAGTTGGAAATGTTTTACCATTAGATTGGTAAAAGAGGTGATATTGTATTCTGATGTAAAATACTAAGAAGCCTTTTGTTTTTTTTAATTATTTGTTTGCTTGTTTGTTTATGTTATATTTGGTACATGGAAATGTGTATGCACATGTTAAAATATAATAAAAAGGAATTGGGGAAAAAAAGAATAATTAATCTGTGCAAGTTAATCTCGTAAAAAAAAGCTCTGTTTTGGTAATCTTTAGCCAAATCTGACCATTTGTTTCCCCATTTGGTGTGTCGATCAATCTGTTGATGTCAACCTAAGGGCTTACATAGTAACTGCATATCAATATGCTTAACCACGCCCCTCTTAACGTTAGTCTTCTTTGAGAGAATGATGCTGAAAAGAAACCCCGCCCCCTAATCAATATTTAGTTTCAGTTGGAAGTGCATCAACAGTGAAATAACTTTCAGTTCACAATGATTTTATTGTGCCTGAAAACCTCCATTTAGTCATCAGCAACTGCCTTTAAGATAAGTATAAAAAAATGGGAGGGGTGTCACTAATTACAGCATAAAATAAAAAGAACTTGACCTCGTGTTAATCACAGGCTTTAAGACAAGACATGTTTTTTGGTGATTTATTTTATTTCTAACAGAAATTCTTCCCAGGAGCAAGACAAAACAAGGAAAGGTGTGCAAACCTGCGTATAAGGAAGCAGGCGGTGACCTCATTGTTCTCATCGATGGCTCTGTGGAGAAGAGTCTGCTGACATCCTCCCGGCCCTGAACTCCAACAGGTCGCGTCACACCCATGTCTCACCTATCAAAAAAAAAATCTATTAAATTAAATTTGCAAAAGGGCTCAGTAGTCAATATAAATCGAACTCATTTTAGCATGCATTATTTAATGAATATTGGAAAATTACATATAAAAAAGAAGACCTTACCAATGTTGATGCAATGTCCTCCAAACCGTTCTCCAAAGCCAGCCAGAGTGGAGGATCCCCCTTCTCATTCACCACTGACATGTCGGCTCCTCTGGTGCAGATGGCGTCCACTACTAAAGGAAGCTGGTTACTGATGGCTAACTGCAAAGCCGTCTGCCCCTCCTGGGTCCTGGAACAAAGCATGATTTATAATCTATTGTCAAATCACCTGTAGGAGATCTTTCCTCTCCATATGCACCACACAATCTTTCATAAATGCTCCAGATTTCTGGGAAAATGTTGTGAGATTATGAGCTTCATGCAGGTGAGTGGGCTTGACAAACCGCCTGAAGGAATACATGTATGTGTCTCTATGTGTATGTGCAATAAAAATGTTTATGAAAACTGTCTAAAACTAGTAAACAACACCCATTTTTTTCTTAAAACTAGGGTTGTCAAAATGGAGTTTAGTACCAATCGGTACAGAAATGAAAAAGACTAACATTTCAGCACACCTAAAACCGCTGATTGGCCATTGTGTTCACGTACTCAACAGAAATGACCAGTTCACTGTGCTTCACCGCTGTTCAGTGCAAGCATAGATACACACATATAACAGCGTTTCAAAGTAACGTCAATCAGCTGATTTTGTCTATGAACTGACATACAAGCGATCTACTGAGGGATTGACTGATCTACGTGGCATTGAAACGCTCCAGAGTTTGTGTATCTGAGTTTGCACTAAAGAGCCATGTAGGATAAGGAACTGATGACCTTCACAGCCAATCACAGTCAATTCTGTAGGCCATTTCTGAATGGCAAACACAATGGCCCTTTTCAAATTTCAATAGCGGTTTTACCAACTTGATACTTTTGACAAACCTACTACAATAAGGAAAAATGTTTTTGATCCACATCAAATGTTGACTACTATACAAATAGTTGCTCTCTGTTGATTTGAAATGCTTAATTTACCCTTGTATTTGTCACTTTTGATAAGAGCATCTGTAAAAATAAATAAATACAAGTATGCAATCATAGTTCTATTCTGTACCCCTACCCCTTCCCCTTGGCCCTTAAAACTGAGTGTGAAGGGGAAAGGCTTTAAAATTTACCCCTAAGAAATAGGACAGCACTACAGCACCTGCACACATCATCTTTTGTCATCGCGATCTCATTCTTTATACAAGCTCAGAGGACCGCAACTGCTGTAGTTATTCCAGTTGTGTTATTTTTTTGGTATTAGCTTCAGGAAATCACATAATCACATAATAATCATCATAACGATATAATGTGCCAATAAGATGCATTTACACAGTGGCCATATTCATCTATGTAAACACACCAAAAACAACATCAACATTATAGCAGACACTGTAAAAAGGTCATTCTCAGCCACTAGACATTACTAACAGGGTATTCGAGTGTCATATGCTGCTTTTCCACTATCGTGCCAAACCGTTCTAAGAACACTTCGGTACGGTTACGGTTGTTTCTCCACTGAGCCTGGAACGGCGCGGCACGATTACAAACCGTTCTCGGCCCGGAATTCTCGGCACGGTTAGACAACCGTGCTGAACTGTGCTGACAGATTCTGTGTGTTGACGTCGCGACTCGGTTGCTAAGCTACCACAGCTGGCTCAGCAGAAGCGCGCTAGTCATCAGACATCCTCAATAAACTACAGTACATTTAATATAAAATAATGATCCAGGTCTAAACGATACAGTTTGAAAAGGGTTTTAAAACCATAGAGTAGTCTCTGGCAGAGAAGTGAATAACTCATCACATTCTTACGAAGATATTTTATTCATTAAAGTTATTATTTTATTGACTTGAATACAGACCTACTTCGCCTGCCTGAATGTGAGTTTATTGCACGCAGCGCTGTATTCCACAGCACAAAACTCGCTCTGATCCGGGAGAGCGACTTGCGCTGCTGACTTTTTTTTCCTGCTGCGCATCGAATAAAGCGAATAAACTCACGCTTTGCATCGTCGATGTCCAAATTCCACAACAACATCACTATATCCATGGAACACGAACTTGCAGACTCTTTTAACAACGAGGAAATAATTGCACTTTTTAATTCAAAGCCAGGACAGCTTGTTAATACCGGCGAGACCACCTGACGGCGTGTTCGTGTTGTAATGTCGGCCGTCCAAAAGACTTTGCTTGAAAGCTTTACGGAGCGGCACTGTAACTGTCCAAGGTACTGTTGTATGATTTATATTACAGCATATGCACTAATAAATAAGTCAAAAGAATGAATGAATTAAATAAATATGGATTCTTGAATGTCAGTATTGCTTTTACTTAAAAAATATCAATACGTTTTGACAAATGTTTTATAAAAATAAAATGAGCAATTTTCATCATTTCAGCTATAGGCAATTATATGATTCAGTTATACATAAGTTATATGACATTTATGAGGCATGTAACATGTTTCTGTGTTTTTGTTTTTTTTGTGGTGATCTTTAATATAGCTACGCAAATATTTTCTAAAACGTCTAGCAATAATTCGCCTACAGCTTGTTAGTTAATTATGAACACAAAAATAATTATAATAATAAAAATAAAAGGATCAAAATAAAAAGATAATAGAGCAGCATTTTGCTAAATATAATAGTGCTTTATATGCTTTAAATCCTGCAATATATGTGTTGTTTCATATTCGTTTTTTTTTCACTTGCTGCATTCGTTATTTAATGTTTGAATAGTAAAACAAATAACAGCCATCGCTTAATTGGTTTCATTTTACCATCAAAATGTAGTATATTTTATATCATTATCAACTTTTGATATAAAAACGCAGTGTAATTTAATTAATTGTTAAAAATGAAATAATTTATGTGCTGTGTTTTTATTAGTGAAAGTGCCCGCTCACCTTTGACAAGGCCTGTCCAAAATTATATTTCTGCCACGATAATGCAAATGCACTATTATTGTTGTCTTATCATTGTTTATTTTTCTGTTATGTTCAGAGATTTTAAATATTATTTATTTCCCCTTCAATTATTTTCAATCATCACGTTACATTTTGGTAATTTTCCCTCCAAATAAAATTTAGCCAGAGCTGCGCAACATATAAATAAATAAGGGTGCACATTTAGCACCCCTATTTGATAGAGGTTGATAAATAGTTTCGGCTCTTATTTAACTTTAATTGAACAAAGGGAGCCGTTTACATTGCGTTACCAAGGCAACTACTGATGCGTTTTGTGTAATGTTTTAAAGAGCTTTGTCGCAGCACGACAGTGGAAAATGAAACCGTATCCGTGCTGTCTGGCCCGGTTTGGCACGGAATGGAACAGTTCTGTTTAAAGAACGATTCAGCACGATAGTGGAAAAGCGGCTATAGATTGTGGGACTGCTGTACAGGAGTTATGATTATGGATTATCGATAGCAAAATTTAGCAGTTCTTATTTTAGCATTTGTTTTTTTTTAAGCATGATGGTAAAACACGAATGAGGTTATGAATATATTAAAACGTGCTTGTTTGTTGTAAAAATTTGTAATGATGACAAAAAAAACTACTTTCTGCATGTCCTTACTTCTGGGTGCAGCATACCTGCCATTGTGGCTGGTGTATTCTGGGAAATTTTCTTACCCATTGGTTTTGAGTGTGGTCCTGAAAAATCTTCATTTAAAGGGCTATTCACCCCTACCCCTAAGCCTTACGCCTTCAAGCTTAAAAGAATTGGGACACCCCTACCCCTTCACGGGAATGCACAAAACAAGGGGTAAGGGGAAGGGCTAAGGGGTAGAATTGGGATTGGGTCTAATTGTCTATCTTAGTAGTTTCTTTTCATGGTGGAAATACCCTTTAAATGTATATGGCATCAACTTTATAAGTGGCAGCCATTTCTTGAAACAGACAGAACGGGATTGAGACTGCAGGCAAGACTTGAACGTGTGGCGGATGTGTGGATTTTTATAGCAGTTGTATTACCTGACATTGATATCGGCTTGATGCTCCAGCAGGAAGAGGGCGCTTTTGCTGTCCTGTCTTTTGATGGCCATGTGAAGCAGCGTCTGTCCATCAGACATGGTGTCATTAATGGCTGCTCCAGAGCCTAGCAGCTGAGCAGCAATAGTGTGCATACCTAAACAAGCAAAAACAGGAAACAGTCAACTCGTTAAGTGAAGCAGCGTGAACTCATTAAAAGAGATTTTGGCAAAACCCACCAGTCCAGAGAGCAAGACCCAGAACGGTTTGATCCATGGAGTCTTTCAAGCTGAAGTCAGGGATGATCTGCAGGTTGTTGGTAGCGTGTAGCGCATTGGCTATGAGAGATGGAAGAGAATAACATGCATAAGAAGCTGCACAGATCAGTAGTCAAATTGAGCATCATCTCTCATCCTACCTTTCTGTTCTAGTATGACAGACACCACATCCGGATGGTTGTGAACAATGGCCAGGTGGAGCGGGCTCTGCTGGGAGACCCCCTGGCTCTTCTCCACTCCACCGGGCAAAGCGATGTCCGTCTGCAGGTTAGGATTGGCCCCCTGCTGAAGTAACTCTACTGTCAGTCCTGCCAGGCCACAGCGGCAAGCCGTATGGAGAGGCGTCTCTCCCTAAAAAAAAAACAACAACAAGTCAGTAAGAAACCCAGGGGTAAAAGGTAACTTACCATCTGCTAAACCCTGAACTCTAATTTGATGTATTAATGTATGTTGGTTCTAAAATCTCTCCTGGAAGCAAATTTAATCAACTTTATCATGAACACAAAAGACAATCTTAACAGAACAACCAAAGCTACAAGCTGGTGATCCACCAAAGAAACTAATGCCAAAAAGCAGCCGTTTAATGAAAAAAAGGTTCCATTCCTACTGCTTATCGCCCCCTATTGGTAGTTTTTCAATATTTTAACATTTTGATCTAAATACTTAAGATTTTTTTTCCATTAAGAAGAAGTATTATACTGTTTATTAGATGCTAATTATACATCAAAATAAAAAGTTAAACTATAAACACTCTTGCTCCATAGGTGGTTGGTTGGTTTTGATTCCACTTTTAGTAAAACTGATATAAAGCCCTGTAAATTATATTACCTAAGCAATACATTAAAAAGAATCCAGTTACAAAAAAGAATGGAGATCTACAGTGGTTAAGGTTAAAAAAAATAATAATGGTGTATTACAATGTGCACTTGTTCAATTTGGCTTTTAGCACAGCATGAGATGTTGACATTTTATGTTTATTTATTTATTTGTATTTTAAAGTTTGTGCTAGTATTTTAAACTATGTGCTACGCTTTGTTTTACTCTCTATTGTCAGCACTTTGGTCAACTGTGTTGTTTTAAAGTGATTTATAAATAAAATTGAATTGAATACACTCACAGGCCACTTTAATAGGTACACCTGTCTAAGTGCTCGTTCACGAATATTTCTAATTAGCCAATCACATGGCAGCAACTCAATGCGTTTAGGCATGTAGACATGGTCAAGACGGGCAGCCAGATGGGCTGGTCTGAGTATTTCAGAAACTGTTGATCTACTGGGAAGGCAGTTCTGAAGGCAAAAGGGGGTCCAACATGGTACTAGTAAGGTGTACCTAATAAAGTGGCCGGTGAGTGTAATTAATGTATGCACACACACATATCTGACACTAACCCATTTGTTGGTGTGATTGACTTTAGCTCCATGTGTGGCCAGAAAGATAGCAGCTGCTTCACTTCCTGCGACTGCTGCTCTCTGCATAAGGCAGTTGCCTGAGGAAGACATGCCACGATTAATAACAATACAAGGAGTAAAGAACACTTAGCGAATACTCAAGTAAGTGTAAAACGTGTGGTACCATTAGTGTCCGGAGCATCAGGGTTGCTCCCCCTCTGTATAAGCCGTGCTGCAAAGCTGTTCTCATCAAATGAAGTGCCGTTCACAACAGGAGCCTCGTCTTCAAAAGGGTTAACAGAGGGGTCAGAGGCCACAGTGATGTATTGCAGGGCCAGCCAGAGTGCAGTGCTGCCTTCGTGATCTTTTAGCTCCAAGTCTAACCTGAACAAAAAGAGGAGAAAATGCAGGGTAAACCAGGAAAAGAGACATTGTAAAATCAAAAATTAGAATCCATTATCAAATAATTTCATGAAGAAATCAATATTGCAAATCACTGGTATTGTGAATGCGTTAAAAACAAAAAAAACTACAACATTTAAAAAAACAGAAGTGAAAATGTCACACTTTACAAACGTATGAGACCACAGAAAAAGAGGTGGGACTGGAACTGAGGCAATACAACAGATGCAAATTGCTTATATATTATAGTGCAAGAATTTCAATGCTACCAATATTCATATCATCTATCATTTCCCAATAGCTCATAATAATTTGTTATGGGAGTACTTATTTTGAAAACAGTGTACAATGAGGTGTAATTATTCTCCTCACAGTTCACTCATCAAATATCAAAAGGCAACATATTACAATTAACCAATTATTTTCAGCAGACTATGAATAATGCCAAAAACAAGTCTTTCTGCAGCAATCCATTACTGTACGGTAGATAATAAAAATAGAGACAATAATCTGCAGGAACAAATCACAGTGAACTCAGAAGAGCCACTGATAGGCTTGTGATATTACGTCATATTGAAAAAACACTATTTTTAAAAAATTAAGCACAAACATAACTCTCAGGTTTCACTATTTATATGGGTTATTTGTAGTGTGAGCGTATTATTTGAAGTGATTCGTTTCTGTTCTCTGACTGGAGGTTCGCCAAACTGGATATGCAACACATCATTTGAAACACAGTAGTACAGTGTGGAAAAAGGTGAATGTCTGATGACAGAGAGGTAATGAGCATTAGATAAATGCCACATCGATCTCAAGTGCCATGGAAGAGCCCCACAAAGCTCTGCTAAAAAAAAAGATATTTATGCTGCACTTTTTTGTTTGTGCCTCAGTCATCTATGAGGAGCTGCAGATTAATTTACTTTTATTGTTTATTTCATAGTTAAAGTTAACTTAAAGTTAACATACAATGGGAAAATTAAGTGCAATAAGTGCAAATTTCATTGCAGCACTGATTTAGACAACATAAGATTTCAGATGCACACTGTATTTTTAGGATAGTATTTCTTGCATACTCAAGTCAACTCTTCGTTATTTCTTGAACAGACTACATGAACAATAGATGATCAAAAATACAAATTTTCTTCAACTTTTGCCAGACCAAGTCTAGATAACTATAATTAAATCACATTTTGATTAGGGATGCACCGATCCAGATACTTGGATGGAATATGGGTTATAACACATATTTTTGCTGGATCGGGTATCGGCCAGCTGGTATCGATCCAAATCTGCTCTTGCGTGTGTGCTATATTCTTTGTAATTTATAAGACAACAAAAGCCATGAAGGTAGCCTATTATAAGGCACTAAAAAGTTGTCATTTAGGCCTACTATATCCCAAATGTTCTGAAGCCATTCTATAGTTTATTTTAAGCACAGATGAATATTCAAGAGCTTAAATTCATGTTTAGTTCAGCGCTTCCTGCTGCTGCACCTGTCAATCATTCTCCACTCATTCACAATTCAAACTGTGTGTCGCGTTCATGACAACATGAAAAGCTATCTCCAAGACTAATTGTTCCTGTCAATAAGTAATCTAGGGAAAAATAAATTCAGTTTTGCATTAAATTAGTTCATTTTGACCTGTAACAAGGAGTTGATTGCCGTTTCTAAATCATGTTGTGCTGTCTGTTAGTCCAGCAGATCGCATTTGCAGGTTTCTTCCCTTTGTGCTGCTGTTTTGGAAGTGTCTGCAGATACTGTGTCTCAGTGATGCATCAAGCGCTTCATTCACGCATTCAGATGCGCAGGCGCGACATGCCTCGCTCCGCAAAATTATTCTCACAATGAGTTTCTGTTCTCTCATCCTTCTGACTGAGTTTATTCTTCTGAAGGGAATACTTTCAGTGCAGTGAATAGTTTGTAAAGCCTTGCCTATTGTGGTCAAGGTAGTTGAATAAATTAATAAAAGTGAAACTAACGGGTGAAATATGGATCGTCATTAACAGAAAGGGAATGTGTTTTAAAAGCAAAACTGGCCTCAGACAGTTTAGTTTAGTTTTCGTCAAACCTGCAGGAAAATATCAGGCTTTGATAAAATGCTGATTATTTTACCAATGATTAGTGAGTAGTGCTGGCCTATTACAGATTTCAAAGAAAAGTTTTAATATTAAAAAAAGAAAGATAAACTGGACCACAACAGAACAATGTCATGACGAATGCTCAAACAATGTAGCCTAGTTTACAGCAGGCATCATGTTTTTAGTTAGATTATGTCATCTGTCATATCCAGCAGGACTATGGATCTGTTATTTTAACTAAAGAAGATATATTATTTGAGTTTATATCAGAACTATAAAAAGTGTATTATGCTTTAAAAACAAAAACGGCACAGTATCGGTTGATACTCAAAATTTTGGTATTGGGATTGGGTCTAAAAAAAAAAAATATTTGTTGCTTTCCAAATTTTGATATGACTCCTACTTACCATTAAGCATTCATACTTTTTAAAACATTGCTTTGACCGTTCTGTCTTTTCCATGCATACAGAACACTTTTAAGAATTTCAGATCATTCATTTTGAAACAAAATTATGGGAAAGATCTTACTGTTTGCACTGCAGAAGCTGATTAAAGACCGGTTCATTTCCTGACACCACAGCCTCATGTAGTGGCGTCCTAAGAAAAAAAAAAAACATAAAAATAAAATCAATGCATTAAATACTGTAAAATACCTAACTTATCAAAAACATTAATGCAGAAGAAATCTTTGGCTTCTTTCACACACCGTCCTTTGCTGTTTTGCATGTTGGGGTTGGCACCAGCTTTGAGCAGAGCCTCAGCGATGCGTGCCATGCCAGCCATAACCTCACCACTGTGTTTCTTAGGGCTGAAAGAGCAGACCAGGTGCAGAGGTGTCTCCACAGCCCCAACTGTAGCAGCGTTGACCTGTGCCGAGTGACGGATCAGGAAAGTGGAGGCAAATTCATCCCCTAAACAGAGAAAAGTACATGGGCAGAGCGTTTAGGCCACCAAAATAGATCCTCAATGGCATTTTTGTGTGAAATCAACTTAAAGGTGCAGTAGGTGATAGTCTTCAGAATAATCTTTTTGTTGTGCTGGGTGAAAGTCTCTTTAGATTCCTATGGTAATGATTAAAGTAAATGGTCTACATTTATTTACATGTATTGAGGTGTATTTTTATATACGGGGTAAAGCATAAGACTAAAAAAAATTTCATCCAATTAAATATTGTTGGGGCGACATCTCCCATAATTCTGATAAGAAGCCCAAACGGTCTGTCAGCAAATGTAGATTTGAACAACTGCGCACCCATTTATGTAGATCCGCTGATGCACATTCACGTGGGCTGCGGTCACGTGGACACCAGTGACAGTGCTAAAATCAAATGCTGAATCAACACTTTTTCAAATCCTGAATCAATATTGGAGTTACTTGTGCAGACTAGAGGAAGGATGACACCATGGCTGAAGGATTTCTTTTAGACAGGTTATGTTCTGTTTTAAAACTCTTTTAGTCACGCAAAGCTGATGTAGATTGTGTTGTTTTATGAATGGGTAATATGCTCAAAAGTGTTGTTCAGCCACTGAAATCTACCAGCAAATGATTGATAAGACTATTTTCAGTTTCATAAGGGACCTTTTACAACATTGATAATGTAGATTTTTATTTAGTTTAACAACAAAACATAAGTAAATAGCGCTACTACACCTAGCCTGGTTTACTGAGCTGAAGTTTGTTTTATATTCACATTGGTTCATTTTTGAACAATGACAACCTGTGACACGCTCCTTATATTGTTTATTTGCTACTTTGAATATTAGCTCTGAAATAGCATGCAAGTATGGCTTAGTAATAAGTGTAATTCCTGCATGCCACCGGCCAACCACTAAGCATACAGTAGTCACTTTAGGACAAAGCCTGTGAGAGAGTAAGACTGGTGAGTGAGACTTTCATTTTTAAAGTGCACGTTCACAATTTCAGGAGGTGTGGGGCTTTGGACGACAGGGGATTGATTGTATTTGAAAGATATTATGCTAAGCGGTTAGCATTTAGGCAGATCACCTACTGCACCTTTAATAGTTAAAGTGGCACATTTGATTATTCCATCAGGATAGATAAGTTTAACAACTGTATTACTACAGCCAGGGCAATTACATCAATTGAAAAGAATAAAGTCCACATCACCTCTCTGGATTGCCTTATGTAGAAGACTCCAGCCGCTCTGGTCCACCATGTCAACATCTGCCTTGTTGTTGACCAGTGTAGTGGCGATGCTCTCCAGCTTCTTGGACAGAGCCAGATCCAACGCCAAGTCTCCATTATTGTCCAGCTCATTCAGCTTTCCTGGTAACTTGGGAATGAAATGAAAGACAGATCCATGAGTTTATCTGAAGCAATCTTATCATTAAAGAACAAAATATAGTTTTTTGCACGTTGTTGGGCCTATGCATGCTGTTCAAAATCTAATAAGTAACTTAACGAAAAGTTTTTGTTAAGTTAAATTTAAGAAAAGTTGAGAAAAGTTTTTGGTAAGGGATAACAGGAGTAGCCAAGTGTACCCGAAGACCTGGGTCTGTATGTATCAAGCCTTTGAAAATTACTCATAATAACAGTGCTAAGAATTTACTTTAGAGTAAAAAGGTTCTTGCCTCAAAGTTGCACTTAAAAGTTACTTATCATGCATCCCAGTAATTTAATTGAAGTGTATGTGTAAATCATAGGTGTCCGTATTAGAGGTGATTCACAACACTTGAGATGTGATATTGGGATTTTAGATGAGAACATAGGCCTAGACCAACCACAGTAGATTTCTTCATTTAAGAATTTTAAGAATTACTATTATTATCATTATTATTATTGAATTCCTAAGGGTTTTCATTCAACACACAGATTTGATAAAGAATAACAGAACATGTTATGTTATACACTTGATACTGGAAAGGAAACATTACCTTGTTTCCCAGCATATGTTATTTCAAACTTTTAATGCAGAGTGCTTTTTGTGGTGGCGTGACCAACCACAAATCACTGATAAATGGTGATGCCTGCTCTTTCTAAATGATAACATTTGATTAACTGCTTGCTGTCAAAAATTAAAAAAAAAACATTATTCCTATCCTAAAAGGTTTGCGCACATCTCTGTCTCCAAACTAAAGGTCTGCAACAGTCAAAGATTCAGCAGGTCAATGCAAGTGCGTGGGCCGCAATGTCTGTGTGAAAATAAGCTATCTAAAATAACTAAATATACTTGATTAAAATAAATCAACTGCAATATATCTACTGCATTAAACCAATTAAAGTTTCCAGCTTATCGTCAGAGAGAGCTTTCTCTATTTGATGATTGTGGTCACACACTCTAGCAGAGACATATAAAAACAAGCCATTTCACAAGAAAACTGGCGAACAGCGAATCACTGTTCGGCTGCCGATTTTTGCAAAGTGGATTTCAGCACACTATCATTCAGTCAACATGTCACAGAAATATGTTCCATGCAGTTTTCTACTCCTCAGCAATAACACAAACCCATACAGACAACTCCTAACCACTTAAGAGCCCTCTGGAGTAGTCTTAAAAAAAACAGGATAGTAAGATTAATTCTTGGTTTTAAGATCATTTTCTTGGGTTTGATCACTTGCTTTAAAACTTAAGTTTGTAAGTAGGAGTAAATTTCACTTAATTTAAATTGATAGTTCAATTAAATTCAATTGTCAGCACTTAATACTTTGAGAAGCTTGATAAATACAGGCCCTGTTTTTAAAGTAGCCCTGTTACAGCTTCCCAAATGCTGATGTCAATCTGATATTTTAACATTATTATTGGCTTAATGAGTTTAGACAATTGCACAGCAGTGTTTTTCTGAGGTTGAGTGAAAAACATGGGACTTGTAAATATAAGACATTTGAGTCTGCAGTCAGCAGTTCAGGTGGTATGAACAACTTGATGTTTTTAGTGACTGTAGCGCCATCATCAGGCTGATCGGGAAACCCTTAGTGATGTGGTGCGTAGTGAAGGTACTTGCATTAGTTTTAGGGCAGAATGGCGTCTCTTGGACTTTACTAACAACTATAAAAGGGTTTCAGTTTTACACTAGTGTCTAAAAGTTTTTTCGTTTAGTTTTTTTTACAAGAAATAATTTAGTCTCACAGTCGTTCACCACAAGATGTCCAGTCAAACATTACCCAAACAAAAACATCACTTGATATGATTTATTTTTGCATCCTTATGCATTTATACCACTTAATAGTACCGCAATACCATTTCTTACCTGGGCATCCATCTCTATTAGATAAAGGAAGACCACATCTTCTCGCTCTACTTTAATAGCTTTGTGAAGAGGGTACTCGGTTTTAGATTTGATCATCTTATAGAGAAGTTGAGCATCCATGGTACTGAAGTCCTCTTTCCGCAGATCATCCTGTTTGAGAGGGTAAAATAAGCAACTTATTTAGATACGGAAGATGAATGGGTAAAACAAGCAAACATCTATCAATGTAATTCCCAAGATTATTGTTTATAAGAAATGAAGTCCCTTTATTTATGGTACAATTTTCACTATTCACAAACCATTAACTATGACTTTTAGCTCAAACTCCTAAGTTGTTGCTTATTAATAGTTAAGGTTGTAGTTGGGTTTAGGCATTGGGTAGAAATGATTAGAAATGCACACTAAAATCTGAATGCTGAATTATTTGTAATTATAAAGTCAGGTAATAAGCCACTGGTTAATAGTGAGGACTGCTATTTAAACTGTTACTAGACTTTCTTTTCCAACATGTTGCTATATCCGTTTTTGTGTTTAAATATAGATGTAATGTTATATTAAATTAAATGTGCATCCATAAACAACTATGAACATTGGATCAATTTAAAGTTCACATCTTTTTTGGGGACATTTTTTATCCAGATTGGATTTTGTGAATCCTTTTATCACCCCATAATTTAAAAAAAATCAAGCAAACAACAACAACAACAACAAAAACAACAAAACAATCCTCTCATTTATACGAATACACAGTCTAAACCCCAGCAATCTCCTTTAAAACAGCAGGTGGCTTGATTTATGACTAGTTATTCAAATCAGAGGCTCCCTGTGGTCTTTTTCAAGGTCTTGCTCAAGGTTTGCTGAGCCCATATTGATGCGTTTGGTTCACTCAGATGAGAAAGAGCCTGTAAAACTATCACAAGATTTCCTTTACCATCCTGGTCATAAACATAACCTTGAGAATCAATCATTACACCTTGTGGAGATTTACAAGGAGTCATAAAGAATACCCCAAACTTCAGCGAGAGCAACAAAATCCTGCTGCCGTTGAATGGTGAACATGAAATGGACAAAAGCCATTTCTCCATGCGAGGAAGTGGATTTATTAATCAGTAATTAATGCAACAATGTTAAAATGATGCCTAGAACTGTATTATTATGAGTATTATAAGTGAACTATTGAAAAACGATATGAAAAAGCAAGACTTTTGCATCTCTAAAACAATTTCCAAATCTGATCGATCTTAAAAAAAGAAGAAAGATGATAATGATGACTCTTTACTTCTGACTTACCCAGTGACTGGCAATAATCTCTCCGCAATAGTTCATCAATGTTGCGGCGTCCAGCTCTTCGGCTGTCTGATAAAACCTGATGCAGTTCCTAACGTTCACTGATGACATCACTCCTTTCTCACATCTGCATTTAAAAAACACATTTACATCTCACTGTGCATATGAAACAACAAGATTAGTGTTGAAACTAATTAGATGTGCTTAATAAATTGATTATTTCAAACGACTTAAAGTATTACTTACCATTTACACCTAACCTTAATATTATATACTTTTATATTTCATTATATAGATTAATAACATCCTGGTGTCCATATTTCACAATCTACATGAAAGACCGTAGACTTTTTTTGTATACACAAGCATTTCAAATTTCAGGAGCAGAAACATCTTTTAAAAAATTTAATTGCTTAATTTTTAGCAAAGATGAATTAAATGTATTGAAAAAGCAAAGTAAAAATGACATTGAAGCCAAGAGCAAATTTAGATTCAGGAATAAGCTTCAATTGTAATCATGCCGAAATATTTAAGAGTTATTTTAAATCAGACTATTGTACAGTATAAGAGCTTTTCATTATTATTATACATTTACTTTTTAAATGCAGCAATGGTTAACCTGAGATTTTGTTCAAAAACATTTCAAAGATATTCAGTGGGGTTTAGTTCAATTGGTAGTAGATCATATTCGCAACACTGGAGTAGAGAGGGTTATTACCTACTCTGCACACACAAAGTAGGCCTAACTGAAACTTTAAATTACACAAGGCTCAATAATACATTGGACAGATCCACAATGCACTTATTTTTTTCCTTAGTGCTGCTGTTTATGAAGTGTCCGTGGATACCAGAGGGCTGTGCGGTGTGTCTCAGTGATGCATCAAGCACTTCATTCACGCATTCGGCTGTGCAGATGCGCCATGCGCCACTCCATTAAAAATTGTTTCACAATAAGTTCTGTTTCCTTATCCTTCCAACTGAGTTTATTCTTCCGAGAGGAATACTTTAAGTGCTGCAAATAGTTTGTAAAGCCTGGCTCATTGTGGTCAAAGTGGTTGATTAAATTATTAAAAGTGAAACTAATGGGCCCAATATGAATTGTCAATAACCCTCTCAAGGCAGGCGTTGCAGATTTGCAACAGTTAAAATTACTTAATACTCCAGATACATATTTTATGAGTTTTTTTACTCAGAAGTACCACTGCAGGACTTGGTTGTCCATTAGCAACAAACCGTTTCCTCACTTGCACACCAGATGACACAAAAGACAAAAACTGTTTCTTGGAGTACCACATGTCAAAGTGACTTGGAAACATGACCTACTCAATGAGGATTTGAGATATTGGATTTGGATCCCATATTGTTTTTGTTGTTGTTCTGCCACAGAAAAGCAATTTGTTACATTGTTTGAAAAGTTGTATATAAAAAGTTATTGTTCATTTCATATTCAGTCGTCAGTGTCTAATTACTACACAGAGCCAATGTTGCAAATCTGCAACATCCCAGAACGCCTTGCATGTGCAGGTCTCTCTAAAAAAGTCAGGATTCTATTGTACTACCCCATATGATAATTTTCCCCAAATATCAGATTTTTCCTGTTTCTAAAACTTAATTTGAGCCTGAGAGGGTTAACAGAAAATTATTTAGCCTAATATAGGCTACTCTGAAACTGTGAATATTTCACAGTAATTTTATTAATATTTTATTTAGCAGACTTGTTTGTCAGTTTGTGTACTGAAGCATAAGCGTACCTTGTTTTAAACTTCACCTCAAATATTCATGTTTATTCTGTAGATAACTAACCAACAAAAAAAAAAAAAATGAAAATACCCAACAAATTATACCAAACAAAATTTGTTTCAAAAATGTTTTCAGCTTCCCTATCTCACTCGCAGCGAGTTTAGGAGAGGTAATGTTTATGAAGCAAAACTAACCTCAGCTGGTTTCGTTTAGTCTGCTTCAAAACCTGCAGGAAAATATCAGGCTTTGCTAAAAGGCTGGTTATTAAACCAACGATTGGGATCCTTAGTGGTAGCCTATTATAGATTTCATAGAAAAATCTTAATATAAAAAAAAAAAAATCATAGGCTGGACCACAACAGATTATATCAATGTCACAATGAATGCTCAAATCATGTAGCCTATAGTTTATAGCAAGCACCATGTTTTTAGTTAGATTGTGCCGTCTGTCATATACAGTAGGCCTATCGGTCTGTTATTTTTACAAATGAAGATATAAGATATATAATTTGAGTTTATCACCAGAGTTATAGAAACTGTTATGTTAAAAAAAAAAAAAAAAAAAAACGTACAGTATCGGATCCAAAAAAAATGGTATCTGTGCATCCCTAATTAACGTTAAAAGAACTGTTTCCAAGCAAATAACAAGCTAGAAGCATATTAATAACAACAATGAAGTAATTATCATACAATAACCTGGGTTTCCATCACATTCATTAATGGGCATTTTGAAGTAATGCATAAGTAACAAGTTAAAGTGAACAATGGAGATGAAATTGCATTTGCCAAATAAACTAGAAGCAAGGATTACACACGCATGACTATCTCATTTGCTGTTTCTTAATATGCATTTTTCAGCAATCACGCATCCTCGTGTTCTCGCGTAAAGTCATCATCAACTGCCAAAGTTCAGTTCCAAAACTCAAGACCGCAAGAACGGAGGACGCATGATGTTCCTGGATGTGTTCTTGATATTATAGAGGAGGCACGGATGCAGACTTGAGGAAAAAACTTGCGAAGTACACAGCATCTTATTTCTCACAGGACACGTTCTCTGTTCTCGCAGTCTCCTGAGTGCGTACTTCAGAGGTAACTTGGCAAGACCGGTCTTCACAAGAACACAAGTCTGTTCTCTGCGTTCTTTGAATTGAGAAACAGCCATTATGTTTGCCTGTTTACGGCTGGTTACAAGGTTACCCATACTAAAGTGAGCCACTCTAACAACTTCACCATGCAGTTCGTAATTGGGACTTTTTCTTTTTTGCTATTTTTTTTTAAAATTCACTTCATATTAAAATGGAAGCTTGAGTTCAGACTTCTGAGCATTTGCCTTTTCTTCCTTTTACAAACATGAGATTAAAAATAAATATTTTAAATTCATTTCCTACATTCCAAGTAAACCCTGTAAACAGCTAGTAGGTCCAAAACAAATTCCAAGTAACATAAGACACATGCATGTTTGGTTCTTTATTATTTTATTTCAGTTCTATATTCTCAGTACTGAACAATAAAAACTGATCATTAATGTAAACGCACCAAACACAAAGGCTGTTTGCTTGCCATTAGTCAGCTGTTTTTATCCAAAGCGATTTGAAAAGAGAAGATTAGGTACTTAACTCAAGTGTGCGCTGATGATGAGGCATCAGCGTAACTCTCCTGTTCAACCATAAGCCTCTTTCAAGCAAATGCCAGGTAAAAGAGCACATGCTTTCAGGGAAATGTCTACTCAGTTTGATGAATATGACTCAACCGGTGGTATTATGCAAATGCAAAAAAAATCACTATCAAACATCAGCAAAGCTCTGCGGATAACTCTGTATTTGATATCCTTAAAAGACGAGTAATCAATAAAAACATTTACATCATAGGTCTTAAACTGGATTCCTGGAGGGCCGCAGATTGGCACAGTTTTGCTCCAACCCTAATCAAACACAGCTGATCCAACTAATCAAGGTATTCAAGACTAAAATTGACTATTAAGCAGTTGTGAGTTGGAGCTGGTTGGAGCTAAACTCTGCAGAGCTGCGGCCGTCCAGCAATTGAGTTTGAGACCATCAATTTGTTTTTTGTTGGTGAATAACAATGAAATGAAATTAAGTCGAGAGAGTCAGTTATTTTAAAGAGTTCGTTCCTACCTTTCTCGCAAGAGATGGAGCTGGAAGCGGTTGGCTAACTTCATCAGGTCAATGAGAAAGCCATCATTCCCATTCAACTCCAGATCATCCGTGTATGTCCAGCGCAGCATTGCCATCGCCACCTCTGGTTTGGCATCTAGGAAACACAGGTAAACATGAGAAACACACTTGAGTATTTTAAGAATACACATCGCTAGTTACAGTTTCACAAATAAATTTACTTAAGTTTGACTATTATATGTATTTACAGCTGTGATAAATTTAAGACCACTTTTTGCAGAAAATTATAATTGTTCTCAAAATAACACATGCCAAATGCTGTCATTTGTTGCAATTGAAATTAGTGGACTAAAAGCTTTGCTTTCTCGATTCTTCCATTGATACTTTAAGGAGTATAAACATTTCTGAAACACTGATTCTGGAAAAACATCATTAGAATGTTGATCAACTGTCATTTTATTCTTTAGATTATAGCATGTTGATTTATCAGAACTACATCTCAAACATAATTATGAATTGCAAATCCAGAGAAACTAAGAATTTCTAAGTGGTATATTTTGTTTATAGTTTTTTGTTGGCTACAGTGAGTGTGACTATAATGTCAGCATTTTATAATTATATTAATATTTAAAGGCTTTGCTGTGGAGTAAGAGCTGCTAAAATACATTTTTAGAACATTTTTAAATATTATTTATACATTTTTTCTCAAATAAATAAAAAATACTTTTACAGCAATGCAAATTATTTTTTTCCAACCCACAAATACAAGTTTGACCTGCTGTAAACATTTTGAAAAAATGTGATTGATATTCTACATCACAAGTAGTAGAAAACAGCAAAGCCATTATAACTAGGTCTGTCTCAATAATCAATATACTGAATTATCGCACAACACATGGAAATGACCTCAATAATATTTTGGTGATGCAATATATATCGCCTATACATAAAAAAACTATTCTAGCAACATTTTAGCTAATTGCGCAACCTCTCTATCTCTATTGGAGGTGTTAGTGTCAGTATGGTTAAAAAACACTATGGTATTTACTATAAATTACTGTAGTATACTTTCATGTGGGTGTCTGGCAACTGAAAATAGATCTGGAAGCAGATATTGCAGCCTCTGTTACATTTTACCTTGCACTTTTCTGTTACATTAATTATTATTTATTTAGGATATGCATTTTCACATTCTGATTCCAATGCCTAACTATGACATTGTTAAAATGACTATGATTAAATGAAATTATCTTAAGAATAAAATATTATGTGTTCTTTGTCAAGTGATAATATTGTATTGTCATTCTGGCATGATTTAATGAGTGACATAAAATGTCCTTAAAATGAAAATAATATAGTTTCGCAATATATTTTGGTGCAATATATTGTAGAACAAAACATAGATATCAAGACAGGCCTAATTGTTACCTGAGAGGTCCAGTTCTGAGGTGGAAGCCAGGTTAGCTAAACTCCAGATTTCACTGCGAGCAGCCAGTACAAATTTATGAGCACTGAGCCTCTGGTCTCCAATCTTCACCTTTAGATCACTGGAAGAAGAAAAAAAAAAACATAAAAACACTGATCGAAGGACACGGCATCCCAGTGAAATATGCAGTCATCAGTTACTCTATCTTTTAAGGCACTGGACTAGATCTTATATATTATGCATTGGTCTTGGTGAGGTCAGATCCGAGACAACAGTCTGAGCTCAAATCTCTGATGGATCATTCTGTAACCTCGCAAGCACATGGTGCAATATAATGAAATACACCTCCAATACAACTTCCTAACTTTACAGACCAAGCAGACATATTCAAATTATTTTAGCTGGCTTTATTGCACTTAGTAGCTAAATGAAACTGCAAATCAGAGGCAGCAGGTGGAAGCAGGAAATTCATATCAGGTCTAGCCATAAATAAAGTCATACATATATATAATTTTTGCAAAACTGCTAATCTAAACTGCGATCATATTTCTTCCCTTGTCTTTAAAAACTTGACAGTTACGTACATCCAAGCATCACCCCCTATCAAAAAATTCAAAAATATTTTTGAATATTGTAGTTTTAATAGGAAGAATGGGAAGATTCAACATACTGTAGTATTTTAGAAGATCTTTGCAAAAAAGTTTACATACCATTTTTATATAGCCATGCCATCAACTCAAAAATACAATAAATACCATCATAAAAATATTATATTTGCACAAAACATTTAATTATTTTTTTAATAAGAACATCATTTGCTATTATATATCAAGTATAGATTACTTGGCATTATTGATTTCTATTGAAATAAAACTACTTTACTATAGTTAATGTCTTTTTATTGGGTAAAAAGTGCTTTAAATTTTGCAAAACTTGAGGTCTTAAAGTCGGAATGAAATCAAAATGTACTCTACTTAATTTTAAATGTACATAGCAGTGCTTGCTATAAATTATATATGCTCACTTCATTATTTAGCAAAAATTCATTTGCCCTTAGAATCTTACATCAAATATCATAACCATCTCTCTAGTCTATACCCTAGAAATAACGTTTTTTTCCCCCACTTCTGGTCACATGAAATGTCTTTAGGACGTGTCTTGTTTCTCTCCTCAAACTTTCAAAATTTTGTTAGCAACCACCATCTTCCAACGACCCAATCGGTTACCAATGAACCAAATCATGCACCACCCTACATTTATTTTCTCATTTCAGGAGCGTTTCAAGTGGATGTACTAATCCGTAGGCATCAAACCTCTCACAGAGTCACACGAGCAACTGCTAAATGGTGACTGTCTTGTTCCAAAGTGTACAACCTCTTTTAGTCAATCTGTTTTCACTGTTAAGGGAATCAAATTGTGGATAGATTTACCTGCTAGACTAAAATTAGAAAGTAATATAAATATTTATAAATACACAAATATATAAGCTTGTTGATTATGCCGCCTTTGCTTTTGCCGTACAGCAATTTTACGTAAATATTATAATGCTTATGTGTTCATAATGCGTTTTGATTTATATAATAGTGCATATCATATGTATCTACAGTATTTTATTTTCATTTTAGGTCAAGCCTCCCGTGGACAGGTGTTGAGAATCAGCAAGTCTGCTAAAACACTTAAATGCCATAAATATTTACATTAGATGTCGCATATTGTTGTCTATTGGAAGGAATGCGTCAATAGAGCCGCCATTTTAGTACAGGGTAGCGCTACTTTGAAATTAACGTCGGACCAAGGTACAGTGGAGGATTGGCCATCCAGAGCCAGAGATACACATATACACGTATATCTATGATCGGGAGTTTTTCCGGTGGTCAGCAAGCAAACATTTTTTTTTTAATTATAATTTAACATCACTTTTCTACATTAATGGATAAGTGACCGCACGGGCATTGCCGACAAAGAGCATGTGTTTGTGTGCATGGAAATGTATTATCCTCCCTCCTTGTCAAAGGGTCACAAAACACCAAAACACGGTTTTTAAAATAGTCAAATATGTGTCCCACGCTGTTAAAAACACTATTTGGACGCATAATTTAAAAAAAACTTGACAACTGGTTGTTTTTATGTTATTTTGAGCAAATTCATTCTTCCTGTTTTAAAAGAAATTTTGAAGCTATGACACATCAATTGGACCATTGCGTGAATTCCAGCATGTAGACTGGATTTCTGTACTGGCCAGTACAACATGAGGTCTTTGAGCTTTCAGCATTAATTCATGAGAAAGACTTCCAAGTCTTTCCAGACTGCCAATCAGCATGCTCTATTGTGTATGAGATGCAAATTCATCAATATGCAGCTTCGAAACTGTTTTTACCTGTTACAGTGTTCTGACGGCAGCAAGACATTACATTGTGTTGCCAACTGTAATTAAAACAAGTGGAAGAAGAAGATTTGTTTGGAGACATAGGTCGTCAGTGTTGCGTTTAAAAATATGCTACAATGAAGGTTTTGCTTTTAATTCCCCGCTATAAGATCTAATCCATGTCCATTTAAATTTGACCTGAAACACACCCCCTCTCCTGCTTTCACTTCTCATTCTAAGGGAGGGAGCGATTCGTTTGTGAATGAATCTGTTATGAACTAATAGTTTACTTAGCCCACAATAATACAAGTTTCTTGCACCGCAGCGTCTTGTCTTAAGTCATCTACTTTGTTTGCTGATTGTATTCTACAATCTCTAGCATAAACCTAGTATTTAGAGCGAGTTGATGGCTGTATATTCATCACCAGTAACGTGCCTTGTTTAGCCCAAAGGTTTGCAACCTACAAAGTTTGTAACATACAAAAACGTAAAAAAGCTTTTGTGTGTTGTTTTCTTTGTTTGCTCATTACTAAACCCGTACACAGCACAAAAGTCCAGCATCTTCAGATTGACGTTAGTCTTGACAAGTGCTGTTGAATGACTCTTGTCCTAGGACAAAACTCTGCAAACGTGCAAATGTGGCAGCGCTACTGACGCATACTAAGGGTCCATATGCGATATCTAGTGTATCGATGAACAAATGCATTTGGTTGTCCAGTGTAATGGTGTCAAAATAAATTAATAAAATAAATAAATACCTCACGATAAAGTGAAAAAGGGACAATCCCAACATCCGTCTTGTCAAAGTTAAATATGACAATATATCCCAATAATAAGTTCGTTCACCCAAAACTATCTTTGATTCATTTATGATCTTGTTTCTTTCATCTGTAAACATGACATTCTGAACAAATGTGGGGGACTAATAGTATGTTTACCCCTATACTACAGTAAAACAGTTCATCCAGCGCCATCTATCAGCATGTGTGCTTCTCACCTGTACTGCTCCTGCTGATAGAGGTCAGAGACGATGGCCAGCAGGCGACTGATGAAGGAGTCACTGGCCTGAGAGGAGGAGCCGGGTACAGAAGCCTGAGCAGCCAAAACAGAGCAGCGCCTCTCCGTCTCCACCAGTTTCTGCTGCATCTTCACATACTCTTGCCTCAGCAGAGCAAGGTGCTTCTGCAGTTTCTGCACCTCCTCTGTGCGCATGATGGACAAACAGTGGCAAAGAGAGCAGTGGAGCGAAAGGAATGAAGGAAAATAAGGGCACGTGAAAAGAAAAGTGATGGGCAAAGCAAAAGGGAAGAGGAAATGCGATTACATTTACTCAAAGAACAGAGAGAAGAGGCAAAAATACAGGCATGTCATGTAAAACCCCTGACACAGACAGACTTCCTGAGTATGCTCACAGCAAGAGAAGTGATCCTATGACATATGAGCAAAGCTTTTTCCACATTACAAAAAGTAAAAACACTTTCAACGTCCTCCGATTCATCAGAACCACAAGCGCTCCCTCTGGATCGCTCAAACTTCAAAATAACAACTTCAAACTGGCCATCTTCAGTGTGCTAATTGCATGGGATCTGTTATTAGAGGATTTCACAGCTTAGCCTACATTCCAACACGGCCGCTTCCTTCCTCTTTTCCCTGAATTTATTTCTGTGGCTCTCTCTCCAGAAGGCTGCGGCTACACTTTGCTCCATATATGCTCAGTTGTCGAGGGAGCAGATCTGGAAATGTCTTACTATTTGACATCAAGAAACGCTTCAAATGCTGCTAATTACAAAACAGCAAGCCAATCTACACCTGGTATATATTGTTATAAAGGAGTAATTACAACCTTCACCATATCCTCCTCACCCTCAAATGCTTCTAAACCTTTTATATCTCTTTTAATTGACCACAAAACAAGACATAAACAGCAAAAATCAGTCCAAAGCACTTGGAAAAAGTGTAAAAAATTTTTTAAATGCCTTTATTCGCATGGCTAATCCTTAAAAACCCTACACGTTTACCCTGACGAAGGCAGCTCTTTGCCGAAAAGCGTAGGTTTTTTAAGTATTAGCCATGTAAATAAAGCCTTTTTAATTTTTTTTCCACATTTTTCGAGTGCCTTGGACTGATTTTTGCTGTTTATTTTGATGAATCCCTTACCCAAAGAGCACCGACAGATAATTTAGGCTACCCCTGAGTACTTTTTGTTTTGGTTCTGTATTTTTATACAAAACAAGACATTTTTAAGAATGTTGGAAAACTGTAACTAGAATTGTTTACTATAATGATGAATACTATTGGTGTAAAAAGAAATGGCTACCTAATTTCTACAATATACCTTCTACAAAATATCTTCCTTTGGGATCAACATGAGGAAACTCACGCAGGTTTGGAACAAGTGGAAGACAAATATATGAGTAGATTTCATTTTTGGTGAATTTTCCTTTTAAAGTTTTGTTAAAAGTAAAGTCTAGACGCAGCATTAAAGCCTGTGTGTGGTGTAAGCAAAGGATTAGCATACTTTCAGTTTAATATGTGAGCCATTTGCCTTTAGCCTAGATTCAAGAATCCAGTTTCCCGAGCAATCAACAACTTGAGTCCTCCAAATAGGTCCCATAAAGTATTTAAAAAGCTCATGAGCCAATCAGCTGACAGGAAACACTGTGGAACAATAATATGCTTGCATCACCCAAAAGCAGGAATTATATAATGATTTTAGGTGAATAATAATAATAAAAGAATCCTGAATATGTCTAAACGATACAGCATAATCGGCTCCATTAGTTTAATACCACAGAAAGAGGTACAGCTTTGACAACATGATAAACAATAATTAACCGTGTAAGCGCATGACTGTTTTGTCGTTCAGGTAAAATTGTGGTGCTCTTTTGTCTTCTAAAACGATGTTTTAAAGAAGTGTCCTTTAAATTTATTGTGACTTTACAGCCTGTTATAGGAAGATAAAGGAGGAGGATGTCACATGTGAACTGATAAATGTAACGGTCACAACCGCTTACTGTGCGGTGTTTTACAGTGAACATATACAAATATGAAAACAAACAGCACAGGTGTAGAGTATTTGCTCACAAAAACATAATTTATTAACTTTACTTCCACTTACATACAATTTAAACATTTTATGACATCAGCGTGATACTCTGATTAAATAGTAATTTCAGCATCGCGAATTTCACATAACGTATGGCTGATGAAGACCAAAACAAAAGACTTAACAGACAATTTGCTGGTTTGAAATGACTTTGAAAGCAAACCCAAACTGAAAATACAGACCGACAGTGTTTTTAATCGACAATTTTCCTTATTAAATCATATCCCTGCAATAAATGCAACCGCAAACATCGTTAGAAAGCGTATTTAGCTGATATTTCTTTACATGCGAGCTCAAATCACCCGGCGAATTATTACTACCACCGCCCAGCCCACCACCTGACTTGCCACCAGCTAGCAAGAGAAAAAGCCCTAAGAAAGCATCTATCCCGTTTGAGGGTTGTGCAATACTTATTGACAACTGGTTGTGCCGATAACAATTTAAGGTAGCATTATGCATGCCATTTGCGCAAATAAGTAACAGCTACAAGTGTTAAACAGAAAGGGCGTGAAAAATAAGAAAGAAACCATTCTCATACCTTCCGCCATGTTGGATCCGTGGCTCGTCGCCTAATATCGCGAGAGCGCGCAAGCTGGGAGGAAGGTTTTGATTTGGGAGGAGCGTGCGGGAACTGCTCAAGATGCTTTGCGTTTGTAAATTACAGATTTTATTAATCTTACATTACCAACAATATCAACAAACACATGGTGTCGTTAATATTGCTATTATCTAAGTATACAGCCAATCTGGTTCATCAAAATTGTTCTATGATGCCTTATTTGGCGAATATCCCCAAAACCCTTTCTAAAATAAGCTTTAGTGTGTTAATGTATTTAAAAACCTCAATATACCTATATGCGATCATTGTTGTTTCTTTGATTAATCTGATTGTTTTCTTGGGATTGCTTTTAAATTCACATTGTCCTAATTCGTGTTATTGTTAGAGGAAAAAATGTTTTCTGAAATTTCGTTCTATTAGAAATAAAAACTGGATAAGCAAGTGAAATAATCAAGTCAGGTAATGCAATGTAAAACCAAAAAGTTAACTTCAACCATTCGAGGAAACCAATAGCAAGAACCATTTTAGTTAAAAAACGAGTCCTCATGAGTACTGTGAACTTGATCCATTTGAGTAAACGAAGCGATTTGAGCACAGTAAAACCCAATAAATGAAGAGAACTCAAACCAACAGAGTACTGTAAAACCCAATAAGTTAAAGCAACTCAAACTATTTAAGGAAACCGGTTGCTACAAACCATTTGAGTTAATAAACTTATCTATACGAGTACTGTGAACTTACTCCATTATTTAATATTTTTAATTTAATGAGGTATTTAATTCTCATTACCCTTAACACAGAGTTCAAAACTCTTTTCAAATGAGTACAAATAACTCAGTAAACTGAGTTAACTACACTCATTTCATTTGATTAAGTTGACTGTTGGGTTTTAGTGTATACATCTACTGTAAATAAAAAAAAGTGTATAAAAACACCAACTATAACAACTAAAACCAAATAAGCCATAAAAATTACAAATAAGCTACTAAAACCACAAAAATACTGCTATAAAACTACTAAAATAGCAGGGTTTATGTTTCAGAATCATTGATACACTTCATCACCAGAGGTTTATCCAAAATGTACATTTTCATGAGAATATTTCTAATCAACAGCATACATTTATAGTTATGCTGATATAAATGAATGCATATGAATGTGTTTGTGGTAACACTGAACTGAACACAGACACCACACTCAAAGTATTGGAAAAAAATTATATTTTAGAAGAACTTACTAGAGGTGACAATTTCCATAACATGAAAAATATACATCGGTATTTTGTCTTTGTACATTAGGCAAAAGAAATGCAGTAGTCTGTCAGAGCCAGAATAAAATTAACCAGAGAACTAAAGATTGTGGGAAGAGAGTGGGACACAGGCATGCACACACACACACACACACACACACACACACACACATTCACACGCACACACACGCCTCTTCATGACAATTTTACTCAATCTCCCTTAAACACACATCTGAAATCCCAGAAAACGTCTGCAAGAAATCTACATTTAAAGCATGGCTAAGAAACCTATCAAAGAAACCACACAAAAGATGTCAAGCATGAAAAAAACTGCTCTGATAAAGGGGAGAATCTTTACTAGAAATCTTACATGAATGTCCAATTTGAGATGTCCGCACAAAGTGGGCAAAGCAGAGTTATTGCTACACCAAAAGAATCCAGAATGCTGGTAAGAAGGTTATGAAGAAAAATAAACCTCACACATTCACACAAGCTTGAGAGGATGTTGAGCAGTTTTTAAATCACGTTCCTCCCTTTAGCTCCCATTTGATGCAGGGCATGTAATGAGCCAAGCGATTTAAATTGGAGGCACTTTTGAAAAAAAAAAAAAAAAACAGGAAAGAAAAACTTAAAACATGCAGGAAAAAGAAGAAAATCACATCTGATGGGTTTCCTTGCCATTTCCTCCCCGCCTCAAATGGACAAAAAAAAAAAAAAAGCAAAGGTGAGAATCTGACACTCAGAAAGCAGTCATCCAAAGTAAGAGCAACCCCCACCCACCCTATTTAAAAACCAAATCAGAGAAGGACCTTCATGACCCCTAATTCTTAAGAAAATGACCGTGCTTTACAGCTATTTTTACCTGAAGTGTCCCGAGTGAGAAAGCTGTCCAACATCACGTGCATGCTTTGAATCCTAACCATAGCTTACCCCTGCCTTCGCCACCTTAAACCGCAAGGAGTGAGAATAGCCAAAGCAGACTTTTGTTCAAACCGACAGGCAGTCGCACCTGTGAGGTGGCAGGAGGGGGAGATGAACTAGACTCTTCGAGAAACTTTACATGATGTCACACTCTAACTACAGAACTGCTATTTTTATTTGGTACTAAGTCTTGCTGGATGGATAGGAACAAGTTATTATATATTATCCGGTTCTTATGTCTGTGCTATGTACACATCTTTACAATCTCTTCCTGAAAAGTTGTATCAGTTCATAAACTTGAAAAAAAAAAAAGAAAAAAAAAGAAAAAAAAAAAAGCGTAATTGTTTTGAAGTTGTATTTTTCTCTTTTTTTGTTGGCACTTGCTTGGTGTGTTCTGTCAGCATCGGTGATGGCCTTATGTTCTATTGCAGCCTATTAATGCCAGTCTGTTACTGCCAACATTCAATGAAAACCAGTCCAGCAATAGGGTGGTAGAGTGCAAGAAAACAGTGCCATGTTGTTTCTCAACTGGAGACCTGTAAAAGACACCAACAGCGATATTAGAGAGGGTTCAAATGTCAGAACAATCACCACGTTTATTTCAATTGATTTGGGCCTGTCGCCTGTCAAAACAAGCGACAGATACATTTCAGCTTCAGCTTAGATTTTATTCTCTAGAAACACAACTTAAAAGCACACGCTGGTTCAAAAGCCTAAAGCCATCAAAAGTTTGAAAAGAATCAACACTTCTATTCATCATGCATAAGATTAAACAAAAGTTACAGTAAAAAAGTTTTAAATCAATGCTGTTCTTTTAAACGCTTTTGAACAATTAGAAAGCTCCTATTGATCAGCTGATAATGATTACAAAATGTAGCCAATCGCAAAAACCAATCAAAATATGACAATGTAAAACACAAGAACCAGTTTCCATGATTGGAATGGAAGCTTTCCACAAGCAGACTAGCTTCTCGGCCCAATTTATGTGTAGCCTATGCGAATCATTTGGGGGGGGGGGGGGGGGGGGGGGGGGGGGGGGGTCATCATTTTTGTTTGTTTTTGTTGTTAGTCACATATTGGATACAAGAAACAGAAACTAATAAAACTAAAAACATAGTCTTAAATAAAGTATTTCCACGTGCTTTCAGATGGAGCAGCAACACATAGTTCACTGAAAATTAATGCAAACAGCTGTCATATCAGTATAGGGTAATGAGCATCCTGATAGGAGTTCCCTATTGTAAATCAGTATATTAGAATGGATTTCGGAAAAATCATGTGACACTAAAAACAGGACTAATGGCTACTGAATATTCAGCTTTGCCAAACAATTTTAAAACAAATTAAAACAGAAAAGTTTTTTAACATACTTGATAGAATTTAACAACACTACTGGTTTGTGAGCTTTGATGAGCATACAAATAAACTGACCATCTATAAACAAGTCTTAAAAGATGACTACCACACTAAACATTTTTTGTGGCGAGATGCACTTAAAAAAAAAAAAAAAAAAGTTTTCTATTGGCAGTAAGCATATTGCATGCTTTTTACGCACCCTGCATTTGTCCAAAAGCAAACTTGCGCTCCAGCCTGAAGACCATTGATAGAGTGGTCGTCTAGCAACATAAAGAACATATCCAGCCTAGCGCACTGCTCTTTTCTCAAGTAAGCAAAAGGCAGTGTGGTGCACCTTGCGTTTACGGAACTGAAAAGCACATTTGGTGTGACCGGCCCCTAAAAGACTACCAATAAAAGGCTAAGCAGACAACAGAGCCACTGTTGTTACCTAATAATCTTTAGATCTGAACCTCTACTTTAAACAAGTTTCATGAACCTGTTCTAACAGGTTGACATTACCACAACAGATCTCTGCAAAGTCTGACAAAAAGTCCTGCTTGGAGAGGATTAGAGCTGTATAGGAAGGTGGGGCAGTATGGCAATTGTATGATTTTAATATTTTACAATTCAGCAAAAACTGTAATACTTTGACTATTTATATAGTGCGCAAACATATGCAGTTAACAACTTTAAAGTGTGTTTCCCCTTTTAAATATAAAAATAAGAAATAGTCACAGATTAAAAAAAACAATGAGTGTGAATAAACTTTTTCTTGGACGATGAATGTTCAGTTTGTTTCAGACATGTTGAGGAAATAAAAAAAAAAAGTTCACAAGACATTGGCAGTCAAATAAGATGCCAAAAGTCCACTTGCTTACCCTGAAAATAGTGAAGCTACAAGCTGCTAGATGTATATCACTCGAAGGCAGTCTCTTGGCTCTTTCTTACACAGCGGGCAACTTTTCTTTTGAATTCACCATGTCTGTCTTCCCTCCACTCTTTCTGAAATGTTGAACAGATAAAAATGAATTAACACATGAAGTAAAGATCTTCTGCCAACATGCAATCATATCTGGTTTTACAAGTTAACGTTATACTTACTGCTGCATCAACATTGGCAGGGGAGTCTCCATTGGGGTCTGCTAGCATAGAGATGACGCTAATCATGATGGTCTCTACAGTATGGATGGGGAGCCAGCGCTCTTCTGGTTTCTCATAGCCATATTTATCCTCCCCGGGTTCGTGCAATATCGAAATACAAACATCACCATTCTTGTCAACTGTGCAGAACAATACAGAGACAGGACATGAGATTTTAATGTGGATTATATACCACATTAACCATTTTTGTTTGCTGATGATGATCATTTAATTAACATAGTAATATTATATAAAGATAAGTATTGTGGCTGAAGGATTATTACATGACTATAATAGCTAGCAAATAATAAAATGTAAATGTTTCAGAAACATATAGAACTTAAAATGTTGTACAAAATGACAAAAAAAAAAAAAAACTCATGTCATTATTAGCCTAATAAAGAGCATGTCAGTATTTAGGTTTGGCAGATTATTAGATATTTCCTAAGTGGATCAAAAATATCCACAATGCTGCAAATGGAATCAACAAACAAAAACCTGCATGCGGATGAATTTATAACGAAGTCTGTCAGTGTAAATTCGAAACAGTTTCCATATCAGCCAGAGATTCAAAAGGATTTATAAGAACAATTCATATTTGATTTTTTTTGGAAATCTGCAACCCATCCCTCCAACCAACTAAAAAAAAAAAAACACAAAAAATTGTGTATTTATTCAACGATATTAAATGTATGGCTGACAAAATAGTAAAAAAGTATAAATAATTAAAATATATTAAATATTTAAAAGACCCTAGGAGGCAAACTTACCATTTGGATGCCATATTTCTGTAATGAACTTCATTTTAGGAGGCCTGAGAGGATAGTCTTTGGGAAATGTAAGATGGGCTTTAAAGACACCACCCTCACTGTAAACAGAAAAATATAAAAGGCTTATAATACTGTGATTGAACAACCTTTAAATGAAAGGCAACAGCTTAAATTGATTCAGTATGGCATCACAACAAATACATAAACTTATTCAGTTAATTTCCCATTGCATCATGACTTAATACTACAACTGCACTGCTACCTGCCTGATACACTGTGTATTACCATGTAATAAAGCTTTGGCGCATTGTAGATTGTATAAGATCAAGAAATAAACTTGACCTGACCCATCTTAGATTGTGAGAATACCTATACTGTAGCTCTACACAAGTAAATAATGTCAATTTACATTTTGCATCATCTAATTCTTTAGCTGATTGATAATAATTTAATTTTGGTGAGGTGTCACACAACATAACATTTTATAAAACAACAAAAAGACTTACTAGAGTGTATCAGGAGGACCAATTATTAGTACTTCCCATCTGTAGAGGTCATTATCATCTATCAAACCGGCTGAGAAACCTTCCACAGGATTTTTATTCAGTTCTGTCAGGAAGAGACATCAAGGTACAAATTAGCCACTTTGTACAGAAAAGTGTTATAGATGTGACATTTGCAGTAAAAACGTAAAACAAATTCACAGAGAAAGTATGAGTTAATATTATATTGAAACATCGGTTTATATTTTACAAAACAACCAACCACAGTGTCATGGGCTCAGAAAATATCAATCTGTAAACATATTTTAAATGAGGAAAATAAACATGAGGTTTATGAATGTGATCATACTTTTGGCTATTTTGGTGAAAACTTTGGTTGACAATTGCATGGAACTACTCAAAGGGCAAATTGGGGCATTTCAGGGCAGTAGGTGCATACATGCCTTCACATGAGTTCTGATAGTTAGACCTACATCTGGGCAACATTTCAGACAAGAAATGACCAATTTGCCTGTCTGTTATCAGATCAGCTGAGCGACTCTTTAGTCACAGAACGCCTGTCTGTTTGTTCAGATACTCTGAACTTCTGTGTGTTTGCAAGAAGGAGCACAACAGAATATCTGGAGGTTGACTGCATGACCACCTTGTAGTCATAAACAAGATGACAGTTGGGTTATCCAGTCATATGGATGTGTCATTTTTGCACATGAATCACTAAGACAGTCTGGCATTCATATGAAGAGTCTCTTCTGTCAAAGCCACCTTTTTACCACTATCTGATGGTTATTAAATGACTCAATTGTATTTTCAACAAACCTACTTCCAATATAAGAGTGCTGAAGTGTTATTATAGCAACACTAGGGCTGGGCCAATAAACTGTATTATATCAAATTGCGATGAAGTTTGTGTCAATAACAATGATAAGCTTTGGACTTTTTACTCTATATTGATCTAAGAGCCAATCACACAACAGAAATGTGCAACAACGAGAATCTAAAAGTGTGTTGATGTTAGAGATGTCCCAAAATTTTCTGCCACTGAAAAAGTATCGGCTGAAAATATGCTATGCCATTTAATAGACCCTCTAATTTTTGTGGCTTCAGTCATTGCTGGAATACTCTTTTAAATCTGGAAGCATTAACAACTGGTATCGCAATATACATCGTTATCATTCAATATGCAAAATAATTATCAAGATTGCAGTTTTGCCATATCGACCAGCCCTAAGCAACAATCACACAAATAGCATAAAGGGCTGTTCAAACCAAGAATGGATGACAGCCACTACTAGAAAGGTTTACCAACCCTTCAAATTCAATTAGAAGAGAGATGTCCACACAGCAGATTTAACAATAACACCACAGATATACAATATCATTGGAATCACTTTCAGAGAATTTCCTGTCAATGTATGTTAAAAAGCTTGACAGGCAAAGAAAACCCACAAGTTACAAAAGCATGCGCATAAAGTGACATAACAGTAGTGCTTTTAATAACAGAACATTATCTGAAGGCAAAAAAATACATAATTTATTTACTATCCTGCAGTCCATTCAACCAGTGTATGACTGACTTTCTTCAGCCAAGGTTTTGGGGAAAAGGAAACAACTCTTCATCTAATGCTAGTGAACAGGGTTCAACTAAACCATTTGGTAGTTGTATTAAATTTTCAGGAAAAATGCAGTGAGCGTTATTTAAAAAAAAAAAAAGAAACAGAAAAGATATTAACTTACTTAATCAAATTTATTTTTAAATATTTAGAAATTAAACACAAATTTTTCTCTAGAAAAGCCAACCTCTCTCCCAGGACAAAAAGTAAACAAAAAGATGAAACAGTATGCAAAGATAGAACAGTAAATCAAATGACCTTAACTTTCTGTAAACAAGTTCAACTTAAGTTAGCGAGATAGTGTAGCGTACTATACAAACAATAATAATAAATAATAAAAAAAAAACACTCAGCAAACTAACATGTCTGAAACAACTCTGCAGTTGTACTATGCTGTTGCTTGCTACTAAATTGAGTGTCCCTGGCAATACTTTCAATTGACTTTTTAGCAAGACACTCATCACTCAATTGTGCTCACTAATTTGTCTAGTAAGACTGTCACAAAAACGCAGTCACGCGTTTGCTCTGGACGGGAAATAAATGAATTAAAAATATACAAATATATCTTCATATTACAGCCTCTTGTGATTAGCTAATCGCAACATTTCAAATGGTGACTGCAATTAGATTTCGATTAATCACACGGCTCTAGTAGACGCTGCAATGTTTTTACCCAAAACCTTAATTTTTTTTCAACTTAAAGTCTCAAAACATGTTTAATAGCTTGGGGTGGGTAAAAAATTAAAGGTAATTTTTGAGTGATTTCTAAAAAAAACCTCTCTACACATGGCATTAACATCACACAAGTTGTGCCCGCATTTTCCTGGCCCGTATCTTTTACGGGCCAACATTAATGAACGTTGTGAGGCTTTTGTTCTCACGAAGGGTTCACTGAGTTTAGATCAAGGCTGATGAGTTCACCATGCTGGTTCTTCTGAAAGGAGACAACCAAAACAGCCCCTGACCCCCTGAATCAGTCAATCAAGCGCAGGGCCTCTGCAGAACCTGACGCCATGACAGGCCCGGGGTGCCGCTCACCCTGCGACCCTTGGAAAGAAACAAGCGAGTTGCTTTTATGTGTGTGTAAGATGAGTAATTTGGGGGGATGGGGTTGCTTGAGCTGTCTGTGGCAAAGAGACAGCTGTCATGTAGCAGATCTGTTGTTTTGCTTTTTAATTGATCTCATCAGACCCCCAAACTCAGGTAATCTGCCTAGTTTGACCCCTATAACTAACTCACTTCACTGGCTGCACTGCGCAAATGGGGCCCAGTGGAGAAATCCTCCTCTGGTTGAGCTCAGTAAAGCTGACACTCGCGGATCATATTGCTCAGTGTGTGTGTGCTGGGCATAGAACAATAGGAAACACTCATAACGACTCTAATAAGAGCCAATTTCCCGCACAGGTCTATGGTGACAGAGACTATGGGTCTCCAGTTCTCGCTGTACCGGTGAGCTGGTGATCAAACAGCAGCCATCAATTTGTTAGCTTTAGCCTGCTAGCCAGCCTAGAAAAACAAAGGGATTTGATCAACCCGATGCGGGGTAATGGCACACAATATACGGCTTATAAATCTCACCTTTAAACCGTGCGATAATACTATTGGTTTGACGGACAACGATAAGACAGTGAGCAGAAATTGGACCAATGACAGACTTTTCCTCCATTTATAAGATGACTGGTTCTCTTGCGGAAACTGCGTCCGGACACAGATGTCAAAACACGGGGGTAGCCGATCGAGAGCGGCCCCGCCGGTGTGATACGGAAAAAAGTGACTGACACTTATGTTGACATGAATAAACCGAATAACACTAAACAAACGTGCGCGTATTGTTGTTTTAATTATGTTAGAAAAACTCTCATGTTGATATTTTAGCAAGAGTAGTACAAAACTAGCATTTTAAAATAACAAAAGACGACGGGGCTTGCCTTTAGCCGGCTATTTTAGCTGCTAACATGCTAACTAATGCTGTATGATAAACACAGCGCTTGTTAGCGGCTAAACTAGCGGCTAACGGCTAAAATGCTCCGTCTCGGGTGTACTGGCTGGCTAAAACGTTCACCGGTTTGTTAGCCTGCCTTCGCCAACAGCCTTCAAATATTACCTGCTAGCTGTCTCCTGAGTAACAGTGCTGACTGGGGCTCCGTCATGTTTTTATAAGTTATATTCTAGGTCGACAGACGTTCACCTCGACAAGGAGAAAAAATATGTTTGAATTTGCTTGCGCGTCTTCCCGTCTCTGTTCTAGTCCGTTTTGCTCAACATTCTGATGCGGTATGCGCATGCGCTCTGCTCTCCGCGAGGCCGCGGCGAGAGTGTGCTCCAGGGTACTTATGGGCGGAGGATTCGCGCATGTCAGAAACAAATATGCTTGTTTTTTAACAAACGGCGATGGCATTGACTGCGAGATTAATTATGTTATCACTTTAGTGACGTTGTAGGTGAGTCTAATCAATTGTCTCGTTATAGCGAAAATCTGTAATCATACATTTATTATTGCTTTTTCTTTTCGCAAGTGCCATTTTTATTAGAGAAAATTGATTGTTGAGGACAGTACAGTGTCATTCAACCACTAGGAGACAGTACAGCGTAATAATAAAAGTCAAAATGTGTGATAGAGGCGATCCTTATGAGAATCATCCACTTACACACAGCTCTCATAACCGTTCATGACACTTTAACGTCTTGGTTGTGTATTTCTTACTAGCGTGATAAAAACATTTTATTTGAAAACATTTTTTTTCGAAAGACGTCTCTTTTGCTCATCAGGACAAAAGTAAAATAAAAATAAAAACTTTGAAATGCAGTTTTTAGTTAAAACAACTTCTCAATTTGACTTTCAAACAAAAGTCAATTGACTAATTCAAAGTCAATGCAGAAATGTCTGCTGTTATTACTTGTTTCCAGTGTTGCATTATCTTTCAGGGATCAATCTGATAGGCTGATTTGCTGCTGAATATATTTTTTTTCTGATTGTTATCAATGTTCATTTATTTTTATGGAAACAGTCGTATATTAAGAGTACAAGAGTAAGAGCACAATTCAAATCATTTTCACAGATACATTAAATTAATTACATGTGACAGTAAATATATTTAGGTTTCAAAACATTATACTTCAGTTCAATTGTGTGTGTGTGTGTGTGTGTGTGTGTGTATGTGTGTGTGTTTTTTTTTTAAGTTAAAATATCCACTAAAATTAGCAGAAACATTTAGTTCTGAACTGATAAAATGAGAACCAGTAGTAATGATTGAAGACCAAAATAATTCAAGAAGACTGGAGTGACAATGTTTCGAATTACAGAAATAAATACAATTTCTTACATTTTACATCAATTACATTATCAATGAACAGCAAAGACTTTCAAAAACCCTGACAAATCATAATATCCCCAAATATCTGACCTGCAGTGTACATCTTGTCAGAGAAACTGCACAATAAAGACCTTAAACATGATTTTTTTTGTCTTATTTAGTCTTTACTGTGGTTGAATACCGCTGTACTTTCAATGACAACAACTTTCAACTAAATATAAATGGCTTGCAAATGATATTATGTTCTGAATAGTGACTCTAATTTAATTTCAGTTTATTATGTGTCTAACTTCTTGTTTATTTAATCAAAATCCATAAACTTTGTTATTATGGCAACCCACATCAAATAATAATTTATAGTGCATGCAACAACACACATGCAAAACATTTAATCATTATTTGAAATACACGAAAGACATGATGACAGGTCAGTGGTTTTAGGTAAAAATTTTACATATTGTGTATATGTAGATTCATTCATTCATTCATTCATTCATTCATTCATTCATTCATTCATTCATTCATTCATTCGTTCGTTCGTTCATTTATTCATTCATTCATTCATTCATTTTCCTTCAGCTTAGTCCCATTATCCATCAGCAGAATGAACCGCCAACTTGCGGATGCTCTTCAAGCTGCAAATTAGTCCTGGGAAATATCCATTCACACAGATACACCACGGCCAATTTAGCTTCTTCAATTCACGTACACGCCTTAGGACTGTGAGGGAAACTGAAGCACTTGGAGGAAACCCATGCCAACACAGGTAGAACATGCAAACTCCACACAGAAATGCCCACTGACCCAGTCGGGACTCAAACCAGCAAGTTTGCTGTGAGGTGACAGTGCTAACCACTAAGCCATCGTGTCGCCCATTTTACATACTGTAAAATATATTTTACGTGTGCTACAATGAATGACTGTTTGTTTTAGAGAAGTGGTTCGGCAGAGAATTTCACAAGAATGGCAACATTTGCATCATAATGGAAGCACCACAGTTTCGCCAAGTTTCTCATTTAAATTAAAAAGCAACCATGAGAAAAATAAATAAATTGAAAACTGTAGAGTGGGAAGTACTGCAGCACACCCGATTATAGCTTGGAATGATCAATCTACTACATAAAAAGCCATAAACTTTACAGAGTTTATCAGACAACACAAGATTAGGTTTCCATTTGAGAAAGTTCCCTCACGGGTGTGGATTTTCCAGCAGCTCTGTCTGCAAGACCTTTGTCCTGGTGTTCAGAACATTAGCCTGAAACATAATGCCAAACACCCTGGCAAAACTGGGTAACAGATCGATGCAAAGCAGAAAGCATGATGTGAGTGCATAGATGAAAATCTACGGGTTTGTGGTGTATAATGCAACAAGGAGGAACTGTTCATCTGCATGTGACCAGAGGAAAGGGGGCGGGGCTTGATTCTAACTTGATAACCCTGCAGCGTGCTGTACTCACACAGGAATGCATTTCTGTTGTGACATCTCAACGAACACAGAAAAAAGACAGAAAGTGAGAGAAGAAAGACAGACAACAGAAAAGATGGATTAGAAGAGACATTGGAGCACATAAGCTGAAGCGTAAGTCATTTTACATTTACATTATGAAAATAGTCGAGGTGTTATGATGCAAAAAATGAATCAGTCTCATTGTCAAGTCTGCTTCATTCCAAATTGAGTCAAAAGCTGAACAAATATATGGCATTGTCCTGCTGTGGTCATACTCTGATAAACATCACAACAGTGGCATTGTTGGTAGTCCGCTGAGGATCTCAGACCTGAACTGAACCCTGAAGTCTGATGAAAAATAAAAGCTTTCTTCATAATTTGATATGAGTGAGTAAAACACATGTATATGAGTTCAGTTTAAAGAGTCAGTCAGTGGGTAAGACATTTTAAAGTAAAGTGCTCTTCCTGTGTTAATATAGGGTCATCATAGGTCTAAAATAACACCAGTTTGTGGGTTAGGATGGAAACGAGACAGCTTGCTGGGTGCAACCAGCAAGATCACAACCATCTTCAAGATAACAAGTTCCGGTCTACATTCCATTCTCATAAACTGTAGGTGTCTTGTAGTGTAAATCCCCCTCCCCCGAAAGACAATTATGATTAAAAGGCATCATTTGCCTTGAATTTGCTACCAGGAAATGTGCACACTGCCAAGTAGCTGCATCTACTGTATATCCGCAGTCATGTTTTTACAGCAACTATAACATAGACGCTTTTTATAATTTTTTAATAGCATGTCAGGACCAGACCTTTTTTGGTATTTCTGCATGGAATTTCGTGGAAAAGATCTGTGGATTTATGCAGATAGATTTTGAGAGCATAGGAGCTGAAAAACTAACAAATAAAAATATAAATTTTTAAAAATGTTTTAAAATGAGGTTCTCCTGCTCATCAAGGCTGTACTTTTTCATCAAAAATACAGTACGAACTGTAAGATTGTGAAACGTTATGGCACTATAAAATAACTGTTGAAAAGTAGTTATTATTAATATTATAGTATATATTTGTAGTAGTTATTATTAATAGTATTAATAGTTATAAAAACAATAATGACTGGAGTTATAACTTCATTTGAAACTACATAAGTAAGCAGCTAATAAATAAAAAGTAATAAGTATTCAACAATTTAACATTTTATAATAATTGCCGTCTTGATGAACAAAATGATTTTCTTAAAAAAAAAATGAAAAAAAAAAAAACTGACCCTAAACTTTTGACTGAAAGTGTATATATATTAGATAAGATTTTAACTTAAATGGTTTGTAGCAATCCGTTTCCTTGAATGATTTGTGTTATTTACTCATTTAAAACAAGCAAGTAACAACAAATTACACCAGTCCTGGACATAACACAATGTGTGGGAAAAATTAAGAAGAAGCAGACATAGTGAGCGCATGAAAAGCCAATGGGTGACATATATATATATATATATATATATATATAAACAGTCAGCCCTGTAATACATCCAAAAGACTTAAAAAGGTATTTTACAAATTGTATTGTACTAACTAAATCAAAACATTTGCATATAGCTAACATTACTACTGAAATTAAAATAAAAACTAATAAACATTCACATATAAATAAAGAGATTGAATGATGGGCTCAAAAATCTGTGTGAATTTGCAAATTTTCTGCAAGCCCAGATTTCATGTTGGCCTACATTTAAACTCTTACTGTAAATCCAATTAGTAAACCTTACTTTTAAAAAAAGCAACCAAACCTAGTTAGGTGAATTAGGATTTATAAGGTACTAACAAGTGCCTGCAGTAACTTAAAACAAATTTCCTCACAAAAGCTGTTTATTCTGTAAAGTGATGCCTCTCTGCTATTGGCTTCCATTAAAACAAAACTCTGGTCTCCTTCCTCATGTACTGGCGTTAGCTGTTACACCTTTTCAGGCAATAATTTCCGTCCTGTCACCCATTGGTTTTGCATGCTCTCACTACGGCTGCTTCTTCTTCATTTTTCCCACACATTGTGTTATGTCCGGGACTGGTGTAATAATGTGCATTTGTTGTTACTTGCTTGTTTCAAATGAGTAAATAACACAAACTGTTTGAGGAAACCGATTGCTACAAACCATTTGAGTTAAAAACTACTCTACTGTATATGAGTACTGTGAACTTAGTCCATTTAAGTAATGAGGTATTTAATTAACTCATTACCGTCAACACTGAGTTCAAAACTATTTTCAAATGAGTAGAATTAGCTTTCAGTACATTTTTTGTAAACGACACTCATTTCATTTGATAAAGTTGACTGTTGGGTTTTACAGTGTATTAGATTTTACAGTTTGAGGAAGAAATACACTGCAAACCTGTAATAAAAGGTAGGAATTGATTATAAATTGAATTATGATAAATGTTTCCCCTTTAGCAATGATCATAATGTCTATTTACCTAACACTGGAACATAAACAAACAGCATTATAACTCTATCCAGTGTTTTCCAGCATATTTATTGGCATATTTATCAGTTTTAAAGTGCTGCCTCTGTGTACATTTGTCATGTCAGTTTGACTAAATTGTAGCTTTTAAATGGCATCAAGCTATTAGCAACACTGTTATAACAGGGTGTACATCCGGCATAATGATATTAGCCAGCGCCTAAAAAAAACAAGCAACGTGACCCCTTTCTCGCAAAGAGATCAATGCACAAAATATGAACAAGAGTGAGAATGCGTGTATAATTTGTTAAAAAGAAAGAAAAAAATGTCCAAGAGTTCACTTTACTGGATAATACGGTTGGTAAGCTCTAAACATTTTTTAAGAAACAGCTTAACATGCTTTTTAATTGCATTAACACCTACACTTTATATTGAATATATTCTTTCTGACTATTATGGATGATCGTTCTTTAAATGTAAATGATTGTAAAACAGGATGTGTAAGTCATATAAACCATCTGCTGTTCACTGATGATTTAGTTAGATTTTTTTTTTTTTTTTTTAGTAATTATGTCCCATTACAGATACAGGATTGCAACAGTTGCTTTTTATATGTTCAAACTATGGTGTGCAGTTTGATGTAAAACATTTTATAGCAAAAAAAGTGTGAATATGATTGTAAAAACCAAATATGAATTTAATATTTCCACTTTCGGTGATTTAGTAGGATTTAGGTGATCCAATTTAAAATGCAGTGTAAAAATTAGAATATTTGGGTCATTGTTAAAGATGATTTGAATGATGATGATGACGACGATGATGATGATGTAAAAAAATGAAGAATGAACTGAATTTTTTATTATACTAGTAGAAAGTGAAGACAACAAAGATATGGTAGAAAGGATGAATCGACGTGGGAAAAGATAAAAGGAATATACACTGAAACAGTATACTTGATACAAACTTAAAGAATAAAAGAGCACGATGGATATCAGAAAAAATACTGGAAGTAAAAAGAGACAAAGACTTACGTAAAATAAATAAAAATGAAATAAATAAATAAATAAACACTCTGCCATGAGCAATGGATAGAACATAAATGACAAAAATGACAAATTCACGAAAGTTACATAATTCATAATAACATAATTAGACTATAAAAAAACTATGCACAAGATCTGTAATGCTTTTCAACCAAAGTTGGCTATACTACAGAAGAAAACTGGAAGCACAGGAGAAAATAACAGAGAGATGAAGCGAGTTTTTAGTGAACTGTACAACAAGCATGTTGTTGCATGCTTTTGTTAAATAAATGTAATTTCACGTCAAATTCTTGTTTTAATTAGTAATTATTTGACGATACCTACCTCTAAATTACACTTGAATCCAAATCTTCATGGCTATTCATACTGTTTTTAGTCTTAGTCATTCACAAGAATCATGTAAAGTTTTTAAAGATAAAGTTCTTTGCAAACACTCCTGTTACTAATACGGTCTATTATCTACCCAATCTAAAAATGTTCTAAAAAGTCTGGTCCTCTAACAATATCCCTTTGTAGTGTGTAATACACACACACACGCATGCACGCACGCACGCAGACACACACACACACACACACACACACACACACACACACACACACACACACACACACATACTCCCACACACACACACACACACACACACACGCACGCACGCACGCACGCACGCACACACACACACACACACACACACACACACACACACACACACACACACACACAGTAAATAATATTTGACTAGATATTTTTCAAGACACTTTTATACAGCTTAAAGTGACATTTAAAGCCTTAACTAGGTTAATTAGGTTAACTAGGCAGGTTAGGGTAATTAGGGAAGTTATTGTATAACTATGGTTTGTTCTGAAGATTATAGCTAAAAAATATAGCTTAAAGGGGCTAATAATATTGTCCTTAAAATGGTGTTTAAAAAATTAAAAACTGCTTTCATTCTAGCTGAAACAAAACAAATAAGACTTTCTCCAGAAGAAAAAATATAAGCAGACATACTGTGAACATTTCCTCGCTCTGATAAACTTGCTCTATCATTAAGGAAATATTTAAAAAAGAAGAAAAAAGAAAAAAATTCGAAGGGGGCTAATAATTCTGACTTCAACTGTATATCTCCGGTTCTCTAACAATACCACTTTGTAGTGTGCAATAAGATAAAAAAAACAATAAAACTTATACAAATCAAGATCTTTTAAAACTTATTTTGATTAAAATAAATTAAATTAAATTAAATTAAATTAAATTAAATTAAACTAAATTAAATTAAATCAAATCAAATTAAATTAAATTAAATTAAATTAAATTAAATTAAATTAAATTAAATTAAATTAAATTAAATCTCTTTGGTCCTCTAATAATATACTATAAAATAAAATAGATTAAATTAAATTAAATTTCTCTAGTCCTCTAACTGTAGTATAATGTATAATAAAATATAACAAAAATTAAATTTAAATTTAATTTATTGAGATATATCCAGTCCTCTAACAATACCTCTTTGTAGTGTGCGATAAAATAAAATGTATACAAATTAAGATCTTTTAACTCTCCTTTTGATTACTTTTGTTCTCATTTGTAAATCACTTTGGATAAAAGTGTCTGCCAAAATAATAAATGTAATGTAAATGTTTAACATTTAGCTACTTTTCTTATCTCACACTTCTCACTGTTAAAAAGTGAAGTATTACCCTAAAATTCATGCTTCTTATTCTCACTTGCACTGACAATGATGACTATTGTTAGACTGCTAAGATATGCCTAAACACTAAAAAACTGTCACCCCGACAACAAACATCATATTTTGCTGGGAGTGCTTGACCATTTATACTTATTTCATTGAACATATTTCATTCATTGTCTATAGCAGTTATAGCTCTGCTCCAGACTTTTTTCCACATTGTCATGGTAACTTCAATCTAAATACATTCTCCAGTGCCAAGGAATCACATGAAATCCACATGAGCTTTATAACATGACATAACATAGCTTTATAACATTATACACATGAGTTCACTAATCATTCATCAGAACAAGGGTGCTTGAAAATCATGTTTTGCCAATTCAACCATCTGTGTTTACCAGTCATCTCTCCTCTTACAGTAGCAAAAGTCATTCAGAAGCTATAAGGACAGGAAATCATGGCCTCTGACCAACACAGACCAAAACCCAGATTGAGTCTCCGCTCCAGCACAACTATACGATACGGCTCCATGAGCTCTGAGCATCCGGATGGAGACCCTTCCACCCCGCAAACAACCTCCATCTCTCAGAGACGCTCCTACATTGCAGTGGCAGTGCTGTGTTACATCAATCTGCTCAACTATATGGACCGTTACACTATAGCTGGTGAGCACACTGTGCCTTAAACCCACTCAAATGCATGGTTGACTGAATATCTCTGTAAATAAGGATGCACGTGGTTCTTTTTCTGTTCCAGGTGTGCTGCTTAGAATACAGAAATTCTTTTTCATCTCCGACAGCACATCGGGCCTCCTACAGACAGGTATCAGTATGAGTTTCAGTATATTCCACACTAAAAAAAAAATTTTCTTTGGGCTTACTAAATCTTTTTTAAGGTAAGTGGTTGCAAACAATTTATATGGGCTGAATTTAAACAAACAAATTCAATTTAGTTATGATCAACTTAATTTGTTTATTTAAAGGTGCAGTAGGTAAGTTTGACACCCAGTGGTTGAACTAGGTATTACATTCCTGAATCAAAACAAACGAAAGCGCAGGTTGCCAGATTGACAGAGTGAGTCTGATGATTGGGCACGCCATAGAAGAAACATTGTCCATATTAAAAAGGAGTTTTTGTCCAAACCAACACCTCGAATTGATAAAACAGAAATGGCTTCTATTTCTTGCTTCTGTTTCTCTGGTACACCTCATGTGCTTTATTCAGTGGTAAATGCTAATAATGTGAGCTTGCATGGCATTTTATATGAAATTTTTTGCCATACCCATGAAAGCGGCAACAGACAGTTCCTTGAAAATAAAATAAACCGTTTGAAATTGAACTTTAGAACTGAGAAATAATGCAAGCCAACACATATCAGTCGTTCAACATGTACATTTAATAATGTTAAAGAGTGTTAATATGTATTAATTAGAGCAGTGGTTCTCAAACTTTTTTCACTATGTACTGCCGCAGAAAACTTGTCTATCCAAGTACCACTATGACCGGTATTGAAATACAGTAGCGTAGTAGGCCTAGTTAAGCAGCTACAGCTCTGCACAGTTCAAAAACAGAAGCAGATTTATTTTTATTATTATTAATATTTAGTATTGTCAGTGACTTTAAACATTATAAATAGTTTGAACATTAACACTACACTGTGCTCACAGGTAAAAAAAAAAAAAAAAAGATAAATAAAATGTCAACGTTTAAATTAAAATATGCTTTTAAAAGTCAATTATTAAGCGATTCCTCCGCGTTCCACAAGAAGAAAGCTTGTGTACCACTAGTCGTACCCTTACCACAGTTTGAGAACCACTGAATTAGATTATAAACCTTACCATTTCGTGAGTGAGTGCACTATTTTGTGTATTTCAATTTCTGTGTGTTTCGTCTGGTGCAAACAGCCAAATTGAATATCACGGCAAATCTCATCATGAAGCGTGTTGTTAGGGCATGCGGTTACAATATAACCTGCTCACCTAATGTTTACGTTTGTTATATTTAAATTATTTACTAAGTTATAACTTAATGTGCAAATCTGAATCTGCGTCTCAGTTCAGAGTCTGCTACTGTCCACTGGGGGTTGCATTTCAGTCATAGACGCATGCTTTGAGAGCCTTTCAGAATGAATGAATGAATGATATACGCTGTTTCCACCAGGGCAACACAGGGTGCTGAAATTGGCTAAACTGGCATTGGGCGGGTTAAAAAAATCCAAAACAAAGACAGTTGTTTCAGCATAGCAAACACATTTTCAAAGCAGAATATCTGACTTCAGCATTGTTTTTCAGATAAACAAAAATGTTCACTTGGCATGTTTCTTAAATCTCTGCAAAAATATTATGATATTTTTATGCTTTAGAAGAGTAAAAAATGTACATACAGCACATTTAAATTTCAGCCCATATAAATTGTTTGCAACCACTTACCTTAAAAAATTTTGTTAATCCAATAAATATTTTTTTCAGTGCATTGACTTGACAGTAAAAGGGTTATCATTGTGGAATTTGATTTCAAAAGAACTTCCTTCACTGTAAAAAACAATGCAGGGTTCCACACAATTCATTAACGTTGTCCCAAAACATTAATGTTGTCATCAAACACAAATTAAGTTAGCAAAACAAATAAAAGTGGATTAACCATAAAGCAATTAAGTTGTCACAAAAACCTTCAAGAACTGTGTTGTTTAGCTCATTTTCAGTAAGTACAGTTGAAGTCAGAATTATTAGCCCCCCTGTTTATTTTTCCCCCAATTTTTGTTTAACGGAGGTAATATTTTTCAACACATTTCTAAACATAATAGTTTTAATAACTCATTTCTAATAAGTGATTTATTTTATCTTTGTCATGATGACAGTACATAATATTTGACTAGATATTTTTCAAGACACTTCTATACAGCTTAAAGTGAGATTTAAAGGCTTAACTAGGTTAATTAGGTTAACTAGGCAGGTTAGGGTAATTAGGCAAGTTATTGTATAACGATGGTTTGTTCTGAAGATTATCGTGAATATAGCTTAAAGGGGCTAATAATTTTGTCCTTAAAATGGTGTTTAAAAAATAAAACAAAAAATAAAACAAATACAAGCAACAAAAATATATTATTTTGAGTGTTGGTTAATAATTTTTTTTGTTAGCTTTGTAAGCAAGACTAGCATTACGCTACACACCATTAGATATACAATAAAAATTGTGCGTTTATGCAATCTGCCTTGGAGCTTGCTTTTTTTGAAAGCCCCAATGAGTCTGAGGATCTGAATCTGAAGATGATGAAAGTGGTTTTGCAGTTTCCCGTCAGTCACTATCTGGTCTTTAAACGGCTGGTTGATTATACTGATTACTGACAGTCAATAATGTAATACACAATTTGTTCCATGGATTGTTCAACTTGACTATAATACACAATACTACAAAATACTAGAAAATAATACATTACAAATTGCATTCAAAGGTATTCGGGGTAAAAAGCCGTTTTGCAATTTGAAACATAAAAATCAGTTTTAAACTTTGAACTTTACTGTAAGTATTTTTGTTCAACTACTATTCATTTAAATTAAATTAAATTTAAAACAAAATGCAGTTGTTTATGCATGTTTAATGATGTTTAATAAACACATTAATGGTGTTTATTTGCTGAAATGAATTTTAAAATCTGTTTTATTTGTATTGTGCAACATATATTTGTAATTTTTTTTTATGCATAGTATATATTGTGAAAAGGCGGAACACAATAGCTAGTTGTATGAATGCTGTAATGTTTAAATAATTTTACATTAAAAATGCGTGAAGGTTATGTGGCCATCTGGAAGAACGCAGCATCTTATTTCTCATAGAATGCATTCTCTGTTCTTGCGGTCTCCCAAGTTCATTCTTCTAAGGTAACCTGGCAAGACTGCTCTTCTCAGCCTTCTTGGAATTGAGAAACAGCCCAGGTGTGAGTTAGAGGTGGTTGGAGATAAACTGTGCAGAGCTGCGGCTCTTTAGCAATTGAGTTGGAGACCATTGCTTTACAGTAATAATGAATCAAAAGTGAAACTAACCTGAATGTATGGTGTAATGAAACATTTTCAATGTAATAAATGCTTTTTAAACTGTTTGTTAAAAAATAAAAAATAAAAATCTGTCAGTTTAATTAAAAAACAAATTGGTTCATATTCAAAAAACAGCCATGAAAATCATAGAAATAAAACAATACAAGCCCATTCAGACTCTATATGAACAGGATGTCATGAGAAGAGCAATAAATATTAGTGCTGATTCCAAACTTCCTCTTTTCAGTGAATATCAGCTGTTACTATCAGGGAAAAGACTGGTAATACCAATGTGTAAAACAAATAGATTGAAGCTTTCAAATGTTCCTACCTCGAAAAACTGTTGAACTTTACCAAGAACAATGCACCTGTACTACATAAGCACCTGACTGTGTTCTGTGCTTTATATAATTCATATTTTTATATGGTCTTATTTTGTAAACAATGTATGTTTTTAATTGTTTGTGCTTAATTGTTTTGTTAGTATTATTTGTCTGCTTAAAGCAACATTGTAGCACCTTTTTTTCCAAGACAAATTTCCACTCTTGGTCAAATAAAGTTTATCCTATCCTATACTATCCTATCCTATCCTAAAAATGTTTCTATGTTTCCTATGAATATATAAAAAATGAATGAATGTATTGAATTCATTGAATTAACGAATAAATAAATAAACAGGCTAATTGTTTTTCAATCAGATTCATTTCTAAAGGCTATGTGATTCTGTAGATTGGGGAAAATTTAGTTTTAAATTCAATTGATATATTTATGTATATTTTAAAATCTGTTAAAAGAAATCACTTATTTTAAAGCGTTTATAATAGTTCACAGCATTAATCTTGATCCTGACCAACATAAAACATGTCTTAAAAAATCATATTGATACTAAACATTTCAGAAGTAGAGTATCTTTGCCGTCCACCTTGCAATAACATATTTACAGTTTTTATCTGCAGCTTCATGTTCTTGGCACCAGTGTTCGGTTACCTTGGAGATCGCTATGATAGGAAGCTTATTATGATCGTTGGGCTGGTTATGTGGATCGTCACAACACTGGGAAGCTCTTTCGTCAGAAAATCGGTACAGTACAAAGTCTCACAGCTTCGATAACGTGTATATGATTTATATTTCACACCTACACCTTTAACTATACTGGATTTTTTTTATGGAGTTACATTTTTTAAGAGCACAATTTAAAGTCTTAATTCTCACCACAGCACTTCTGGGTTCTGGTTGCGACAAGGGCTTTGGTCGGGACAGGAGAGGCCAGTTACTCCACCATTGCTCCTACTATCATTGGTGACCTGTTCGCTGGCTCCAAGAGAACTCTTATGATCTCCTTCTTCTACATCTTCATACCAGTTGGAAGGTGAAAACCTCACTGCAAAATTAAATAAAAAGAATTGATTGCTGTCTACATCGATAGCCCAGTGGTTAGTCTTGTCATCAATCCCAGTTGTAAAGGCAACAATGAATAACTTAACTTCTTGTTGATCATTTGGACACTGCTTTTAGATTCTAAATGAAACTGTATAAAAATCCTCTATATCACAAATGCATTCCACAGCCGGGTCCAGTTCTACAATTTCACTGGAATGTTCAGGCATTCTGGGAGTGCAGAAATACAGACTCTCATTGTTTGTTTTCTTCATTCTGCTTGACTGTGTTTCTGAAGTGCACACTGTCAGACTGTTTCTGTAGGTTTTGTTCACATTAGTGTTCAGGAGTGTGCTATTGACTCATGATTCATTCAAAAACACTGATTCATTCGGGAACAAAACAAGTCATGAGTCAGTCTGTCTGTTTAAAATACTGATTCAGTCAAGAATGTGGCCACACTTTATTTTAAGGTACAGTTATCACTGTTAATGAACCATTAACTATGGTTAGCTTCAATAAAAGCCTCATGTGCAGCTTATTAATAGTTATAAGGTCGCACAAAAGGCAATAGTCCTATTTAAGGAGCACAAAATATTCAATAACTGACATTTAAAACATTCCCACATTGCTTACTAATCTTAAAACCAATACATTTACCTAATTGTCAATAAAAAGGTTTAACATTCTTAAAAAAAAACTAAAAGAAAACAAATATTTTATAATAGAATCAAATTTAACATGATAATTTATAAGATTTCATCATATTTATTAATAGGTACAGGTGAGAATTTGTATGTTGTCTCATTTTTACATATGTGTATGTGTGTGTTATCCTGTAAAAAAAAAAAAAATCATTTTACCAATATTTTGCCTTTTAGCAATTGTTTTTCTTTTCAATTTAGGTATCTTAACTTTGGGCCATATTTACAAGACCTCTGTTGAATCTTTATTTTTATCATTCTTTCTTGCAGTGGTCTTGGATACATTATTGGGGCAACTGTAGCTGATGCAACAGGAGACTGGCGTTGGGCTCTAAGGGTGAGAAAATATATATATTAAATTATTTTGAAGGGCACCTATGATAAAAATCTACTTTTGTTAGCTATTTAGACAGAACTGTGTGTAGGCACACAGTCACCTACTGTGTGCCTGTGTGCTGGTGATTGTGATAGTGTCACAATCACCAGCAATCTAATCCTTGCAGATTGCTGGTATGAATGCAGATCGCTGGAGAACTTTGCACACACCACACTAAAGAACTACTTATCCAGTTATGCACCGCTCACACACACACCGGTTCCGGGTTCTATTGATTACTTACTTACACACACACACACACAAACACACACACACACACACACACACACACACACACACACACACACACACACACACACACACAGCAAAAGGATCATTATGAACTGATTACATGGACTGTATTCACAGCACACATGCATACCTCTGGGCTGACTCTTGTTATACTTTTTTTTTTACATTACAACGTGTTTTTCTTGCCTTGCAGTTTTAGACCCTTGCCTTGTTTTATTGTTTATTCCTGTTTGCTGCCTGCTTTTTGACCATCCGCCTGTTTACTGACCATGACTCTGGATTTCCTGTATACATCTGTTCGCCCGTGTTGATCGTTGCTTGCCTGACCATTCTCCTAATAAATCTGCATATGGATCCACACTATTTTTACAGCATCCTCTCATATAACATATAGTGTGTCCACTGTCATATTGAAGTTATAGAAACACAATACGTCTCTTTTTTTTTAATTTCCTGACATTAAAATAGGACCTAAATCCCAGTGATTTTTATAAAGTTTAAAATGTTTTTTACAAACTGCATGTTAGTAATAAAGACAATAAAATTGCTATGTAATTCGCAATCGCTATAATTACCAGGGCCGCATGGTGTTAGTAAACGCTAATATATGGTTGTTTGTGTGTGTTTGTGTGTGTGTGTGCTGAAAATGGCATTTAAGTGTGAATCATCACTTCAGAAAGTCTTGAATAAACTCCACCACAAATACATCAAATAAACTAGTATGTATTTTTGACTAATAATCTGAATTTCAGCTTCATCTGAGTCTGCCTCTATCACTGACTGCCGTTTATCCGATGTAAAGCAAGAATAGCAGACACGAACAAGGGAACGTTGGGTGAAGAGAAGCAGCTCATTTGCATTTAAAGCCACAGGCTACAAAAACAGCTACACTGTACTCAAGACAGCAAAATTAGCACATTCTGGAAACTATTATTAATGACTTTATGGGTGTTTTGAGCTGAAACTTTACAGACACATTCTGGAGAAACCAAAGGCTTATCTTACATCTTGTGAAATGGGTAAAATAGGTGCCTTTTAAGTAAACATATATTAAGAGTGACAATAATGCACAAGCACCTACAGCTTTAGTGATTAAGACTCAATCTGTTAATCTTGTATTATAGTATCCTAAACTGTAGAATAAAGACGCTAGAACAAAGCTATTGCTCAGTACTGCATTATATTTAAGTGTTTAATTGAATTTCCTCTAACTCCTACTGCATACCTGCATTCCATTCAAGCAAAAAAACAAAAAGCCACTTTGATGTGGAGCTATTTATATTCTGTTCTCAGTAAACGGCTCTTTTAATAGTCCTTAGCAGTCCCAAACAGAAACAAAAAATAAAACATATTGAGCTTAAGTTTTTTTGTTAAAAAGTTACTTCATCCAAAGTTTTAAATGCTACAAATATTTGAGCTTCCCTCAATAAAGTGCATTGAGCAATGTGTTTGGTTATTTTAGCAGCTCTGAAATGATCAATATAATCAAGAAAAAAAATCTACACCTACACCTATAAAAGAAAGCTGTATTTGTTTTTGTTTTTGTTATTTCTAGGTTAGTCCTGCTCTTGGGGGACTTGGTTTGCTGCTTCTGGTGTTTCTTATACCTAACCCTCCTCGCGGAGCATCAGACAATGGAGGAGCAAACATGGAAACCACTTCATACACTGAAGACATCAAATACCTCTTAAAGAAGTGAGTACAGACTCTCGTCATGTGCACATCATTCAATCCACCATGTGCTTATAACACTTTTCAAGGTGTTTGTTTGTTTGTCATGAACTCAGGTTTCATACAGTATCCTCTAGGACAGTGGTTAAAGGGCTCAGAATGACAAATTACTTAAAGGGATAGTTACAACATTGTTCCAAACCCATAAGAAATAAACAAATGAAGAAAAAATATTTTTTGTCCCCCATTAAAAGCATATTCACTTGAAAATCTGAAAAACTGAAGAGTTTTAATCCAGTTCTCCAAAAGAGAAAATGCTTCCTAAGATACACAGATTTAATTTAGGCTTTTATTCAAACATAAATATTGACATGTTTTGCTATCATTTGGGAGAACACACTTTCAGAGGAAGGAAAGAAATCTTTTAGATTGCATTACAACTATTTTACCTTGTGTTATGTATTTTTTAAAATATGTTTTAAGATATAAAACAAAAAACAGAGGTTAAAATTGTAAACACTTGATTTAATAAAACATGACTTTAAGAGTTTATTTGATTATTACTTCAATATAACAAAGCTACTTTGTGTAAAAAAATGTGTATTTTTGGCAAATTTACCAGATATACTACAGGGCATATATAATAAATATAGCTGCTTTCACATACACTACCTGACAAAATTATTTTCGTCAATCCCACTTGTAAGAGCATCAAATAATAACTTTTGATTGATTATTTGGAAAAGTGGCAGTAGGTAGATTTTTTTGATGAATCATTTGTAGAACTGCATCACAATCATCACAAATACTGCAGAAGACCTATTGGAACCCACATGGACCCAAGATTCTCATAGAAATCAGTCATGTTTGGTGAAGGGAAAACATTGATTTAAGGCTACATTCAGTATGGAGGCTTTCGAGAGATCTGCAGAGAGGATGGCAACATCAACAGCCTGAGGTATTAAGATTTTTGTGCTGCCCATTACATTACAAACCACAGGAGAAGACAAATTCTTCAGCGGGATAGCGCTCCTTTTCATACTTCAGCCTCCATATCAAAGTTCCTGAAAGCAAAGCAGTTCAAGGTGCTCCAGGATTAGCCAGCTCAGTCACCAGACATGAACATTATTGAGCACATCTAGGGTAAGATGAAGGAGGAGGCATTGAAGATGAATCCAAAGAATCTTGATGAACTCAGGGGGTCCTGCATAAACGCTTTCTTTGCCACTGCAGATGACTTTATTAATACGTTATTAGAGTCATTGCAGAGATGTATGACTCATGGGATTCATACACAATATTAAATCGTTTTCCACTGCACCATGACTTTATATTCTATATAGTACAATATTTCTGGTGAGTGACAAGACTTTTGTCTCAGCAAAGTCAGACCTTACTGTCCTAATTAAAAATTTTAAATCAAGATCATATTTTATTTTGGTAAAATAAGTGTTAACTAGAGGCCTTTGCCTTTCATATAAGACACTTATGATATCAAATGATCAACTAGAGGTTAAGTTATTATTTGCTGTTCCTAAAACTTGGATAGGTGACAAGACTCAGGTCAGTAGTGTAGTGTGTCAGGTAGTGTGTTTTATTGGACAATAGGTGATCAGTAGGGGTAAAAAATACGGTTTTACCTTCACAATAAAACATATTGTTTTACAGATGTTTTCCATTTATTTACATGTTTGAATTACAACTGCAGGACCTTGATCTGTGCCCTGACAAAGTTAGAATGTTTATCTATGCAGTTGAACAAATTTACTTTTATTGACATATGTTTGTAGTTTGAAACAATATATTGTAGAGGAAAAACACAGAAATAAATTCATTAAAAAACATAAAAAGTATTTATTACCTGCTTTTTTATTAATCTCAATGTGAAAAAAACTTAAACTTACAATTGATTTTGTAGTCCAAGGTCACATGCAGTTGAAGTCAGAATTATTAGCCCCCCTGAATTATTAGACCCCCTGTTTATTTTTTCCCCAATTTCTGTTTAGTGGAGAGTAGATTTTTTCAACACATTTCTCAACATAATAGCTTTAATAACTCATTTCTAATAACTGATTTATTTTATCTTTGCCATGATGACAGTAAATAATATTTGACTAGATATTTTTCAAGACACTTTTTTACAGCTGAAAGTGACATTTAAAGTCAGGTTAACTAGGCAGGTTAGGGTAATTAGGCAAGTTATTGTATAACGATGGTTTGTTCTGTAGACTGTAAAAAATATAGCTTAAAGGGGCTAACAATTATCTATAAAATGGAAATTAAAAATTAATAACACAATAAGAAATAACACAAATAAGCCTTTCTCTAGAAGAAAAAATATTATCAGAGATACTGTGAAAATTTCCTTGCTCTGTTAAACATTATTTGGGAAATATTTAAAAAAAAAAACAATTAAAAGGGGGGCTAATAATTCTGACTTCAACTGTATATCTTTTAAAACTACCAAAAATGTCAATAAAAGTCACTTTTTACACTTTACAACATAGAAACATTGACTGTAAAAAATATAATTAATTATGTTTTTAATTCATTGTAACTTATTAAACTAAGTTAATCATGTCCAAACTTAATTTTATAAGTTATATAAGCTGTTTTAGTCAGTTTAACATAATATAAGTTCAATGGGTTTATTTGATTCAGCTTAAATATTTATGGCAACCAAGATTTTTTTTACCATGTTGAAGCTCAAATAACAGAGTTTTCTGGGCAGATGTTAATTATTAAATTTATTTTACAATGTTATTAGTACAGTTAGTTTCTAAATTGGTTTGATGCTATTTACTGTGTCTCCCTCTTCTAGCCGGAGTTTCGTCTGGTCTTCTCTCGGCGTTACTGCCATGGCTTTTGTCACCGGGGCTCTGGCTTTCTGGACGCCCACCTTTCTGTCTCGTGCACAGGTCACACAGGGTCTCAAACAACCCTGTAAAGAAGAGCCCTGTGACTCTGTGGACAGGTACAGCCTTTTGGCTTTATATAACAGATCTGAGAGAAAACCAATGAGGTCAACAGTAGACTGAAAGATAAGCCAGAGATTAGTTGAGTAGCTGTGGCTTCCTCTGTGATACTGCGTAATCCTTGCCTAGATATACATTTTACTGTTGGCTGCAGCTTTTTTGCTCTTGCTGTCCATAAACGGATCTAATCCATTATGTTTTTCAGCCATAGACAAGTGCCAATATTTAATAATATTTATGAATGGTATTGTTATTGTTGGCACTTTAAATTAGCATGAATAATTCTTTATTAATTAAAAAAAATTAAATATTTCAAACATATATTTATATCGTGATGTTGTAAAGCTTAAACACTTTGAGCATTTTTACATCTTAATCTAGCCTAAGACACGAGATATTTAATAATTTTTTTTTGATTGTTTAATGTTTGTTAAGATTTACAGTAAGGCCACATTTGTTAAAATGAGCTATTTAAAGTAAAATAAATTAAAAAGTAAAAAAGTAAATGCTCGCAATGTGTGTGAATGCGGTGTCTTTATAGTCCTAGTAATTAGTCCCTCATGAGCTTCCAGCTGTGTCTGTGTAATCGGGGAATCAGAAAGTGGTGTGTGAATGGAAAGACTTCTGGGAGGTGTATTTCATATAGTAGCAGATGTGTAGTTCTGTGCAGATCGTTGGTGACCGTGACAACTATAAAGTGTTAGCTATCGTACTTTCCAATCTTTTTGTAATTTAATTTGTAGGAAACATTGGTTTACTCTGAACATTATTATTTCCTGTCAATTTTGATTTGTTAAAATGTCTTTTTTTTTTTTTTTAGTTTGGCAGGTATAAAAGCAGTAAAAACTGTTAGGTCAAAAAAACATTTTCTGGAGGGCTAATATGTTTGCTTTCACATGTAAGTATGATAAAGTAATGCAGAGAATAAAGAAATAAATGGAAAATGCAGACTTTTTTGGTTACAATAGCTATTACCTCTAATAATACCTGGAAACCTTTTTTGTGTTGTAACAATACAAATGTATGGTGATAAGAGTAGAAATTAATGCAACAACAAAACAAAATGGTAACACTAGTTTAGGTCACAATTCACACTAAACTAAAGTGATACCTAATTTACTGGCTTATTACCTGCCTATTATTAAGTTATTAACTGTCCATTAGTAGTTATAAAGTATGATCTTATTCTGCTTCCCTAATTAAAACCTAAACCCAACTTCTACCTAACTAATTAAAAAACAGCTAACCAGTAATTTATTATGCTAGTAGTGTTAGGTAATGGTTTATTAATACTGTAAGTGACCTAAACTAAAATGCTACCAAAAAATGTGATACAATCATATAGCTACCATTTGTACCTCCAAACTGTGCTGATCATCTTACAGAGAGAGTATTGTTCACTTTTTCTAGTCCAACTGGTCTAGTAGGGCCTGTGAGGAACAAAACACAGAGAAGTGGGGCTGAAATTGAATAACATCACATTGTTTCTTCTTTCTTTCATGCGTAAGCTACATTTTTGGAGCAATCACAGTGGTGACAGGGGTTGTGGGGGTGTTTCTGGGCACCTGCATTTCCAAGAAGCTGAGAGACCGAGTGCCGAACGCAGACCCGCTCATCTGTGCCGTAGGAATGCTCAGTTCCTCACCTTGCTTCTTCATTGCTATAGTCCTGGCCTCCACCAGCATCCCGGCCACTTATGTAAGAACAGTTCAGCTATGCTGCTGGATTATTCTATGGCATTCAGAATTTCTGTTGATATTAAGGGAGTAATTCACCCAAAAAGAAACTTGTTTTCTTTTTTTTTTGCAAAGTCACCGAGCTCAATAACAATTTTAGACTCCAGTGACCAAAATATGACCTTTCCTGTAGAAAGTGATTTATTAGATAACATAATTGTAATTTTTGGTAAGCTATTCATTTAAAGATATAGATTATTTTTAACTAACACAATTGGGTTTTCAATGTTTTCGATGACATGGGCATCTATATAATTTGTTATGTATAAAGAATTTATACTTTAAAATAAATACTATATATGGGCCTAAAATATTATTTAGACAATATTTAGTTTATCTTAGGTGACATTATTAAATTTATTTTACTTCATATTTTTACATAATTGTTTACATATTTTAACAAATTGTAATTATGAATTTTAATCTAATTGAATTGATTTGTGGGTTTCCCTCACAGTCCAAAGACATGCGCTATAGATGAATTGAATTAACTAAATTGTCCATAGTGTATGTGTGTGAAAGAGTGTGTGTGGATGTTTCTCAGTGTTGGGTTGCGGCTGGAAGGGCATTCGCTACGTAAAACATGCTGGATAGGTTGGCGGTTCATTCTGCTGTGGTGACCCCTGAATAATAAAGGGACTAAAACGAAAAAGAAAATGAATGAAGGAATGAATGATTTCATTTGTGTATTTAGTTTGTCTAATAAAATTATTTGATATTATTCTTAAAATTATATTCTTAATATAATTGTATAATCTTATTATTACTCATACATTTATTATATAAATTTATTAATTTATTATTGGCTTATGTAATATTTTATTTAGCATCCATAGCAGCAGCATATTTGCAAAAAAGTGGAGGGTTTTGAAAACACTCCACTTTTTTGCAAATAGGCTTATTTTTCCAGTCACCTAGAGGTAAAAGGTTGAGTTTTGCTGTTTTTGAATCCATTCAGCCGATCTCCGAGTCTGGCGGGAGCACATTTAGTTTAACTTAGCATAAATCATTGATTCGAATTGGGCCATTAGCATCTCGCTACATAAAAAATGTTTAGATCTTTTTCTTATTTAAGGTTTGACGATTCTGAAGTTATATCATGTACTTACACTAAAAAAATGCTTAGTTCCACAATTAATTTGAGTTGAGACAACATGATGGAATTACGTTAACGTATCAGTATTTAAAACTTTAAGTGGATTTAACATAAAACAATTAAGTTGTCCCTTAAAAACTTAAGAAATGTGTTGTTTCAGCTCATTTTAAACAAGTAGACTGAACAAACAGCAAACATCATTTTTTGAGTGTACATCATATAAAAGTTCATTTAAATAGGAAAGTGAACTAAACTCTTTTGTCATTTGTGAGCTAGATGCTAATCGTTTAATCTGATTCAATGATTTATGCTAAGCTAAGGTAAAAGTGCTCCCGCCATACCCTGTGACCAGCAGAAAACGGTAAAACTCAACTGTTTTCAGTTGTAAAACAAGCTTATTTCCAAATAAAAGTGGAATGTTTCTTAAACACAGATTATTTTCTGCTATAACAGCATGTGACCACAAGGATGCACTATTTGCTCTACAATGTATTTTTTTCTTACAGACATTCATTGCTATTGGAGAGACTCTGCTGTCACTCAACTGGGCTATTCTGGCAGACATTCTTCTGGTGAGAGGTCTATACATCACAATACAATAAATAAACAAACAAACAAACAAACAAACAAACAAATAAATAAATAAATAAATAAATAAAGACATAAATGTAACACTCTTTTCAAGCAAATGGTTTAACATATTGAACATTAACCATTGTGCTTAAATGTAGAAACATCGAGGACACTGATGTATTGTTGAATTAATTGTTCTACATTTTCCCCTTGTGATTACTAGATTACAATTGTAGAAGAATGGTTGGAATTTAAAGCATTTTTCTAAACTTTTTCTTGTAGTACGTAGTGGTGCCTAATAGAAGAGCGACAGCAGAGGCCTTGCAGATTATGGTCTGTCATCTTCTTGGAGACGCAGGAAGTCCATACCTTATTGGTGCGGTAAGACTATTATGATCCACAATACTTATAAAACAGAATTGCGGTCAAAGGCTGCCAATGTCCAGAAGTACCTAATGACACTCTTGGATACGAAATTGCATCTTGTAAAATAGCAATTGTATTGGTGTAATTACGTTGTGTTTTACAGTTTAATTTAAGGCAATAAAGTGTGAGAGAAACATACTTCCACAGTTAACTGATTAGGTAGTGAACTACAAACATTATCTGTACAATGAAAAAAATATTTCTGCAAAATTGTTACAAACTATTTATATGGGTTGAGTTTAAATAAACAAATTAAATTTAGTATTGTTCAACTTAATTAATTTGTTTAAATTTAGCCCAAAATAAATTGTTTACAACCACTTGACTTACATTTTTTTATTAAATCCAAGGAAGCATTTTAAAATCATTGTATTACAGTTTTTCCAATTGTTGTTTAAATGTGCATTATTAATCAGCATTATTTCCTTAAATATGCACTAATATGCAAATATTTCTAGCACAAATAAATTGATAATTGGATCAATATTGTTTCTTTTTTGTTGTTGACATACTAGAGTGAAAGTTTATTCAGAAAAGATTTCATGAATCTTTTATCACTACATAATTCAGAAAAAAAAACATTTGTGTTTACAACTTTTAGACTGTAGAATAAAACTGTAGAATAAAATATTATATATAATCAGGCAAATTATGTACACTACTCGTCAAAGGTTTGGGGTCTTTTTTTTCCCTGTTTTTTTTTAAACAAAATTATTGTATGTATTTTCATTGTATATAGTTTCAAACGAAATTATTACTCCAGTCAGTATTGCTTTTATTACTATTACCATTAATAATAATAATAATAATAATAATAATAATAATAAACAAAAAATAATTATAATTTTAATAATTATAACATCAACAATAATGATAATAATAATAATAAAATAATAATAATTATAATTAAATCACTATTATTAATATTAGAGTGATTTCTGAAGGTTTGTGTGGGTTTCCTCAAGTCCACAGACATACGCTATAGGTGAATTGGGTAGGCTAAATTGTTCGTAGTGTATGTGTGTGAATGAGGGTGTATGGATGTGTGAATGAGGGTGTATGGATGTTTCCCAGCACTAGGTTGCAGCTGGAAGGGCATCCGTCTCCTTTGTATGTCACACCAATTACAGGTCTTTCAGTCTCTGCTAATGACCCGATGATCTGAATTAGGTGTGTTTGGTTAAGGAGACATTAAAAATGTGCAGAGCTGGTGGTCCTCTGGGAATGTGGTTGAGAGACACTGTACTAGAGGCATCATTAGTCAAGGAATCTCTAATATGTATACCATTTCTAAGTTTGAATCTCAATGTAGTAGCAACGTTTTTTTTATCAGATTTTTAATATGATCTTGACAAAAAGGGACAAAAGAAACTGTCCAAAATTTCTGAATGGAAATAACTGTGTTTTTGCCTGTATAATGTCTTGCCTTAAAGACTAAAGACTGTAATCTTCTGCGTGCTCTCTTCAGATCTCAGATTCTTTGAGTAAGTATAATACCACAGACCCCAGCTGGGATTTCCGCAGATTGGAGTATAGTGTTCTGCTGTGCCCCTTCATTGGGGTCCTGGGAGGGCTGTTTTTCCTCATGACCTCTCTGTATATCAAAGAGGACCGGAAGGCAGCAGAATTGCTCACTTCAGGTAATAACAGCCCACCACAATGACAGACTGCCTTTCTACTTGTGTCTCCTGATGATGCTTATTTGTTCTTGGGCATAATCTACTTGCTTTTATGTATTTCTGTATGTAAATGAATGTAAATGTAAAGCATTTACTGAATGTAAAACAAAACTCCAATAGCAGGTTTATTTGAACAATAAAAAAGTAAAAGGATGAACGTTTTAGTTTAAATGAGCATTCTAAATAGTTGAACAAAAGCTGGTGTCTTTTAAATCAGTCAAAAAAGGAATCAAAAGTTGGTTTAAATGTGAAAGTACTGTATTTGTTTATAAAAGCTGTCAAGCTTTGCTGCTGGCATTGTGTTTTTGCTCTAAGCACGCCACAATGGCATTAACTAACACACTTGACAGTGATAATATCATCTTCTAGCTAGTAACAAAGTATAAAAATGACACTGTGGCATAACACAGAGTTTTACACAGGGATCAAAGTTGAGTTTAGGACAAAGAGCTCTCTTGTGCTTCTGGACCTTTTCCACTGAAGGCAAATTTATGAACAGAGCAGGATCATATCTGCACATATAAAACAAAAATTAAATTTATAAGAACACTTTTCTTTACAATTAAATTTTAACTTATAGACTCCCTGTGTTTAAAAGTATAGTTCATACAAATTCCAAACTTTTCTACACACACATATATATATATATATATATATATATATATATATATATATATATATATATATATATATATATATATAGAAGTTCTATAAAGCAATTATTGTTTGAATTTGAAAATATTGTTTTAATGACAGCAGCTCTTATTTTTGGGAATAGTTCAAACAAAAATCTAAATTTACTCACCAATTAGCTACATTCAAGTGGTTCCAAAACTTTTTTTTTTTTACACAAAAGGCGATATTTTAAAGAATGTTGAAAATGTGTAACCATTGACATCCAAAAACAAATACCACAGAAATCAATGATTACAGGTTCCCAACACTCTTCAAAATATTGCCTTTTGTGTAGAAAGCAACTCAAGCAGGTTTAAAACAAGTAAAGGGAGAATAACTGTCCCTATAAGACATTGGTCTCAAACTGGATTCCTAAAGGGCCGCAGCTCTGTACAGTTCTGCTCCAACCCTAATCAAACAGCTTATCTAACTAATCAAGGTGTTCAAGACTAGAGACTATAAAGCAGGTGTGAGTTGGAGCTGGTTGGAGCTAAACTATGCAGAGAACACTTCAGAAGTTGAGTTTGGGAACACTGCTTTAAAACCTTTATTTAATAACAGATGCAAAATATGACTATTTCAAATTTCGAAGAAGTAATGATCTGCTGGTTTCTTGCATACTGTTTACTTCAGTTTTTTTTGTATTCATCAACATTTCTGATATATTGAGGGCTGAAAACTAATAATATCACAGCAAAAACACACATTTTAAAATATAAAAAGGCTGCCAACAATGCAATCTCTGGTTTTGGGTGTTACTTCATAACAGTGCATAAATACAATCAAGCTTTAAATGAATCCTACCCCTGGCAAATTCCGACTTAAAGTTTTTGTTGAAATTTAAATAAAAGCTGAGAAATGTATATTTTTCCCACATTGATGCCTCTTGTACATCATTGTATTATATTTTGGCAAAAGCCAGTGCCATTTTCAGTCAAACAAAAACTTGCTGGTTAAAAAAAGTAACTTTAAGTGAGAATTCACCAGGGGTGTGAATTGTTTCTAGCTTGACTGTACATTTGAATAATTTCCTTGCTTTCTGTGTTCTCCAATACAGGACAGACTCCTCAACCAGAAATAACCACAGTCTCAGAGTCGGTCTGACCATGAAAACAACAACCCTGAGACCTTGAATAAGCTTTGATACATCAAGCAGACACATGTTAATACATATGGATACACGGACAATGAGAATAAAGGCTTCAGGAACACTGTAACAGAATAAAAGTAACATGTAAAAGTTTACATGGCAAAGCACTTAGCATCTTACTGAGACAAAAGCACATTAGCTCCATTTGTTACACGTTTAAAGGCAAGACAATGCAGGTTAATGAGGTATAAATATTAACTAATAATTATCACCATACTTTGATAGCACGTTTTATAAAATGGTGTATTCATTACGCAATTGAAGCATTCATCAAATAAATAGGTGCTAATTTGCATACAGTTGTAGCACATACAGTACCTCTGAACAAAGTGAATTCAGATTCAAGGTTTTTTTACTCAGCAGAATCAAAGGTTTTTACAGAAGGGATTTTAGGGAATCTCTTTTTTATCACTCCATTATTCCGAAAATACTGTGAACAGCCAGAAAAGATTTATTATTGTTGAATTAAATGCTGTATATATTTAGACAAACTATGTATAAACATATGCCTTTATTATAATTAAATAAAAGGTTGTATTTAATAAAGCAAATTATGTATAAGTGTATGCCAACCTCTGTCAAAAAACAAAACAAAAACAAACAAAAAACTTCAGAATACATTGCAGATATGACTAAAACTGTGAAATTTGGACTATATAAGTGGTGCTAAGGAGAGAATAAAAACTACTTTTAAAAATTAGATGACACAAATACTTTCTGTGCGACAAATGAAACTTAAAAGTGTATTTGGATGCTTTCTTTACCTTATACTGAGGAAAAATAAATAAATTTAAAAGCCTCAAAAATGAAAGGTTCTTAAAAAATTTCTATTAAAAAAAGTGTTTTAGCCTGCAGTGTCTCGTCTTTGCATTTCTACAATAGTCATATCTCACTTAGAGTGCGTGGTAACACTACAATAAGGTTATATCAATTAATGTTAGTTAATACATTTACTAACAGGAACAGACAAACAATAAATTAATCACAGTATTTGTTAATGTTTGTTAACATTAGATAATGGAAATAAAGTTGTTCATGATAACTCATTATCATGCATTAGCTAATGTTAGCAAGCATGCATTTGGACTTGGAATAATAATGTTGAACGATGATTAATAAATGCTGTATAAGTATTGTTCATAATTAATTCATGTTGGTAAATAACCTAACATTAATTACATAACTCGTATTGTAAAGTGTGACCGGGTATGGTTATGATTGGTTATTATGATTTTCTTGCTTGCGTCTTTTCTGTTTGGTAAAACAGAATGCTTGCTTTACATTTTTAGTTGCATTAACCATTTTTATACCCATTTACGATAATCAAGAAGGTGTCGTTCCAAGCTCAGCATGTTCTTGTCATTATGAGCACTCGTCCTGCTTTTCCTCCTCTCCGCAGCTGTGTGTGCTACTAATGAGAGCCTCAGGGGAACAAGGGGAGAGAACGTCCCCTCCTGGACCAAACCTGAAAGCTTGAAATACTGTATCTACTAAATCCGTCCTCCATTGTACAGACTGGGAATGTGTAGCAAGTCAATAGGCATTTTTCAAGTGCCATTGTTTTTATTGTGCTGTTTATTTTATTGTACTTTTGTCATCTTTTTTTATCAAAACATCGTTGAAATAAATGTATAAGCTTTCGTTTTAATTGCTTTAATTGTCTATAAATGATTTGTACACAGAATAATTCTGTCATACCTTTATGCAACGCTAGGTGGCAGAATATTCTCGGGTTTAAACCATCAGCGCACAGTGCTTAAAACGTTCATGAGCTGAACATGTGGAGTATTACTGAAACATATCAATAGTCCTTTATGACAGACAAGAAAGTGTTAAATATAGTTATAAACGTTTACAGTGGCGCAGCCGCAGTAGGTAGTGCTGTCGCCTCAACAGCAAGAAGGTCGCTGGTTTGAGGCCCGGCTGGGTCAGTTGGCGTTTCTGTGTGGAGTTAGCATGTGGGTTTCCTCCGGGTGCTCCAGTTTCCACCACAGTCCAAAGACATGCGGTACAGGTGAATTGGGTATGCTAAATTGTCTGTAGTGTGTATGGATGTTTCCCAGTGATGGGTTGCAGCTGGAAGGGCATCCGCTGCGTAAAACATATGCTGGATAAGTTAGCGGTTCATTCCACTGTGGCGACCCCAGATTCATAAAGGGACTAAATGAAATTTTCACTTAAAACTTGATACAAATTAAATTCTACAAAACAGTAACTATGAAATAGCAACAACAATGCAAAAATAATTTGAAAAAGCTAAATATTTTCTTGTAAAGATTAATATAATTTTTACAGGGTATGGATTATATATTACAGAGCTGTAATCGAAATTTGAGGTCTATCTAAACAATGAGAGCAAACATATTTAAATCATAATAGATTTTTATGGGTTGCCAACATTGTCACTATTGTGATTGGTTAACATTGAATTAATGCATTACATGAACAAATCATAGTAATAAGTATATTCTATGTTCACATTAGTAAAAATAAATATTTAAAATACTAAAAATCTAATTATGAATGTTCAATAATTCACAGTGAAATAACTATTTAAATAAACAACTGACTTTATTAATGATAATACAAATGCTGAAATTACCATTAATAAAAATGTAAAAATATATGTAAAATAAAGTGTAATATTCTGCAATCTAATATAGGCTACTACTACTACCAAAGAGCACAGAATCACCTAAGCTCTTTGATACTAGTAAAAGTTGTGACTACCAAAGTTGTGTATTTTTAAATACAATTTTGTTTTGGAATTATATAATAAACAAAAATTCTATAGTAAATTGAAAATTAAGACCAATCCTCAAAACCGTAAAGAATAAAGTATTTTATAACTGTAAAAATATATGTAAATTAGCATTTTTATGTATTTTCTGATTTGTGTTTTAATTTTTAATTTCGCCTTGTTTATTTATGCTTTTGAGTTGCGATACAGGACCTTGATCTTTCTTCCAACAACTTGTAACCTTGAAAAGTTTAAAAAAGTGACTTTTATTAACATTTTTAATATAAAGTTGAAAGTGATCAAAAAAAACATTTTTAAGTGATTTTTGGTTATTTTACAGACTTCTTTATTCTTATAGATTTGTTATTTCAAACTACTAAAATGTCAATAAAAGTAATAATTTTGTTAAACCGTAGATCAAGGTCCCATAATGCAATTCACGACAGAAAACACAAAATACGGAAACAGTAAACTAACATATATTTTTTACAGTGTAGATAATTTTCATTTAAAGTAAATCTAAAGTTAAATAATAGTTTATTAAGCATACCAAATAGGTGTCATTCTAAATGGGCACAAAAACACAAAAGTGTACATCTGTCATTACTGCTGACCCTGAGATATTTACCTTTGGGGTCCTAAAAGACACTCATTAGCTCAACTGATAAAGATAATTAAAAATCTATTTCATATCTGAGCTAAATCCTGTACTGTGCTGTGTCATCACGAGCTACAGGTACAAGGCTTATCATGTCTCCAGTACAGTCAGGATGATCACTATTGATTATTGGTTTAGTGGTGCCTCAGCACATACTGTCCATTAAAGAGGACCTATTACGCAAAAATTACTTCTATAAAAGGTTTAAACAGTTGTGTGATATCAGTTTGTGAATATAGCCGGTCTCTAATAATAAAAAATAAGGTAATTATATTTATTACAACCACACATCATAAAACATCTGTAGAAACACTTTGATTGACCTTTTCTTTTAGTACCATCTGGGCCCATTACTGATGATCTATACTTCATTAGCATAAACAGCCCTAAGTGAGAAGCAGCCATCCACCATTAAAATTGTCTTAATAACCTTTATTTATCCAGGTAAGTCAATTGAAAACTGATTCTCATTTACAATGACAACCTGTCCACGAGGCAACATAAAAAGCAGATACAGTACAAAGCAGCAGGGCACAATACAATAACAATTTCACAAATGCAAATAATAACAAATAGAACCAAGGGAAAACTACAAACAAGCACAGTGATCTTGTACTATTAACGGGACTGAATTTTTATATGTATAGAAGTGTCTTAAAAAAATATCTAGTCTATTTTATTATTTACTGTCATCATGACAAGGATAAAATAAATCAGTTATTAGAAATGAGTTATAAAAACTATTATGATTAGAAATGTGTTGATATGTTGAAATATCTCTGTTAAACAGAAATTGGGGGAAAAATAAACAGGGGGCTAATAATTCTGACTTCAACAGTATATATGTCTGTCAACATCTAAAAAAATATGTTTAGGGGTTTTTGTGACCCTTTAAAAAGTGTCAATAAACATAGTGGAGTTTTCCCAATAAGACTTTTGCAAATTAACAGAAATTCAACAAAGAATACAGTTGACAGTGATAAGTATTAAATGGCGCATCAGTAACAAAACGAATTGCTGCATGGAGAATAACATCCAGTTTGTGAAGGAGAGTTTTTAAAGATGATCTAAACTAAATTCCCATAATCCAAAATTGGTAATAATAATACTGTTAATTTGACCAAATGCTGCTTTGAAGAGTGTGTAAAAGAAGATTTGTTTCTGTAAACAAAACCAATCCTGGTTTTCAAATGTCAGTTTACCATCTAACCAGATTCCAGGACAGTTGTAGCAGTCAACATGCCATACATGCTGAAGATAATGTCAGCAACTAGGAGTCATTATAGATTATAAATATATTAGGATGCACAAATGCACACTGTATTCTCCATATTTTCAGTTTTTCACAGAGATGACGTTGGTCCTTTTTTGAATCTGTCACTATGCTGATGCATAGGCATTTGTAGCTCCACCCTCTTTTTAAAAGCATAATCTCATTTGAATAAAAAAAAAGAGTTTCCAAAAGAAAATAAATATATATCTTATCATAATCTCTCGTACAGAAAGAGACTTACAGATCTTGCACATGCTTTGTATTTTCTTCCCTTCAACAACAACAAAAGCAACTATAAATTGCCTTTAAAGAAGAAAAGATATATATATATATATATATACAGTTGAAGTCAGAAATATTAGCCCCCTTTTGATTTTTTTTTCTTTTCTTAATATTTCCCAAATGATGTTTAACAGAGCAAGGAAATTTTCACAGTATGTCTGATAATATTTTTAGTTCTGGAGAAAGTCTTATTTGTTTTATTTCGGCTAGAATAAAAGCAGTTTTAAATTTTTTAAAAAACAATTTTGGGACAAAATTATTAGCCCCTTTAAGCTATTTTTCCCCCGATAGTCTACAGAACAAACCATCATTATACAATAACTTGCCTAATTACCCTAACCTGCCTAGTTCACCTTATTAACCTAATAAAGCCTTTAAATGTCACTTTAAGCTGTACAGAAGTATCTTGAAAAATATC